AGAAAGTAATTGTTCGTGCGTATTAAAATTCTTACAATAGGCAGTAAAACTATTCACACTCCCTTATAAATTATAAATATGTAAATGTTAATAAAAGCGGTGTATATATTCTCCCACATGTATATTTGATAAACTATTTATGAAACTACATCTATTCTGAATTTATCTGTTTCAAATATGCAAATGTAAGGCAAGATATAAAAACGAATAAAACAAGAACATGTAAAAAGTAACATTAATAAAATGTCCATTAACGATGAACATGACGTAAAATATAGATACACGCAATATGAATGGAATATATAACACTCCATTTGTGCTAATAATACTCAGAATTTATGCTTTCTCGGTAACGTCAGGTATTGACACTAAAATGGTAACAGGGTTACGTACCCTATGAACGTGGGACAGAAAAAAGCATTGGATGATAAGTCTATTCTATACCTAGTCGGTGGTTATATCGTATAAAGTGAAGGAATAATGAATAAATTAATGATTATAAATTATAATCTACATGTCACCTAGCAAATCATTCTTTTAGAGTTTCTTGTTTTTTCTACTGATTTTTACAAACATGAATAGTAATGTAACCCATCGTAAAATCATATTGAATACGTTTTTCTGTTTAAAGATCAAGATAAAAAAAAACAAAGCAATTGACTCAAGATAAAAAAAAAACAAAGCAATTGACTCAAGATAAAAAAATCGCAATCACGGTCGTGAATGAAGCTAAATCATGACCGTGATCGTGATTCGGCGATCACTGTGATAAATCACCGTTAGTGATTTTGCACGCCATCTCTACTACGCAATAATCCAATAATTGAAACCCCCCAAAATTGTTACCGTTATCTTAAAGACAATACATTTCAGATTCAAGTAATAATTATATAGTATTTCATTTCTAAATTCTCTGACCACATCCCCGCGTTCCTTATTACCAATCCTGTTTCTTGTGTCCAAAATCTCCAAATTCTCGCGCAACAGCCCTGCCATTTGTATCACAGAACATTCTAGGCAGCAGGCACTGCTTGGAAACTGCAGTTTGTGTCACTGAGTAACGTATCTTCGCGCCTTCCTCATGGTTTGTTGCCTTTGTTGTATTGATTCGCGGTATTTACTGAAGATTTGAATATGTACGGTAAAAACCGGTAAATGCGTTGGGTCTGGAAATTTGTATTTTGCACTGTTTAACTTATTGTATTTATAATATAAAATGGCTAAACATCATCCTGATTTAATTTTCTGCAGAAAACAACCAGGTGTTGGTAGGTGTGAAATTTATATTAAGGTTAGATTACATTTATATTTTTATATAATTAATTATGTTTGTGTATGATAAATGTATAACCTACTTCATTTCCATTTTCGTTTCAATACGTGACAGTAGAATAGTTTATTGTATTATAAGGATAAAAGTTTATATGTATTAATATTTAACCCTAAAACGACACTAGCGTTGCCGGTGACCTCTAAAGTTTAATTTTGTCTACAGGTGTATAGATAAACGTTAGAAAATTGAGCTTTTGTTTTCCCTACTAATCTGTGCCACTTTTTATGAAATAACAATGAAAAGATGGTTTTGTGTATATTTTTATTAGTTCTATAAGGACGGGATTCATAGACGCTGCTTATTCTTAAGCATATTTCTAAGACTTGGAATTGCCGGTGACTCCACGGTGTATTTTACTTAATAAAATTATATCTTAGCTGAAACATTTAAAGCAAATGATGGAATACTTTCTAAAAATTTGTGGATGGTTATTTTAAAATAATTGTACAATTTTAAAATGTAAAAATGTTTCTTTTTTAATATATTGGAATGATAAAGTTTTTTGAACATTTATAAAAATATTTTTTGTTGTACAAGGTGATTCACCTAACTCTGACATCTAAATTACTTATGAATTGCCTGTTATATTAAAAAAATGTTTCAAAGAAAAGTTGTATGGTATCAAGTTGGACATATAAAATAATTAGTTTGTTGCAATTTTGCTTTCTATTGAAATATGAACTTCACCTTGAAATGTTTAATTATAATGTGCAAAATTTAACCATGCTATTGGAGAGACTATTGAACGCTGAATGAAAAATTATTAGGGAAGATATAAATTATACTTTCTATACATTAAAAATTGTATATAGTGATTGACATAGCCATAAAAGCATTATAAAAAGACCATATTGAACAACGATCCTTTTTAGCATATAGTTTAAAATAACTATTATATTTTAATTTTCTTTCCTAAAATGCAAAGAAAATGCTATATTCATCTTTTCTTAAGATATACAAAGAAGAATAAGAAAATATTACTGTTGGAAAAAGGAAGAGTGTCATTTTAGGGTTAAGCTATGTATCTTAGAAACTTTTTTACAAATCTTTTCATACTTAATTTCTTAGTAAAATTCTATCGATGTATAGTATGAATAAGAAGGAAACGTAATAACATGAATAAAGAAACAGTGATATTATAGTATACAAATAATATAGATCACAGTATACTATTATATGTAACTGTGTTAGAATTATATAATGAGAGTAGACTGGATTTTGTATATTTAAATGTATCATACATAAATATGCAAAGTATAATGAAATAGAGTCTAATGTATTTTAATATAGTTTTTAATTTTATATTTTGTCTGATAAAATCTTGAATACAAGAAATAAAGTCTTCCCTAATGTTTATTTCTTTTAATTAGTTTAAAAACTTATGCATTTCCATAAATAATCATTGTTTAATAATATTTGAAAGTTTATGAGTATCATATCAGTTGTTTATAGTTATAACTTGACTTTTGTGATATTTTTATGGTACAAAAATAATTGTATTTGAATGTATTTAAATAAAATTTGAATTTTTTATTTTAGCAATTGGAAGATTATGTGAAAAATGTGATGGCAAATGTGTCATATGTGATTCTTATGTGAGACCATGTACTCTCGTTAGAATTTGCGATGAATGCAATTATGGATCTTATCAAGGCCGATGTGTGATCTGTGGTGGACCTGGTGTTTCCGATGCCTATTATTGCAAGGAATGTACAATTCAAGAAAAAGATGTAAGTTTCTTTAGATAGATAATATTATTTTTTCATTAATTTGAAATATGCCTTCTATTACATACGTAGTATATGTATATGTGTCATATATATAAGTACAGTAGACTCTAACTATATTGCCACTGAACTTAGTATGGAGGGGGCTCTAAACTCATTCCCATTTTACCCATTTAACATGGCAATATAGTTAGAGTCTATTGTACATATTTGGTCTGCATACAGTGGTAGACATATAATTACAAACATTCTCTGTAGATGTGTTTCTATTGTTGGTGATGTTATTCCAGAAGGACACAAGTTAATTTTCACTATGATTTTTTTTAGTCATGTACAAGGTAAACAAAAGTAGAGAGAACACATTGAATTGAAATAATTTTTTGTATAGTTCAAATTCAAAAAAATTAAAAGCTTAATATTTGCTTCTAAAATTAAATTAATTTCTCATGTTTTCAAAATGATGACCTTCCGTAGTTATGACATGTCGTAAACGTAGCTTGAAATTTTCAATAACAAATAAAAACAAATAAATAATAATAAATAATAGTAACTAATTGCCAATTTCAAAAATGTATTGTCTAAAAGGAAGCATTGTATAACGCGTTGAGCCACCGTGGCTGCGTGAGAGCGTGCCGCTGTATCGGTGCTCTCCGTCGTACGCATGGCCCGGTGGCTTGTATGCGTGACGCTTCGTCACAAGTATAACAACATTTATATGATTTAGTGTTAACGTTTGAAGGATAGTCATACCAACATTGGCTGTAATAATTTGCAACTTATTTCTTTTCAGAGAGACGGTTGTCCGAAAATTGTAAATCTTGGAAGCTCGAAGACGGATCTGTTTTATGAGAGAAAGAAATATGGATTCAAGAGAAGATAAAAGCCGGTAGTAACTATCATTCATTTGTATAATAATACAATTTTTTATAAGTTCCGAATAAATTCTGGTGACGAATGTGTGTCATTTGACATCGTGACTTTAAGCGCTTGAGAGAACTCAAAACATCCTTCACCTACAAAAAAACTGTGACAGCTAAGTAATAGCCCTCTCCATACTAAAAAATTTCTGTGAATACACTTTTCTCATATCTCTAAAAATAACGGAGATAATTAACATAAACGTAAAGTGCGTATATCCAGCCCACCCTATATGCAACTGCGTCCCACAACCGTGGGGAAAGCACTCTGGTAACTGGTCCCCGATTCCTGCACCGTTCCTGAAAATTTAGCCATCTACAGCCCCGACTCGTGTAAAGATGCTTATGAACTAGAATCGGTTAGTTGTGTATGAGATATGCACTTCTACCTAGTTATATGGTATTGAGACGTCACACTATTTAGTTGAATCACGTCGATGCAGATAATAGATAACGCCGAGGCCTGCCTCGAACCAGCAGTTTCAGGAATTGGTGGGGATAGGCGTGGCCATATACGCGGACATCAGTGCACGTAAAATTTGAATTGTATTTCTGTTAAACTCAATTCTAATTGTTTATTTTAATAAATTGTGGATTATTGTAGTACAATTAGATTTGTAATAAAATTGCCACTCCAGCAAGAATCCATTTCTCTGCTTTCTCTTTTGTTTTCAAATTGAAGGTCCATACGTAAGTGGGGCCTCGAGAACGAGTTTTGTACACAGGACATTCATACATATTTCGTAGATCTTGCTTATCTTGTGTAATTGCACGAATATACATTACTGGCATCAATGGATACAACTCTTTGAACCTAGACTCCATGATGCACCCTGTTTGGGTGTCCCATCTTGCGCCATCCATATATAATCCATTTATGTATGCACCTTCTCTCGGTGCTGCCCTGTAATTTTATTAAGAAAGCAGGAATCATTATTTAATATTAAAAAGAAGTGTTTCTAAATACACAGAACAGATAATAGTTATTCTTTATTTCTAGCCGTAGATGAATGTTTAATATTTAATTGTAAATAAAAGTTAAATTAATATACCAACTTAGAAAAGTCTATACTCAGGTACTCTAGTAAGAAAAAACATAACTAATGTAATATTTTTCTGGAATTCTACTTCAAGTCAAAGAATATATACTTCCATTAATTATAAGATCATTATCTCTAATTCAAAGTTATATGCCTTGACTATATTGTACGATTGTTTGTTGTGTTGACCCTTTCAAGAGTGTTCTGCCATGCGCGTTCCACGGGTATGGACCCGTACGTGTTCGTGCTGGCAATAAGTAGAAACGGAATGAAATGAACAGACGCAGCAGCCGAGTCCTATTCAATTGCGTACACAGCAGGTTTTCAAACTTATTTTTTCTCGAAAACAAAGCTTCTTATGAAAAAATTTTATTCTACATTTTCGATTCAGTTTTTCATGTAGAATCACTCTTTGCTCGCTTGTACCATCACTTACCGGACACCCTGTACATTAATTGTAAGTAATTTGAATAAAAAAAGCTTGTAATAATTACGTGATTTCTTCCTTATATTTTCTCATAACTTCGCAATATAAACACATCTTGTCCAATGGCCATTCATTCTTTCGTGCAGTTTGTTGCATAATTGCAGTCAAAAATGATTGCGGATTGAAGAAGCCACCTAACCATACTGATGCAGGTAACTGAAAATGTATCATATATTCATTTTAAGTTATTCATTTATTTTATCAATTTTCTTATCTTACTTTCTTTGCAAAATTAACAAACTCGCGTTTTAATGAAATGAATATGGATGCTACGTGAAAAACAAATAAATATTACAAATTAACGTATTTAAATTATTTCAATATTTGTTCAAATCTTTCAAACTGACTCAATAATTTCTGTGTCCATATTCTAATTTACATGTGCTCGAAGTGTTAATTTTTTATCAAAACTTACGCTAAAATCTGCAGTCCAATTGGACAATTCATTAATCCTATTCAACACGTCAGCAAACCAACTATTTAATCCTAATTCTGAGGGATACGCTCTTTTAGTCCAAGATGGTGGAATGGCATCCATCATTATGTAATTTTGCAAATCTTCCATTTCAGCGTTAATTGTTAATTCACCCTGTCAGGAAATAAGTTTCATTTCATTTTATTATTGTAACGTATTTACGTTGCACAGTCAACATTCAACTCAATTATTTAGTTACTGTCATTATTTTGTAAAACAATTTTCAAGGTAACAGTTTCTTTTTTGTAACAATGCACGGATTTTTAATTACTTTCAATCCCAACTCTAATTCTCGAAGGGATCTTCTGAGTTCTTCGCATAGAAGGTTCATTCGTTCGCATTCTTGCAAAGCAACCGTAACGTAGGGTGTGCGATCTTCAACCTAGAATTTTTTAATACACATTTGTCTAAACATAATGAACTTCTAATGATATACTAGAAACGGTGACAAATTTTGGGTGCTTTTCCTAGTTAAATGTTAATTTGCGTAATTTACGCTTATTTCAACATATGCATTCATTGCAAAGTTGGGCAGAATTTTATTCGAATAATACACAGTGAAAAGCAGCAGTATCTAAGGGTGTCGTTCTGAGCTTCAAACAGTTAATGAGATTAAATAATTGTTCGACAAATATCGATTCATTCATAAAGAAGTATTATTTTATTATACAAATTGAAATTTCCACGTTTAAACAACTAAAAATAACGAAATCCCTTTTTTAACCTTTATTCGTTATTCGAATAAAGGTTAATCGAAACTTTTTATCTAGATAATTAGTTTGCCCATCTCCGATTCATTGTAACGAGAGTAAGTGTTGTTACTATTTACTATTAATACAAGATTTAACCCCCTCCCCCTTCCCTGCTTCAAAACGGACCTTGTGTATTACTATGTAATTACACTGTCCAACAAATTTAAACTTCTTTTCTGATCTACTTTATCTATGGGGAGATGTTTATAGAATTTCTCGTCCAGATCACAAATCCGGAAGCAGAATTTCTCCATCAGGAAACTCTCCTCTATCTTTCAAGGTTAAATTGAACTTTCTAGCGTTTTTACTTTTCACGTACTGCGTCATTTGTGCCCAAAATCAGGTGTTTTTACAAAAGCTCATGTTTTTCAAAAGCTAAGGTTGATGGAGAAATACTGCTTCCGGATTCGTGATCTGGACGAAAAATTCTATAAGGATCTCCCAATGGACATTGTAGATCAAAAATTGCGTTGGACAGTGTTATTTGCAAGATTATGCAGTATAAAGAGTCTAGAAACCTTGCCCTGAAGTTCTGCGATATTAAATTCTTCCGGTAATTTATCTAGTAAGTCTTCTAAAATTCCTTTCATTTTATCTTCTTTCAACATGTCTCCTCCTGCTGCATTGCTTGCTGTCTGCGTCAGCATTTCCAGCAACGTTTTAAATAAATTCTCAGCGGTTGATGTCAAAAATCCTAATCGATGCATTATTTTTAGAAGGCCAGTTTATGAAACTATCCACAGAAATTATATGTATAACTATGCTTAAAGTATTTAAAAGTATTGATTCATTACCAATTTCGGCATTAGGATGAAGACCATAAAGAACTGGACTTTCACTAGGCAAAAAATCATCTACATATTGATGGTATGTTACGTAATCACTATTAGGTGGTACCAAAAATTCAGGAGCTAGGTATAATTCACCTAAGTGTAGAAGAACAAATAACGTTCAGTGACATTAAATTATTTTGTACATTCTTTTCTGAGCTGTATTAATGTATTACAAATACAGAGTACATAAATACGAAGAATAGCTCTGGTAGCTATTTCGAAATTGTTATTTACCATCAACTAATTCTGATTTCAAGTACACCATTAAATATGTTCTACATAATCTTCTGTCCCAATCGTCAGTTATGTGGCCTCCGTACATAATTTCCCCAAATAAATAACGGAGATCCTCCCATGGTACTTTGATACTGTTCTCCAAATAATTAAACAACACAGACACGCTGATCGTCAAGTCACCGAAATTGAATGGATAGCTCTAGTGGCAATAAAGGGTACTCATTTAAAGAAATTAAGATCATTATTATTATAATACTAACGAAGAACGTATTCTAAGACATAAAATAACTAATTTACTAAACAATAAGTAATTTTCTTGTTTAAGTATTACCTAAATACTAATTAGTATTTAATAAGGAAAACAATTAATAAACAATGTTTAATATGTTGAATTTTTCTTTATATGGGATAGCTCGGAAATTCATAACATCTGTGGAGGTAGAATTTCGGTTCATAGTTTTCAATTTTAGAAATCGAATAAACTTTTCATAATCATCATACCAGTTACATAAAATATATAAATACTAAACCCGCACACTGCATCTTTTTGGTATCTAGTAAACAAGTTTTTTTTCATAAAAACAAGTACCAATAGTCATTTTAAGACTATTTAAATAATTTTTAATAATTTTGTTATAAACAATGTGTTTGCTCACGATAAATAAGAAACAAGTAGTCACAGTAATACCGTTTTTCTAATCTTTGGATGTCATTTAAAAAAGTTTCGTACTGCTGATCGGCAAGAAATGTTGCGCATATTATCACTAAAGAGATAAAGTTGGCATCTACTGCATGTGTAGTAGGTAAATGCAGTTAGCGAGTTAAATCCTTTTCCTAAAAATCTTTTCAATATAATTTCGGATAAGTATTTTGTTTCTAAAGTTTCTTCTCGATACAAAATATTTCAGCATTTAGTACTGTTACGCTGTATTTTCACCAGCGTAACGCGACGTTCCAAAATAAATAGTTATCAATCATTTTAATTAATTTTATATTTCAAAATTCAAACTGTTGTATCTCCGAAAACTATTGAGAATAATAAACATATTCATCTAAACTTCTTTTTTTTACAATGACCCATACTATCGTCTCCGAAAGTATTTCCCTTTCTTCCTGACTCACTTAGTATATATATGTAGCTAACTGACTAACGAAAATAATTAGAATAATTCCATTACGTGATTTAAACTGCATAATTGTATGAACTATTATTAGGATGTATACCCTGTTCCATCCCTGTGCTCCGAATTTTCTGCGTTCCGCGAGGACAGCATGATAATAACAGAGTGCAAATAGTATGGCTTTGAATTCGGTCTCCTTGCTGCAGGATTCAAGAGTCTCTTGACTGAAATTGTCCAGTGCTTTGTGAATATTTGCTTGGATTCCTGATGGTGGTTCGTTTGTAATTTTTATAGCAGATTCAAGGATACCCTACGTATAATAAAATATTTAAAATTTATAAAAAAAGGCATAATTTATTTTTCAATTTATATTTATAAATAACCACTATCGTTTCGCTTATATGAAATTTGCAAACGTAGAAATATTTCGGTTCTCATTACTGGCGATTGTAAATTTACTGACTTCTTCAATTACCGGCAATTGGGTAAAATGTTTCGGTAAATGTTTCTAGAACATCCGAAATTTAAGTGTCACGAACATCGCGGAGGCGCCGTAGCCGAATCATTTGTTAAGTAGTTTGTATTCCGACGTGTACCGAATTTTCGGACGAGAATTGTTATCGGATTTGTTATCGTTGGCCACCTGTTGTAAGCGTTGCCGTCAAGGGTAGACGCGTGGCGTTAATAAACGTCTAAATTAACGCAGAACGATTTCGATTAATTCGCGAACTGCCTCCTGCCGTGAAGAGACTCTTCCCATCCGACTTGCGAACCTCGACCCTGGTGCGTGCTAGCCGGCAATCGCCACTCTCTCGTAGTCTCCACTCTGCGTAAATTTCGCGGAGACCGAGAGAGGGGCTTTGTTCGCGGCGGACCACAGTCACAATGCTGTCCAGGGCCCGAAAGTTAAATTCCGCGTAACAATAGATTAAATTAAAATTAAATATTAATAATCATTTAATTTTTTTCAACGAAAAATACATTTTGCTGGCATTTAGTAAATGTCAAATTTCACTCATTTTCCGTTTGTAGAATAATTATATTTTTTCGAGAAAATCGTTAAATCACCTATTTTTTCTGAAAATACAACTCAAGAAATTTCGATTGCTGTGCTGTTACACCTTCGTAACTTGTATGAAACTAAAACCTTGAAAAAAAATTAATTTCTCCTAACTTTTCAAACATTTGTGTTCTTTATTTTTTTAATATCTTTGATACTCACATATTCATGATATTCTAACTGACATAGTCTTTTTCTTTGAGTCTTGGAGAATCGGTATAAATAAAGAACGTTTAAAATGATGCATGTCACTCGAAGATTAAGCGATTGAAGACGTACTGGTATGCTATACGCGGTGTGACAAGAACGCGACTCTGAGGTACTGTGACAAGTGCGGGTTAAACAAGTTTTCTGTAATTGTTAAAACTTCCGACGCAAATCCATGGTATTTGCTATTGGTTCAGTACGCATTTCTTAATTACCTGTGGTATTATTGATTCTCGAGGATCTGGACTAGGTTCGGCACTAATAAACAATCGATAATCCTCGTGAGGACTTTCTGATAATTGTTCCATTCTCTTTTCTAGTATAGGCAGCCATTTCTTCACTAAATGAACATTTTGCAAAATCACCCAGTGTCCTTCATTCGCTGAAATAATCATTGCCTCTTCGGCAATTGGTTCTTGGCCTTGACCCAAGGATACATTATGGAAATTCCTTCCTTCGAAAGTGAAATTCAATTGCTTGCCGAGCTTCTCTACATCCTAAAGTTTTATTACTTCTGTTATTATGTCCATAAAATGTAACGCTATTACTTTGTCTTATTATTTCACGAATAATAGACAATAAACTGCACTTATAAATAATTATGTTTTTTCTTCATAACGTAATACTAATGTTTCTTTCCTTTTTCCACTTCCACAGACAATTAAGTTGTGTAAAAGCTTTGATTATTCAATAGAAAAGTTACCAGAATTTGTCAGTTACATGACCAAAAATTTGTTAACCCTCCGAGGACGGACCGCTAAATTAACGCATCTCAACTTTAACTCTGACACTGTATGCATGTCGCTCTCGCAAACGCCTGACTCCGGCATCGTCCTTGGACGGTTAAAAGATTATAAAAGGTATTTAACTTACCTTTAGGGGATCAACACCCGGGGAGAGAATAAAAAATACAGGCGTAATTGAACTAGTTTCCTCAAAGGATTTATGAAAAGGGGGAGATCTAGATTCCACAAATTTCGAACCCAGTTTTTCTTCCACGAAGCATCTATAAAATTCAATAAAACTTCCATTTACTCTCCGAACAAGTTACAGTATTTCATCAATTACTGTCAATAATATAGGCCCGCGTCGTGACTTGCATCGATAAGGAGAAATGTTTAGACCCTTCTGAATTAGTTTTTGGCCCGAAACCGAAGCCAAGAAAGAGTTTTGGAACTTTCAATGGGTATTTCTTATAGATTTTTATGAGCTGAATAGGAATCTGCAAACTGCTTTTTCACAGAATGCACAGTTTTGTTCAACAGTGTAATTACATACCCTGTGAACAAATGGCTCGCAGATTGGCAGCAGATATTGTCAAAATCGGTCTACTAATTCATAGCCATCTGTTTCGGCATTTGGCTTGGATTTTGTAGGCAGAACCTGCTTGACAGAATCATAAAGCAGGAGAGAGGATTCTGTAGGTGTTAGGATGTGCCGCCAATTTGCGCATACATTGTTTATAGCAGATCCTGCACCAAATCTGTGGCTATTCTTGTATAAAAGCTTATAACAAGCATTGGACAAAATCTGGCTATGCAGGTTTGGTTAACTAGGTACTGGGTACATATGTATACGTGGAATATCAGTTTTATGTTATAGTTAAGTAATTGACCGTAACGTCATTTCATATACGTAACTTCTGTCTAAATATAGAACTAATTTGACCAATTTTCTTAGAACTATTTAAAGCGACAAATTTTCATGTCCATTTGCCAGTGTTTCATTCGATATTATAATGAATAAGTTTGATGAAATGACGGATGTCAATTTTTACAAATTTTCTTATACTGTGTAAAACGTATGAAGATAAATAATGAACTGAAAATTATCAGACCTAAGTGCGTAAGTCATTCGATCCAATCTAAGACATCTCATAATGCACAACCGTTGTAAGGCAGTTTTATTTTTCCAGTCTTGAGGGAAATTTTCACGTTCTGGTGTTTCTGATTCCACGAATTTTTTCCATCTTTTCGCAGCGCCTTCTATATCCTTTTCTAAATTACGGAAATCGTCCATTTGGCTTAAATACTTAATTCCACCCCAACCAACGTTTGAGAGGAAGTCAACGGGACTGTTTAACTCGGGTATGTATGGAAATCGCAAGAGAAAATCGAGCTCAGACTGCGTTATTTCGTTTGTCTGCATGAAAATCTGAAAAAATTAAATCACAAAATAGAATGGAATTTCAATTAAAACGTTCACATCCGTATCAGATCAAACTGTAATCCTTACACACGTTCTGCTGATTTGTTAAATTTGTTATCTACACAGTTTTAAAAAATAACTTATGCAAAACCTAAATTTTGAAAGATAAGATTTTTTAATGGTACGCTCGACGCCCCTCGGCTCGGAATAAACGCACTGCCGAAAAGTATTCATGTTTCCAGTGGGTATCAAATAGGTACCGATACTCACGTGTAGGTATCAAACAAGTATCGATACTTTCGAGTAGGTATCGCATAGGTCTCGATTCTTTTTGATACATACGTCTTTATATGTATCGATATTGTATTAAAACTTAGAGAAAGGGTATTGATAATATCGATATGACTTTTAAACAAAAGCACCGTTTTTATTGATAATTTAACATATTGCATGTTTTCATGTACCACAAGTACATGGAAGATAATAAACTTGAAAAGTTTTGGGGTGCCTTATAAACTTGACGATCACTGTAGTGATAGCAAAAATTGGAAGTATAGTCATACTGTATTAAACAAGCTCAAATAAAAGGTTTTACTAAATTCTACTAGAACTCGATTATCTGCATAATATATCAATTATTATCAAAGTTTTTTCATATTTTCGCACTTGTTTTAGTGCCATTATAAAGGCATTTACAGCATTTTAAAATAATTCTGAATTGAGCTACGCAATAACTTTTAACGTAACATTGCATCGAAATAAATAACTAAAGTATTTACCTGAATGGTCATTTGACAAAGGAACGTCAATTTGTCGTTCTCAAACAGTCCTCGACTCGTGTAAATGAAAACTAAGTACGTGATGCTGTCAATTAAAAGAGCAACACGTTTTACTAAAGTATCCGCCGCTTCTGCAAATTTAATTGCATTTTGAAAAACAACGCTGAATGCCTTCAGGGAAAATTGGTAGAGCATGTTTATTTTGCTCAGGTCGTTTAAAACGAAGTATAAAAGACTGGCTCTGCATGCAACCGTGCGGTAAATTTCTCGAGCTTCATCTATCTTTACCGCCGTCACTTTAGCTTCGGCGACCTTTATTTTTATTTCCGCAGCGGTTTTCTTAGTAGTCTCGAGATTTATCACTAGATCGACATCACTCAAAATGTTTGGCCCCGCTGTCGATAACCTTTAAGAAAATATTAATTAACATTAATTTTATATTCATTCTCAAAGTTTATTGAATCTTACGTGATAGTTTAAATTAATTTTGTTAACAACATTAACTGCATAATTAACATAGTGCAATAATTTATTTATTAACTATACACGGTTGTTCTTTAATACCATTATTCAATTTGTATGCATTCGTAACATTGAAAATTTTTAACAATTTAACACCGGGAGACATGTATAAACGAATTTTCAGGTAGTAGAATTCTTTCTTTTCTGATGCACACGTGCCCTCGGATATAAGGTGTTTTATAACATATAGGATCCACTTCAGCGGTGGATGAAGAACAGAAAAACAATAAAAAAAGTTCATATAAACCTATGCCCTAGTTGACTTTGTACCCGATACATAGCCTGTTTGGAATCGTGAAATTTCAACGGAGATTTAATCGCTTATATGAACAATTTTTGTGAAGGTCTAAATAATAATGGTTTACGAGTCGCGTCGAATGTGTCCTCAAGTAATTAAACAAATGGATTGAGCGTATGATATTTTGGATTCGGTAGTAGTGTGGTTATTCTCACGATTATGTTTCCAAGGCCATCATTCTAAAGTAGGAAGAAATATAGAAACAAACTTCTTGCGTGACAATAAGAAAAAAAACAACAGATTATTTATGTAACTACAATTCCAACATAATTTTTATGAGAAAGTCGAGTTTCAATCTGTTTTTGGATTATTATGTGTGCATATGTTTCAGTAATCTGAATCGAATATAAATTTAAGAAATGTAGTACCTGTGTAGAAGATCGTCCTCCAATACTTTTAAAGAAATTTTAAATGAATTCTGTTGTATAGTCAATTCTGCTTTCTTAGATTCTAAGTCAGGTCTTTCGGCTTTCACAACATCCCCTAAAAGCTGTTCCTCTAAACCGTCTTTTGTTACGGTAAAGTTTATAAGAGTTGTTTGTGCTTGAATCTCGGGTTTATAGTGTGGATTAGCTAGCTTTGTTTGCAGAATTAACCGAAAACGGTGATCGTAATCGATTTCCTTGTCCCAAATTTTTATGGCCCTTTAGAAAGAAATCAATCAATTAATTAAGTTCTTATACAGGGAATCCTCGATAAGTGTGCGCCGACTCCTCCATGATGAGTGTGCGAACGTCATCCCCGTAAACAATCTCTCGTGACCCTGAACGTATCATAGGTAGCTTATCCCTACTGACCAGTAGTGATGGGCACCATCGACTAAAAACTATCGACTAAGTCGTTAGTAACCAACGACTACTTTCAGTCGACTAATTTTTTCAATCGTCAACTACTTTAGTCGCTTGAAGCGACTAACTTGAGGCGAATAATATTAGTCGTTTGAAGCGACTACTTTAGTCGATTAAATTTAGTCGCTTCAAGCGACACGCTCGAACTATCGAGCTATTGATCTATCATTGACTGGATCTTGATTATTTTCTTCGTGATGCAAACGAATCGTAATTTTTCCATATATTCTTTTATGCATTACCAAGAACTGTGCAAATTATTGCTTATAACGTAATTGATTTTCATAAAAAATTTAGCGCAGTTAATTTTTTAAGTGCCAATATTAAATAGCTTACAAAAAATCAAATATTAGTAATTGTTTAAAAAAAACTTCTTTACCACTTATATTTTTGAAATTCTATCTATGAACTAATAGATTTCCAAAAGGTAAATACATCAATGGTGCTGAAAAGTTGATGACATAATCTATACATAACCTATAAAGCAAAATTTCAGTCGACTAAAAACTATCGACTAAATAGTCGATAGTATGTTGCGACTAAATAATCATTAGTCGATAGTTTAATTTAGTCGATGGTGCCCATCGCTACTGACCAGCCTATATGTGTACTGTGTTGCAGAGCAGAGCGAGAACCGATCCTTGCTCTGTATCTGCCACACACACTGGCTACTCAGCAGGGATAGGTAACGGCTCTTAACGACAAAGCAGGTGACATGGCTTTATACTCGCGTTCTTTGAGTTTTAGGCTGCAGAAGTAATATATGAATTGATATTTCAAATTTTTTCTTACACTATTTCATTAAAACTGTACGGTATTAAGCCCTTATCATCCCTTGTTTAATAACAAGTGACTGATTAACTTTGTAATTAGAAATGCATGTTTTTCTGAATATACATTTTAAAATTTTTATATTTAAAAATTTTGTATATTTACATATACAAAATTTGCAAAATATACGTATATTCTTTATAACGAAATGACAAAGAAATATTATATATCTTTTGTGGTTTCTTTACGAAGAATAACGGCATTGTTGTCTTATAAATGTATAAAAAATGCTAATGGGAAATGTACCTTCCTTTTTTTATCAAATCTCGTTTAATAACGGGATCCAGTACTGGATCAATTGATTCCATAATATTTTCAATTAAAACTGTTTTTCCGTTTGCAATTGATATTTCAATATAACTTAAATAATTCGGCTGCGTAAGCCTAAGCACTTGTAATTCTTCTCCGTAGCGACTTTTTATCCATTTTAAACCTTGTAGTTGTGGATCTATCATTAGAGGCCATCTTGACGAATTCATTAAGATGGTTGCATTCTCGGAAGACATTTTATCGGTTGGTAGTCCTTAAAAAATACATTCAACATTTAAATTTGTTACCCCATAAAAATAGTTAATATTGATTGTATTCTGATGTGATACGTATACAAAAACCCATATGAGCCAGTGTTTAAAAATTTAATAGAATTCCACATATAAAACTTTGTGTAAGTTACAAAACATGAATGACACAAGATATCACGTATATGCATAAGCATATAAGTATAAAAGTGAAAAATTGTTTTTTCAAATAAAAAAATTTATAAAAATCATATGCTTTCATAATTCAGTAAACCATTGATAAATGCACATTGTTTCCATGCAATGACTATCACTGTTTCTTACGCTTAAGAATTTATATGTAAAATAAAAAAAAACATTTTTTTTATAAATGACGCATCGTAGAAAATTTGCCCTCCGGCAGCGTAATAGATTATACAAAAAAACTCAACAATTTCTGTATTTACAAGTTTGCTCTATCTCGTACCGTTACAAAGTTATATCAAGAAAACGAAAAAACACGAAAACTTTAAGGGCTGATTTCATACCCCTTCAAAGTGAAAACGGGTACGAAAGAAAAATTGCTCTAAGCATAGTTCAATATGCTCCACATTTATGCAAAGTTTCATTAAATTCAGAATTTTCAGATTCGGAACCTTCCCTTGTTAGATAAATAGAATAAATTCAATTGAAGTTCAGCAGATAATAATATAGGAAAAATATCACTGCGTTTAACCAAGTGTTGCGAACTGTATCTGAAACCAATTAACAGTCGCATTGATGCCTTTTCACTTTCGTGCACAAATGAAACGAAATTAAAAGGTAGTACAAAATTTGCACCTTCATTGTTCCATTGAGCAATTTGTGCATCATCGGATAATAATGTTAGTACGTCCAAACTGGGAGTTCTTGGTATTTTCGGCTCCAAAGTCTCCAGATACGGCAACCAATTCTCATTCATCAAATCGTGTCTATATTTTCGTGTGAAGCATCCCATGTATGAAAGGAATGCTGTTATAAGGAGAATATTGCCAGGAACAGTCACTTCCGAATTTGTTAACCTAATTACATGAAATAATTGAAACGATTAACTTTCTAATTATCAAATGTCAAAGAATTCCCATTTTAATTTTATAGCCGTAATTTTCTAATTATTTTTATTTTCAGACATTACACTGATATTAATATCAAACGTATTGCATCAACGTTACAACAATCCATGGCGATAAATTATTTAAAAAAATTAATAAAAAGATTGCATTAACTGGAACTAACGTTTCCACTGTTTCAGTCCATCGTATTTTCTCAGAAGCTAATCCATTCACAAGTCTATTCGCAAGATCAATCGTTAATGCAGTGGCATCTGCTTCATCCTGGCATTTCTGTTTCTCTTCCAAGGCTGCATTCATTCTTTCCCCGAGAACATCGAGTACTTTTTGTAATTCCTATGAGAAAGTTACAAAGATTGATAACTACTACTTTAGTAGCAGTTAAATATTAATGTTTATTCTTACAAAAGTGAGCTTCAGATTTAACTTTCTTATTCTTTAAATATTTCCACGAACAGTTTTCTCATTGTATCTTTTTATTTTAAACAATTGTATACATAAAAAATAAGGTAGAAGCGTAGATGTTTAAAACAACAGACGGATCATTTTTAAATTAAAGATATGTTTATACGATTATTATTACAATACAAAGTATTGTATTATTTTTCAATTTTCAAAAGGTTTTCACGTATTATATATATACATATTTTGCACCTTTTATTACGATATGAATGTGAAGAAATCGGTCAATTTCTAAATTTCTCAATTTTCAAAAGTTTTTCACGTATTATATATATAGGTGCAAAAAAATATATATATATGTATAAACATCCTGTAAAAATGGGAAAGCTAGATGTAACAGTAATTTACCGCTAATCGTCCTCTCAAGGAGTTCAAATGATCCAATGCAGCTTTAAGCTCAGCATTAGCTTGTGCAAGTGCATTCCTTAAGGGCTTTACAGTTTCATTAATGTAATGAAAGACCATGATGTTTCTAACCCAACTGCAAAGACCAGCGGCTGCTTGAGACTTTGAGTAAATAATCTCTGGATCGAATTCTATAACAATTTAATATATTTATTTCTCATTCAAGTTATGTATATATTATTATGTCGTGTACGTATAAATCGTATCTATATTAGAGCTGTGACTTTATAAGATACCCAAGTAGTAAGCTACCCGTGAGATACCCGGGTATCCATTAGATATTCGAATATACAAGACAGTTGTGTCCGATTTCGCGTGGAATACCCCCCATGTAAGTTCATTTGTAACTTCATTTATAATGTTTATAGTTATAAATTTTGTTCATATGTAAGTATTCACAAAATAAAAATTCAGGATATTTTATACTTAACCTCTAATCTCTATTCACTATCATATTCGTAATCATTACTGTTAACCTTTGTTATTGATGTAAGGCTGAATAGCTTTGACGACTTCAGCGTGAATATTTTCTTTGTCATAATTTCGAAGCTGCGAAAGAAATGTGTCAACATGACCCATCATCGCTTTACATGCTTTCCAACTTCTGTCTTTGGGGATTTGTCCTCTGGGAGCAAACAAGACCAGTACAGCTTGTGCTACCATAGCTACTTGTTCCGGTGGTGTTCCAAAGGATTTCAGTTCAGTCAGATTGTTCTGTAAAGGTCGTATGACTTTAACAAGACTCATAATTTTACTATTACTGTTATCATAAATATATAGAGGGTAATGTAATAGTACAAACAATAAATAATGTAAAGCTGATTAAGGATTGGTAAATGTAAAGATTTACTTATACCGTTTATATGTATTTAACGTTTTACTTTCTAGATCGAAAGCAATTATTATAAGTACACAGTGCGGCATAACTATAGAATCATCTTAAAATTTTTTATCTTTATGCATTATGATTAAAATGAAAATGAACCAAATATGCCATGCCTGAAATTGTATTGAGATATATTGCTTCTTCAGAAAATGATAGATTATATTCCCTAGAAAAAAGTGGTTCATTTTTATTTTAACCAGAATACATGTGGATTGAAAATTTTAGGATGGTTTTATCGTTATGTATTTGTAAAATACACGATTGTTTAAAATTCAATATCCTTAAATAGAGCCTGACACGACCTATAAAAGAGTAAGTAAAATGTTTTAACTCCAGTTTTTTCTAAATTAGTCTAGATAATCCTTCAGAGTCTTATTACAAGAAAAAGACGAACTAATTTTCCACTACTGCGACAAATACTCCTTACCTTATAAGAATTTGTAGAAATCATTAACTCGATTAGAAAAGATATTTTTTAACCGTTTAAAAATTTGATGTATGATTTCGAAATAGTGAAATTCATTAGTTCAGTATGGATAATAATTATTAACGAAATTGCAATGACTGATCCTGTATTCTAAAACTTCAGACAGCTCCTTACTTTATTTAAAGTATCGAGGGCAGCTTCAGCTTGTCGCACAGCCGGCTCAGCTTTCATTAAATCTTCATCGCAACGTTTCTGTCTTTCCGACACTACTTCTTTTATTTCCGCTATTTTTGCTTCTTCCTCAGATACTGTACACGAACAATATATTAGTATATTTATCTATTTAATAACGAGCAATAAAACATTGCCGTTAAGTACTATAAATAGAAAGTCCTCAAGGAGATTTTGACAGCATGATAAGAGTAAAAAGTTGCTTTTAAATAAGAAATCGGATTAAACAATGGAAGTTTGAGGCCATTGGAATCACAATTCATACCAATCATTTTTTCAGCTTCGGCTTTAGCGTTTTCGGCACGAACTTCAACAAGAATCTTGTCTGCTATTTCATTCTTCTTTTTTAGTTCAACTTCCTGGACTGCTAAGATCACTCTTAGCTCGCTAACCTACCAATTAAAATTAAACATGTTTAAAAATGTATCGATTTCGATATTTATTAAAACGTTGAAACTTGTAAACTTATAGAGGAAGTTTTATGAGAGTAGGTACAAACTGTACAAGTTACTATTATAACTCGGTGGAAGAAATAAGAAAGGCTTAGTAGACGTACGTCTAAAGTGTGGACGTTTCAGAAATAATTCAAGTTGCCAATTACTATACGGAATACAATACACTTCTTGTAATAGATGCTCAACGTGGTCACTATTTCTTTAAGTGGTTAGGCCACCTTGGTTGAGTCGAAGTCATAGTCATTTTCGACAACTTTGTTTGGAAAGATAATGAAATGCAGTGGTGTCCGCAAATAGGGAAATGTTTGACCCGCGAATAGGCTACCGTTTGTCCCCCTTCACTCCTTTGTAAATAATTAAATATTTAAAAGAATTACTTGACCCGCGCAGGATTCTAATTTTTCCAAACCACTCCGTAACCTGTCTATCGTTGCCTTTATGTCGTAAGTTCTCTCTGCAAGTAACTTCGAATATAAAGCAATTTGTTCCAAAAAAGATTTCGGTGTCGTATAATTGTATCGTCTCTCATTTTGCAAATACAACGCGGAGATATCGTTGACGCTGGTATGCACAAACGACATAAACAAAGACGCCGATTTTTTAAACTCCTTTGGAAGTTCTTCCAATTCCTGCAATTAGTAAACGTCGACAAAATTAATTTGCGACAATAATGATTTCATAATGCTTAGTGAATCCATGCTAATAGTAAATTAATAAAGTAAGATTGTTATGTTTTTTAATGTGTTGTACTTGTGAACTTTTAATAAATCATCATGAATATTGCTTAATATATGGTCGTTATTGTGAAGGAAACTAATTCTTTTGTACAATTTCGATTCAATTTAATATGGGTGGGCAAATACTTATGAGTGGTATTTGACAATAGAAGAATTTTAAAAATTGCTTTCAAACACTGTGGATAGTTTCAATAGAATTAACTTCGATTACGTATTCTTATATGTTTCAAAGTACATTATATATAAATTCAATTTTTATTTTCTCTACTATATTGTTTAGTTATAATTTCTAATCTATACAGGTATGGAAAGTTGTCATACTTCTAAGAATCTAGCGGAAACTGATCTCAAAGCTTCTAGTGGCCAGCTCTGTACCCAATTGATCGAAGTATTGTTTACAATTGCTGGGAATTGTCTGGCTCTGTTTCGAAGAGTTGATCCAACAGGAGAAAAGCAAAGAACGCATTTTAAGCGACCTCGTACTCTGTCGATGAAAAATTTCCAGCAGTTTTCATTGGTGTCCATCATGCCGGTTTGTTTCACCTAAATCACATGAATGTTTGAGTAGAATATTTACCCTTATAAGCTTATTGCGTCTAGATGATATTTTTGCTTATTGCCTCCTATAAGTAAATCTATAAATACAAATTTCGATATTCCTACTCACTATAATCTTTGTATGAAGTTGTATCGAACGGTTTCTGAGATTTTCGTCATAAAAATTAATGTAAACACGACTTTAATTCAACTATTTTTAAGAACATTTAGTTATACAGAAACAATTTATTAATATAAAATCGTGTTTGTATTTATTTTTATTGAAAAAATTCTTGACATGCAAATAATAAGAAATATATACGGTTTCACTTTTATTTATGAATCATTCTCGTTCGAGCAAGCAACAAGCATGATTGGAGAATTCTTTATTTAAAATAAGAATAACAAATAAAAGTGACAAATAATTAGGCAAATGAGAATAATAAATAAAAGATTTTCATAAGATTTATGAAAATACATTTTTTATTACTGTTCGGAATGAATATTATGTAGAGACAAATATGGTGTGCGATTACAATTTCTTTATAAACTATCTCATTTTCGTCATAATAGTAAGGATCTTAATATCTATGAACAGGTATGTACATACATATATATAAAGGAAATGGAAAATAGCGTGTTACAAAATAAAGTTAATTTTAAAAAATACAAACTAATTTTGTTACGAACTAAAACGTGTTTTTATATTGCGAAGATTTCATTTTACTCTTATCAACATTGAAAAGTACCTCATTTCTCATAGAATTTACGATATTATCGATGTCCTCGTCAGGGAATAATTCCGAAATTTCACCAAAGGCTAGCATGTCGTTTATAAGAACCAAAAATCTTTCATCGGCGACGTGAGAATCGGTCATCAAAAAAGTAATTCCGATTCCTTTAAGCCCAGCCTTTAAGTATAAACTTGCTAAATCGGTCCGCAAGTCATTCATCGAATATCCTGTTTTTAGTTGCATCTGGAAAACCTATGCAAAACTGACAAGTGAATGAAGGTTTTAAGTTTTGAAATTGAGAAAATGCTTTCAAAAGTGTTAAACGATTGTAAAATTGTATCCACTGGTCTCTGTAGTATAAGGACGATTATAATACAATAGATTCGGAGGGAATACACAACATTACCTCCAATCCTGCGATGAAAGACGCAAGAGAGGAAAGAGATTGCTTCCCGCTTCCTCCAACTCCTACTAAAAGTGCATTTCCTCGTGGTGCCTCCAAAATCCGATTTATTTGACACACTTGATACATTGCGTCTTCGAATAACACTAAATGCATTGCTGATACCTGTTTCAGAGTACATTGTATGAAATTATAATAGGGACTGTTGTGTGTGTTATATTATGCAAGTCATCAATAAGCAAATTCGTGTTCATTATATCAAAAATTCTTTACCGTTTAATTTTTTTCTAGTTACATGTAAACTAATACAATTTATTTTACCATGTGACAATACAGGGTATCCAAAAAGGTCGGGGTCAAACTGATACTACATATTAATGAGGTCGAGTAGGTAAAAGAAGTTAATTTAGTACATTTAAAAAGTTCAATTTTATGTTCGAAAATGCTTTATTGAAAATTTATAAGCGTTCAAAAATTTTTATCGATTGCTATGGGAGTTATGATAAATATTCAAATTTTCCTGGTTAATGATTGACAACTACTAATCAATAAATGCAGCAATTTAATTTTTCAATGACAGATGGGAAAATCGGTAGGTAAACGACAAATTCTTAAAACTAATAATTTGATGCCGACATAGTTAACCCTCCGAGCATTGGACTCCCGGGGCGTCCGAAGCCGGATCATTTCTGACTCACATCGATAGGTTACAAACACAAAGTCACGGTAGCTCGAGCTCTTGTTTGTCTCAAGTTTTGTCGATTAGAAGGAAGGACAGCGAGTAAAAAAGGAAATAAAGTGAGCCGAACACGTAAGTCAATACTTCTGCGACGTCCTAGCCCGGCATACTGATTTTTATACAGAAATACTAATTTTTCAATTACACTATACAGTACTATTAATTATAGAAACTAAACCGATTAAAAATTATGGAAAAATTAGAAGTCGGTTTTTTTATCCCAAATCCCTATGTACTATATGTATTTACGAGTGCTTCTTACCCCACTTTCAAAAGGAATATTTCAATTATCAGTACAAAAATAAAGTATAATGTTGAAATAAATGATTATTATATTTACCAGATCATTATAATTAAGCAAAGCTTCATCCAATAACTTTGTCAGTTGGGGCCACTCTTTTATTGGCATATATTTTGGTTCACCGATTCCCTCAGCGAAATGACAATATATTATCGGCCGAGCAAATATAATATTCTCGTCCATTTCCTATAATCAAAAGTATGAATATCGTATTAGTAAACAGTACAATAATAGGGTCAGATGGATGTTGAAAACCTGATTTTCTCGAAAACTGTTAGGAAGGTAATTTTAAATTGTAATGATAACGACATCTGTTATGATCTAGATCTAGCAAAACCAATGTTTTGAACAGGTCTTCTTAGTACTTCGTCTTACTTACTCGTATAGCAGAAGTCAATAAAGAAACGTCGTGCATACCAGACCAACAAGCAACTAGGTGTAACGTACGATTCTATTATATGTATATGAAAATTTGTATGATTATTAAAGTAGTTTGTGTAGGAATTTTATTATACGATAATATAATATAATATATCGTTTGAACAACCTAATGATACATTCATAAAATATACACTGCACATAATTAACCTGAACAAAAACAAAAGCACAAACAGAAAAAATTCATTTTTCTTTGAATTATTTTTTCTTATGGAATCACCACCTGCCAGGTTGTAATGCCTGACTTGAGACACCTTGTAAACAAAATTGAAGTACTTACAGGAATATTTTTACGAAGTGATTCCTTCAATAGTTGCTGAAATGTGTTCTTGTCTTCGACATTGACCAACTTATCGGAATACACTCTCATTGCTTCATGAACATACAATCTTATTAAGTGATTGGGCGTTGGCACTGCCTCGCCATTAGCGAAAAGTATACCCTTGAAAAGCATTATATTCCTGTATTTTTTTTTTAAGTCGTAACGTTTATTGTTAAATGTAAATATTGTAAAAGACTGGCACTTAATTTCTGTTAATTACGTATATCATAGAGAACCAGTATATGTACTATCGTGATATGCATGGTGGTAACAAACTCCTGGTACATCCGGATGGGGAAGGATTTTACATGAAAAAATCAGACGAAATTTAAAATAAATTCTTGCAAGTAGTATTTTCAATACAACTTTGGAAATTTGTTGGAACCGGATGCTTTGAATAGGACTTGGCTAAAGAGTCTGTTCACTTGGTTGTCCTTTCCTTTTTTTTTTACATATTTTAATCTTTACTTTTTTGAGAAATCATGTTTCGGACGAAAAAATTTTAATTTACATTTTTAACCTATTTTTTTTATATTGTACTATCATCCACTCGATTGAACCACGAATTTGCCTTCACCTTATTCACAAATGTACAAAGTATACTTTAACTAAATTAGTATTTAATTTAGCAATAATTAAATTATTTTGAATGATTATGTATTATAAAAATTTAATGGGTATTTGTTAAGTACATAATTGTTAGTATACACACATCTGTTAAGTATATGTGGAAAAAGTAAATGCATAGAAATATCCACTTAAATGCGTAACTAAAACAATTGAAAAATGTATAGGGCAAAAGTCGCTGCTATGATTTTTATGAAAATAGATTAGATCAAACTTTGAAAAAGTCTTACTTGAAATATGTTTGACAGATCGCGTAGATTAAATACATAGTGGAATTTGACAGCTGTTGGCAAAAATGTGCTTGAAATTTTACTGTGGCAGAATAATGCTGCTGCTAATAGAAGTTCAATATTTTTTAGTAGCGACACATTGAATTTATTGAATGGATTCGTCAGATGTTGATCGAATATTTGACTATAGATTCTGATTAAATTATCCTCAGATGGAAAACTGCAATAAAAAGAGAAATAATAAGATGTATTTTCAACTTTAACGATAAAAAATTAGATATTATTAAACTGCTTACTAAATTGTAAATATAAAAGAGTTTCTTTCGTTTATTATTAAAAAATGCTCTTAAAGTGTATGAATAAATGAAAAAACAATAACAAATATACACATAACTGTGTTGGCATGTTCTTTGATAAGAAGTGTTATACTGTACTACTAAATCAGAGGTAATATTTTTCAATCAGCATTTTAAGTCTAGTGTTGAAGACTTTTTCTCTAGTTTACTTAATGTTAAAGACTACCGTTCCCGTCATGAGAGAAGGAATTCGTGGTCCCTAAGAGGAAAGAGAAGAAAACGAGAATAGTGGAGTGAAAGAGAGTGCGAAGCAAGGAATGGAAGGATAAAAGGCTGACGATAGGGAAGGGTGAGTAGGCCAGCCTAGCCATTTTGTTTTTTCTTGATGCGTGACTCACTTGACTGCGAAAACAGCGAAGTGTCTCTGTAAACGAGAATTTATTGTGAAGCTTCCAGCTGTGGGATTCATGCAGGACACGTACTGGGTATTGTGAATTTCTTTCAAAGTCAGCTTTGCTCGGTCGTACCTTAAGTTTCGAAATAATTAATTATTATTATTTCACCAAGAAGAGATGAATCTGATACGTACGTGATCTTTTTACAGTGAATTCTGGTTGAAATTATACGTTTAACAACTTATAAATTGACGAATTTTCACACTGAAAAATATGTGAGACATCTTTTTTTTAACTACTGACAATCATACCTAGGAAATGAAAACAGCTGCCCATTGGCTACTCTTGGTCTATAGTTTCCATTAACAAATTTACGCAAAAATGAAACGACTTAATAAGAAAACAATTATATTTTAATATATATTTTAATATATTTTAATAATACCACAGTAATTCGCATAACTGCTTACGTAGCTATTTTTATTATTAAAGAACAAACGAATTTTATTGACAAATATTTTCATTACGTCAAATAGTTTTTGGGATATTAAGGAAAATGTACTTTTCACCCCCAATTTTGAAGGCTGTTCTCACCTCTGAGATGAAAATGTCAGGAACTAACAAAAAATGTTTGAAATATTTTACAGTGCTACTACTTGTGCCTATAATACACAGGGTGTTTCTGAAATGGTCGTGCAACTTGAAACGATGTAATTCTACATGCAAAAATAAGTCGAAAATGTAGAATAACATTTTTTCGTACGATGCTTCGTTCCCAAGATAATCAATTTTCAAAATTCATCTAAAGCGTATGTATTCATAGTGGCAATAAATAATAATATGATCTAAGAGAACAGTACATTTGTATTTTTTAAACTATTGTACAAGATATACCCCTTTTGGTTCCCTTTTATAGTAGTTTCTACTTTGTTTAGTTCTTATTTCTGGTATTTACAAGAGTTCTAGAAATCGAAATGATTGAACTATTTTTTATTATTTAGAAATTAATAAATAATATAGGCAGTAAATGAAACACATATTATGAATGAGTATCGAAAGAAAGACATTATACAAATATACTTCACAAATGAAGGTACTTTTAATACTTTTTACACATTTTATAATTAGTACCAGTGAGTGTAATCGATGTGTTGCCGAATGAGTGTATGGGGCTGCACCGTGCCATATGTATCGACCTCAGGCATATTCATATCATCGATAAAATATATCAGCTTTTTCATACCGGGTGGCCCATAATTTCTGCCTGTCTTTTTTTCCAAATATTTCTCCATACTCCTTTGTAACATTTCTTAAATACGTTATATCAGATTACATATAACAGTCAATAAACATCTCTATGATCTTTATTAATTTTTTATTTGTCAGTTTCCATCTCTTCACACACTAACAAGGGAAGCTCCCGAATTGACAAACGCCGATTTTGATGAAACTCTGTGAGATTGTAATTCTCATAAAAACATTTGACACGTATTTTTTTAGCTACTCTTATCCACGTTGAAGGGGTGAAAACCGTCCTCAGAGTTAGGGGTGTAAACTGTATTCGGTCGAATATCTCGGAAAATAGTAGAAATATAAAAACGGTATACATTGCAATATTGTATGTTTTTTTGATAAGGTATCCAGCTATATACAGTAGACTCTAACTATATTGCCACTGAACATATTGCCACATGAGGCACTTCCCCTTCACACGTACTTTTTTCGCGCACACAAATCTCATCAAAAATCGTTGTCTCACCATGTTGCGTACGCTGGCACACCACACAGTGTGTGAGAAACACGTGTGAGCGAGGGGCGTTCCAATCGTACATTAACTAGCGTGCACTAAACGAGCTTCTACTGTAAATGATTACAATAGAAACAACAATGCAGTTTTGAACGCTAAAGCGTAAAAAATCATGGGATAAAGAAGGAATTTGTTTTATCGAGTCAGCACGTCTCTATAATCTTCTTTGAAAAGAAGATAACGGAGATAAAAACATTAATCTGATGTGGAATTATTAATGGCAATCAAAAATGCAACAAAAAGAAACGAAATATATTATCGTGCTATGATTTTTAGAATAAATATAAAATGTTCGGTGTGAAGGTAGCGAATAGCTAATCGTTGACAGTGTAAAGGAAATATTAATTACCAGAAGTGGTGTAATAATTCAGAGGTACGTTCGCAATGTTGTAATCATCCGGAAGAGAACCCAACTTCTCAGCAACGATTACACTTTTTCCCGAACCAGCCGCACCTATTAACATCACCGGCACTTTTTTCTTGATGAGAATGTCCAAGAAAAAGTGCAAGTACGCCGTGTCACCGGTTGGCACAAGAGTGGACTGTGAAACGAAATTAATTTTAAACATTTCACAAATATGGAAGTTATACATCGCGAAAAAAATCACTGGACTGGTTGCATAAAATACCGGTCATGTACAGGGTGACCTAAAAGTACATATAATTTATATGAACATGTACGGACATTTAAATTGGCCAGTGTTCTGCAAGCACTGCGTTGCGTCCAACAACAAATATTGAAAATTCATTATACAGGGTGAACCACGAATTGTGATCAGTAGAAATTACTCTGTTATTAGCAGTCCGATCGAAAATGTTTTTATCAGGTATAGCATGGTTTTAAGAGAGCTTTAACGTGATTATAGCAAATTTTTTGTCAACTCCTTTTTTTCATGATTTTTCAAGGTCACCTTAAATTTTTTGCAAATACACCTATAATTTTTGTATGCCTATCTGTTAGAGGATTTCAAGACGAATTCGGTAAGTATCATAACATAACATGTGTTACTTTTTTTTTCATCTGGGTCGAGAAAAGATTAAAGAAATATTCGAATTGTAATATTACAAAGAGTATCGTATGCTACGCTATTGTACGCGTTCCGATGTTGAGCTCTTGCCTACTGTTTGTAAACATTTCGTTCTGTACATTGGAACACATCTAATGATATCTCATATCTCGATAAAAAAAACTATGTAACAAAAAACAGATTACAGCAATGTATGCCCCCCTGGAAACCATGCAACATTTGTTTGAGAAATTTTTTTGTGCAACAAATAACTTACGAGTTATTTGAAGTCATCACGTTATGAGACTCACCCTGTATAATTTAATAATATATAGGTACTTTTAGAATTCTGATTAATGGTTGCGATAACTGAAACTTATAAGAAGATAAGTATTACGTAATTATTTTAGGATGTTTCTTTAGTCATTGTTGATAAACAAAACATTGTTGGAACAAACCTGTAGAGGGATTTCAGGATCTAATTCGAATTCATGCACTATATCAGTCCATGGCGACAGCTTTTTTGTTTCTTCTTCAATAAAATAATGAAATATATTTCCACCAGCTGGTAATTTGACCGTCTTAAACTCATTTTGCCACCATTTATTGAACTCGTTTCGCCAATCAATTAACTGGTCTTGAAAAGTCGCCGATCCGAATGCCCAAATGCAAGCAAATACAAAATACAGTTCGTACCTTTTTTTCGAGTGAAAAAACGAGCCAATATATTATTCAATTCATCAATTTATGTTGAAACTATGAAAATTGTAACTTCGTTCCTATTATGTGTATATTTAATTTGGGAAAATTTTTTGTATTATATCTATACCATTCTTTTGGGCAGTCTGCTGGTACATTATCCGGGGTTAAAAAACAATCTAACAAATTACAGAGCATTTGCAGATGACAAATATCTGGTAACGGGGTGATTTTCTTAAATCTGTGCTTCATCACATCTACCAAAGGTGGAACGTATTTATCGAATAATATAGTCAAATTTGTTCTTTCAGAAGGCTCTCTCGTCTCTATCCAACTGACTGCAAATCTATATTAAATGCAAAATCAATATGTATAATTTATTATGAAGTAATGGAAGTCTAGTAGGGGGACTTAACAGCTTCTGGACATTCAATCGTACAACATCGTCCGCCAGATACTCCGTCCCACGTACGGGTATTGGCTAAGAGCAACGAAAAGCTAACTCAGCCAAATTGGTGCTGCCTGCCATAATCAGACATAATACACATGGAGTTTTAGTGGGTATACCCATAAGGGGAGTCCCACATGGCCGGTACCACGTTCTTCCGGTGTGCCTAATGCATTTCTCCATGTATAAAAAAAAATATCAATCAACACTCCACTATTATCTAAATAACATGGCAACATAAAGTCATTTTAAAACATCTTCTTGCGGTAATTCTAGATAAAAATATCGTGGGATGCTGAAGAACAATTATACATATTGTTAAAACATTAAGCGTTTTTTTTCAAATATGTTGTTGTCTATGTATGTTTATATTAAAATTCATGTCATATATTTCTGTTTATAGGTTGTAAAAAGCGGAAAAATTTGTTAAGGTCTATTGGTGTACACAAATCGACAATGCTGACCCCTAGAGAGTCGAAATTATATTTAATTGCGATGAAGTTGCAAAAACAGGCTAAAAGACTTCATATTCAAAATTCCATTTTAAGAAAGAGATTAGAAGCAACAAGCAATTTCACAAACATGTCAATTTTTAAAAAATACATTAATAACAGTACGACAGTTAATTTCACCCATTCGCAATTTCTGTTTACACATTTTAAAATCCAGAGGCCGGCGTTTCAATATTCAAGACGAAGTATTTGCTTTCTAATCTAAATGAGTTTTCTTCCCTACTAACCAAATTGTAATATGTAATGTAAATGTATTTACCTTAAGCAAACAGTCAGTGTCTCAATTGGACTTATCCCATAACCCTCTTACCCCATGGACCCCCAGCGGAGGCGGTGCACCTTCATCGAGGTTTTCCCCGCGTCAATAAAAAAAGAGAAAAAAAAATATTGCAACGAGTCTACGAAATACTATAGGGAGGATTTAACATTGAATATCCAACACTTCTCACTAACCTAATACAATTCAAGTAAACTTTAAAAAAATTCAGAACTTTGTTCACGTTTGGTTTACGTTAAAACCAAGACTAAGTGTATGAATATATAATTTTTCATTGTAGGAATAATAGACATTAAATTACTCACGGGTACCATCCGATGTCTTGCGGATTTATGTAAAGAATTCCGGCTCTGGATACTGTCGCTGGAGTGGCCGTTCTAAAATTTCCAACATTTGAATTGGTTTATATTCTTTAATATACATGTAAAAAATAAGAAAATATACTGTTTAATAGTAAGTGTATGGTAAAACAGGTTTTATGCACTTCTAAAATTTACGAATTTGTGGGACGCAATACAATTGAACATAAACTACATATATTTTACTTTTAATCTAAATGAATTTTTAATAGAAAAGGTTTTGTTTTACTCCAGTTTTTACAAATTATTATAAATTTGTAAATTGAAATAAAAATCCGCTGTAAATTAATTAAGTAATAATTCATACATTCAATAATAAAATTAATGTAAACTGAACATTACAATAAGTAATAAAAATGATGCAAATATAAAATATTATAAAATGAACTGGACAAAGTATGGTACAATCATTAGATATTTGACAGTATAACAGGGAGCAATATGTGTCGAAATCGCTCGAAGACAGATTTCATCACCCTGCTATTGTTCAACCACTATTTCAGATTCCTTCAATAATATGAAAATGAAAGTCAAAGAATAAACATACTTATATTGAATGAATTTAACTACTTTTCAATAAATATTTACAAAGTGACAAAATTGAGATTGTTACCGAAGATTGGAAATCTCAAAGAGAAGTCTCATGTGGGCCGTCAGAGCTATTCTTTCGTTGCTAGCTAATGTTAGTACTTTGTTGTCATCCATAACAGTGTTCAATGATTCGATCCACATTGGATCTATGTCACCGTCAAAAATGATCCACTTTGGATCGTTTCCTGTCATGTTTGCTTGATCCCTCATTATCACTGAGAACAATCTTAAAAAATATTAAAATCATTAATTATTTAACTTCTTACGATAAACATTCTAAACGAGTAGGTAAATATAAGCGACTAAAAAATCGAGTTTAATTGATTTTTCAACGTCACAGGTAGGGAACTGTGGAGGGAAATACTGACGCAGGGTAATCTCGGATACAGTAATATTTACTTTATATTTATATGTTTATACATATACAGGGTGTCCCAAAATAACTTCGTCTCCCGAAAATGAGGGGTTCGTGAGATGATTTGAAACAACTTTTTCTTTAGCAAAAATGTTATCCGAATCTCTGTTAACGGGATATTAACGAAAAACCCCGACCAATCAGAGCGCGAGTCTGTCGGACGAGTTCCCGCGGTAACGTTAGGTACCAATCGCAGCGCGTAACCAACGTTACCGCGGAAACTCGGCTGGCAGACTCGCGCTCTGATTGGTCGGGGTTTTTCGTTGATATCTCGTTGACCAAGCCTCGGATAACATTTTTGCTAAGAAAAAACTTGTTTCAAATGACCTCACGAGTCTTCCATTTCTGGGTCCTCCAACATCTTTGTTTCACCCTGTATATATATTTTCCACATGAATAAAAATTCATATGGAAAGACTTGCTTCGAATGTTTGTCATAATTTTGCATGTATGCCTTCTTTTTAATTAATTCAGAATTTTAGGTACGTTCTATAAAATTTCATAATGGTATTGTATATGAACACATTTATGATTTCAAATGCATTATTCTTATTTTATCTACTATATGCTACTTATGATACTATATCTTGTAGAACGAAATAATAAAAATATTCAGAGTGAACTGAATGAAACGTTGGAAATAATTCGAAGACCGTATCGTGAATTTACTTAAGATATCGTAAGTAATATCATACCCGTCTTTCCACTCTCGAGTAGCCGGATTAATGATTCCAAACAATTCGTCATTGGTCACAGCTTTCGGATTCAAATCATTGTAATACGGTTTTAGTTTCTGATTAAAATAGGTTCGATAGAGTGTTTTCCAGACTTGGGTCTTCCCAGTCCCCGCAAAGCCGACAATGAAAACAGAATGTCGAACGTGAAGTAATTCCTCCAATTGAACGACCTAATTATGTAAATTCAGTTTTTGACAATTTCTGCAGAAAACGCGTGGCACGTTGACTGCCCATTACAGAAAACATCGCAAAAAAGGAATTTGTTTATAATTTTCAGTACTAATAAATGAATTTTTCATATAACAACGCAGTTATTATAATAGAGCGATCCTTCTAGATTAAAATAATCCAAGAACGAACTCGCTACCATAAATACTTTTCGAAATATAAATTTTTAAATACAAAAGTACATCACGGTTTCACGAAAATAGGCAAAAATCGTATACTTGCTCTTCAAACGGATACATCGTGCCCGGTTGACTGATGTTATACTACTCTTATCATGTTTATGTTATTGTGCAAACTTATTAAAGTGTCCTTCAAATAGTGTTTATTTTCAGTAAAGTAAACCGTAAGTATTATCGATTTTCTCTACTTTCTATGACCTTTAATGACCTTGTCTAATAGGTCACTGAACTCGTTTTAAGTTCCTCTATCATTCTACGGAAACAAAAACATACCGATCTATTTAAACAAAATGGAGATGACCTTGAAATATCCAAAGTACCTCCACCTGCGAAGAAACTATTAGCACCATCGGATGGCTCTCTTCGTACTGTGCAATTTTAGTTAAACAAATATTTCTGTGAACCTTATAATTTCGAAGATATCTGAGGTGGTAATAGTTATTATCCCACCCTTTATAATTACATGTCGTATCGTGTGGTGACTTAGCAGGCGTGCACAAGGGACATAAATAATAAAAATCTGTGAAACTGTTTGTGGCAATTTCATAAACACACATGCCAATGGATTTGGTAAGTTTTGGATTGTAAAGTTTTATTATATTATAACTGTAATAGTTCTTCTAAAATCGTATTCCAAAGTCAAATTGTTACTTCGAACACACGATGATGTCTAATATGTTATAATCATATATTGGTGAAATACTCCATTGTATCTAACAAAAAGGAAACGCAAAAACTGTCCGCTCAACTTAGCAACAAACGCTTGACTAAAATAGACTGATGAACTGAGCGACTAATTAAAACAGAGTTTGGTAACTTCGCATGAATTTGTAACCTTACTTTCAAGATGAAACCATCCTCTGGTTGTAATTTTAAATCAACTGCTGCTTCTTTAACTGTTAGTTCGAATTCCAAGTCCCTTTTCCGTGGCACATCCAAAGCAGGGAATAAGTCTCCTAAAGACATCGGTAAACGGAAAGTGAGTAACTGCTACTAAGATGCTGGTACATAATAGTTTATCTTTAAATCACATAAAATATTCCAACGTGGAATTCTAAGTAACTCATGGATTTTAACTGAAATTGTGGATGGTCAACGATAATTAGATTACTTAATTTAAATTACTAAATTAATGTGACAGTGAGTCACAGAAGTATTCGTACTCTCGCAACTCTTGAATTCAAATGATTAATTTTTTTTTAACAATATACATTCTGAAATGTTTATCAATAGATATGTATAATGCAATAACTAAGCTTTCGAACGATCTGTCGTTTATTGAAAAATAACAATTCATAGTAATATAAATGGAAACTTAAGTAAATCACTGCAAAAATTTCACAAAAGTATTCGTATTTGTATCAGTTGTATCGATGTGGAATAAAAATAATTGTAACTAACAGTTCAGTACGTAATTAAAAGTATAAAATCCACTGGGACCGTGATAAATAAACCACGTAAAAAAGATCTAAAAAAATTAACAACTCTGACGGAAAAAGGCTGTTGAGAAATGTTACAAAAAATCGAAGAATAAACGGACCAAAACTCGCCACATTTGTTGCAGCATATTTCAATATGGACGTGGATGTAGAAACTTCTAAAACAATTTTCAGAAAAAAAGGATTTAATGGCCGTGTATCACGAACGAAGACGTGTATAGAGGGTTACCCTTACTTCACCGACAATCATTTCACCGACATCATTTCATTGCCACCGAAAAATATTTTTATATATTTTAAACTATTTTTAAACACTTTGTTGCTTACGTACTTAATCGTGTTAGTAGTCTGTAATAAATTGAGAAGGCAGAATATACTCACCGATAAGTCCCATAAAGACAGGTACATCGTCCGTTATGATTTTTGGGATGTTAAAGTCTCTGAGAGCTCTCATTAACACCTGATCCTCCTCTCTTTGAGGATCGTCCCTTTTCAATTTTCCAGCAACAACCAAAACCGATTTAATTGCCCTTAAACCCCAGTCGTAGTGATCCTGCTTCGACAGAAGTTCTCGGCAGAGCTGATAAAGCGTTATGAATTTTCTAGCCAACAATCTAGCCTCTTGAAAACCTTCCGCTACCAGCATGATCTCGCAAATAAGGTCGAAATCCGGCACTACCATCGCGCAGGGCCTTTAAAGGAAGTCAGTACACAAGATGTTACACGTAATTGATATCAAAAAACAACAAAAAAAATGAAACAAAAGTAATTGGAAGACCGTGAATAGTACATAAATTGCAAAGGTTTATGCACATTCACAGTTTTTGAGGCAAGATTTATAGAATGAATGTCAAAACGAAACTTACGATCTTTATTAAAGCGTTTCTGAAGTCAAAAAAATTGTCACCAGGTGATGAACTAGATGAATGAAATCGGCGTATTCGAGAATGAGGTGATTGACTCGCGATATAAGCTATGCCCCTTGATGCCATTTATCAAATGTCATTTGATCATTTTAAGTTCCACGCCTCAAAATTTTCATGAAGTATACCGTCAAGTCATTATTCGAGGTGATCAAGTTAGCTGAGACCACCTGCATATTATCATTGCGTATAACCCTGCAGCTCTAGATTATTAGTATCGATGTATCATATTTTATATAGTGAAGAGTATGAAAAATCGGTCCTAATAAAAAAATTAGCTTTCACCATCGAATTAATTCCCTTCGAATAAAAAAATTATCTTTCGCGGTCGAATAAATATCCTTGGAATAAAAAAATGATCTTTTCCATCGAATAAATTTCCTTCGAAAATTTTATTTATCCGTGATCTTTCGAATAAAGATCAATCGAGTTATTCGAACTTTTGAATAACGGGTAAAGATAAATTATCTTTTATTTGATTCGTTATTTAAATAACTTTTTATCTATATAATAATCATCTTTGTCTGACACCAATGTCCTATTATATTGCCCATGTTCGATTATCTTGAAAACGAAACATGATCCGAAAAATTTTTATTCCTCTTTTCGAGTCACTTCTTCTTATAGAATAACCTCTTGCCCGATTGTACTACCCGACCTGTGACTCCCCATATACATACTTCCATATAGTACTTCTATGAAATCCATATATCAGTGGAAAATTAAGGAAAAAAGTGCAACGGGAACTAAACAACTTAAATACATTTGTATTTACCGGAACAAGGTTTTCAAATTTTCCGGTAATTCTGTTCTTCCTGCGTATCCTGGATTCATCGTGATGAACATTCCAACAGTATTAACGAGATTTAGTTCTTCCCCAAAGAACAAGAATGTCAGTTTACCACTTTTTACCCCATCCAGAACCGACTTTACTTGCACAGCAACCACAGAGAGCACTTCCACCGAAATGCGGTTGAATTCATCAAAACAACCCCACGCACCTACTTGTGCCAGACCTTTATAAATATTTCCGCAAGACTATAAAAGGATAAAATATAATTGTTCAACATTAAATATTTAATTTGTTGTCATGATTGGAATTAGAATTACTAAAGACATTAAAATTTTTGTGTTATATTTATCAACCAAATAATTACAAAATCACTACTATAACATGAACACGTATGAACATATTTTATAAGATTATTAAACATATATTGAACATACTACTGGCAAACATTATTGCATCACTTGTACACTAGTGAAAAATTGTCGTCATTCAATATTCCATAACTTTGTTAATATTCATCAAAACCTGTTCAAAGGTTTTCCTTTAACTAAAGAATAGTCTTTTTTTAAGTTTTACATAGAATGGCCCCCTTAACCCTCGAACTACTGGACCACGCACTATTGTACTCGAGTCACTTCTGACCCCACACCGATATTCCGCTAACACAGTGACGGTGCTCGAGCTCGAGACCGATATACTACAGCATTGTGTCGATGGCAGCAAAGTACAATGGACAACTGCAATTTTCTTGATTTTCATTACTTCACATAAATAGACTGTAAATAATGTTTAGTCTATTTAGTTAAAAAAGTGAAAATCGACAAAACTGCAGTTGTCCTTTGTACTTTGCTGCCGTCGAATTGTATGATTTTGTGTAGAATAGTTTTTGCAGCCATACCTCTTACAATAATTGCATGTCCAAGTATGTTTATTATTGTTCCTTTGTCAAGAGATACAATAAATTCCAATAAAATACAGTCTTTCTAAAATAAATTGTCTAACTCATCGGACACGTCTTGCTGTTTCAGAGCGTATGAAGGAACTAATTCGTTTTCTCTATTTCTGCACTTCCATCGCAACTTCTCAAAAGAGCCGCAGAAGTTTTGTCAGGTAGAAAAAGAACCGCGAGTGAAAAAGAAGTAGGAAGTGAATCGAAAACGTAAGTCAATATTTCTGCGGCGTCTCAACCCAGCCGTTTCCATAAAATGTCACAAACCTCGGTCACGTCTTGACTTACACGGACAGTTCCGTCACTGTGTGCGTGTCAATTTCGGGACCTCATGTCCCTTCCACTGACTCTGTCACTACGTGCGTGCGTGTTGCGCTCGAGACGGGTCAGAAATGACTCCGACACCGTAGTCGGAGGGTTTAAAAAACGGATCGTTGATTCGAAAATTTCTGAAAGTCCTATTGAACTTGTAATTTTACCTTATAGTCCATTTGCTCCGAACAATTGAAGACATACACCATTTGACCTAATGCTCGTCCTAAATCTTTCGTGGTTTCCGTTTTTCCTGTTCCTGCGGGTCCTGCCGGTGCACCTCCCATTATGAGATGCAACGATTGCGTTAAAGTGATATAACATCTGTCGGTTAACGGTGTTATCACCAACCGCGGAACATTTCCTAAATATTCGTGATTGTATCTGAAGGTTGCGTCACATATATCGGCGTAACAATCGTGAGCTTTATCGTCCCATCTGTTAGTTATTTTATGATAAATGTTAGTAATGGAAAGCTCACGAACATCTATAGAAGTAATACTATATCCCACTTTTAAAGGCCCCTAGGTACCAAATGTCATGTATCAATAGATATGTCATTTATTCAGCTGCAAGATGAGCTGTATTATGTGAGTTAGTCGAATTTTAGACACGATATAGAAAGTATTAAATACAGTGTACGTGGAAGTACAAATCCGCTCTGCTTTACTCTACGGATTTGAACTCGATCAAAAAGCAAAAGGAACAGCACCGAATGTACATGAAATATTTCAGAAAGATGATCTTAATGATCATAAAGAACAATTTCGATTTACAAAATTTCGACCTAGTATCTGATGATACTATATTTAATTCCACCCAAAAACTAAATGATACCAAAGAAACAAAAGATAGACAAATAAATTAATTTTTCAAACACATACAACGACTTTTTTTTTTAGATCCACGTTGATGAAACATTTTTATTCTTTAATTGGATGAGCACTATTTATATTTAAAATTTTGAACCACCGTTTGATCTATCTTTCTGTATACTTTCAACCACACATGCTTACACTCAACATGAAGACAAATTCAATGATATTTAACATATTAGAACCAAAAATATTTTTTTGTATCAATTAAATTTCTCACCGATGCCTGAGTTGAGATTGCCATTGAAAACTAGAAGAATTTTCCGCTTTCATTGCGATCATCTTCGCGACAACGTCCCTAGCGTGCACATCTATCGTGCAGATCGTCATAATTTTCCTTCTATCGTTTTCATTTAACTCTCCGCAAAGTATAGTAATTAGGGCGTTCAGCTGATTTATTTGTTTCCGTTGATAATCTTTAAACGCATTTTCGAAACCCTCTTCTAGTCTCATAAAGGCCATGTTCACTTCGGTTGTCCACCAAATTTGACTGCCACAAAGGGCTGGTTGAGCTTGGTGATCAAAGATCCACACTTCCCTGGGTTTTTCGTCGTAATTACCTACGGCTTGAGATATGAGATGCCTTACTGTCCTTTTCATTGCATCTGTCACGTTATTCAACCAGTTTTCTACCTGAAAGTCCAAATAACATTAATGGATGATCATTTATATCTTTTTCTACTATGCAGATTGTTCGGTGTAAAAATTCACATATCGTGTTCTTCAGTGTATAAATACAGAATGTTTCAAGTTGTAATACTGAATTAAAAGAATTATATAAACATCCTATTTTCCACACCTATAAGTGTTAAAATATCCTATTCTCAATAATTACACAGTTATGATATATATATATAGTACGAGGCGATAATAAGATTAACCATACGAACCTGGTAATGTTTTATCCAACATGTGCTATTTTAGTGTAAAATAGAATAACAATACCGTTTCTTTGAAACAAAAACTTACAATTACAAGTATTAAATATTATACAAAAGTTCATCCAAACAAACTGATAGGCCACTAGATATTTATTCCGTGAAAAACAGCAAAAACTATGTTTATTAATATTTATATAGGGACATTCCACGAAAAATCGACCAGTGTTTGCACTGGATAGTACCCACGCGAAATTGGGGTGGGAGTAAGTCATTATTTTGCTAGTATTACATTTGTTTAGAAAATACAGGTTAAATACGATAAATAGTGTCAGAGATATAAATTTCTACAATATATTTTCACGAAAATGAGTAGGAATCGCAAAGTTAAAAGTTCTGTATCTCTTAAACAAATACGAACCCCCCCTCCTAATTCCACGTGGACTACATCATATTTTCATTTTGAGCAAAATCTCAGACCTCGAGGGAAAAAAATGATCGATTTGGTGTGGAAAAACCCCTATCCGTTGCTGGACACCCTGTATGTACCGACTAGAGGTGTAGGATTAAAGAGTTTCGATCTAACGACGATATTTTCAACTATCAAAATTGATACTTAATTAAAATACCTTTCCACTGCAATCACAAGATCCGTAAAGTGTCATCGTTTCACCGTCTTTAGCGACCATTACAATTGCGAACTTCGTTGGTTTGTCACCGTCCATTTTCCATTGTAACTTCGCAATGGAATCGTACAATTTTGACAAGTGCTTACAAACCAGTTCAGGATTATTGCCTTCAAAATAATTGAATCATTATTTCAATTTCTTTATCATCAGAGTAAGTTCATCACAAAAATACCGTTTTCAAACACAATTGTAACAATAATTTGTTTGTAAAAATATTGACAGAAAAATTATGAATATATACAAATTCCCAGATCAAATAATGAATTCCTAGTAGTTAACTGAAGAATGATAAATACGGCGAAGTTTCTTTACCATTGCTCAAGATATCAAGGAGATCAGCTGCAGAAATAAAATAAAATCTCGGATAAATTAATCTTTTTGTTTCCAAATAATCGGCTAGTGCTTTTTCGCAGAAATTCAACTGAACTTGTAATTCTTCTAGCTTCTCTAACAGTTTTGGACGATTAGTTGCTTTGACGATGTTTAAATTACTCAGCATTTCCCTTAACAGCTCCTTAAAACCGAAAATTAGCTTTGGTATCGAAACAGCTTTCACTATTTATAATTTAAATTTATACTTAAACACAGTATTAAACTACAGTAAAGACGCTATAATTCCGTGAAACTCGCTGGCCCTATCTTCTGTGAAAAAGGGTTAATACAAAAATTATTGTGAATAATTAAATTTTTGTATTATGTTATTTGAAACTTATGTTTTATAAAAGTGGTTTTTAAACAAATGATAGTCACGAACATGTTAACACTAGCAGTCGACAATTTCGCGCGCGACCTACGATTGGAATGGCATGCAACTTATAAAAATGGCTTGTTACCACAGAGTTCTGGCATTAAAATTGAGAATAATTATGGAAACAATTACTTTGTAATATCACACTTGTAATCATTTGTTTGAAATTGAAAATGCTTAGTTTCATGAACAAACTTGCCTCCCTATAAATGTGGAATGGCAACAATAGTTATAGATTTTAAAATAACGTAAAACTACATCAGCGGCTGGGAAAGTGTTAAATCCGAAACTATAATAAACACATAATTAAGAAGAATACTTTAAAGTCCCTGTCGATTTTTTCGAACCGCTTTGACTCTTCCGGAAGTTGGCTTCTAATATCCTCGGAGCCGATGAAAATACTTTCAAGATGCATCCATGCTCTTTGAACTTCGAACCACGCGTTAATCACGGCGTCTGCATTGCTTAATTTCTTTTGCCAATCCAAAATGTCGTCGAGGAAATATCCCACAAATTTCGAACCCAACATATTCTGTAGTTGCACCTATTACGATTCAATTATAATAAACGTAATATTTTTTTGGTCATATAGAACATCAAATGTAAACCAATTTTTCATTTTAAACTTATATTATCATTTATTTCCTTTTAAATCTATTATAGTGTACCTACCTATTGTTCTATTCCCGAGTTATGTATTAATTGTTCAAAATACGAGGGAAATTCTCGTAAAAACATCTGACACGACGGGTTATTCTTTATTCTACTTGAGAAGCGAGTTCTTCAACTGTTTACTTTATTTCATTCAGAACTGAAACGGCGGGAGTTTGGGTTCGAGGTTAATTGGGTTCGATTGTTTTCAATGTCAGAAACGAAAAGTTATCCGACCATGCATGCAATGCAGACAAAAAATTCGCTATAATGATTTATTTCTTTAACACGGTCAAGTGAAAATGATTGAAACTTGGCAGATATTTTCATCTATCTGTATACTAGATGCACAAAGAAATCGAAAACATTGGTACTATTTCTTCAACATTTTTTCAACTATTTTATCCGTCAATATTATCCTTTTCCATATGAATACGTGTAAAATTCATGAACATTAAAATAGTCACTTAGCAACCGTTTTCACGCGTATATCTAACGTTTAATAACTTGGAAACAAAACCTCGAACGCAATTTTATCATTCTTTATTTTTGTCTTATTTTCACATATAGAATTCACTGTAGGAAAGTGTCCCCATTAACTCACTTATAATTGTAGTTATTATTCAAAGAATGTTTGCTGTCAAGATTCATTAAAGCAAACAAAATATTTATGTACATACATAATGTATATTATACTCTCCTTTATAGACTAGTCGCTTAATTTATTATCAGTGGCAGTTATACCTCAAAGACAGTAATAAATATGTTTGTAAGATTCTGTTCGGTAGTGTAGATGAAAAAATATATTTAATATACTTTTTCTACACTGTATACTTTTGCTGGCATATATACAGTAAGTATAAATTTTAGATTTGATAAAACATTATTTGATAAACAGTAACGTAAAAAATTTACAAAATATTGTGCACGAATTTCTAAATATTTTTAGTCAAAGCCTAATTCATTTCGGAAGGAAAATTATTATTCGCAGAGAAGGGAGAAATCATAATATTACCTGATTATCTTCAAGGGTTTCTATAGTTTCCTCGTCGATTTTAAGAATGTTTAATTTCGTACGATCGTGTAGCTCTTTGCCAAATTCAAGAGTGCTCCAGGTATCATGAAGTTCTTTCAACACTTTCTCCATCGCCATTTCTTTTACTGATTTAGCCACGATATTTTTTACTTCTTCTTCATATTTATGCAATTGCAATTTCAATAAATCTTCCAGCGTGGTACTATCGGTCATACTAAACGCAACCTATCGATAAACAGTATTTTAGTTTCATCAACATCGACATCATTAGAATACGTTTTATGTAAAATAGAATCTATTTTGCAATTAATTTACTACGTTAGAGTACCCTGAAACCTACTCTAGCAGAAAGTTTTACAGATGTTTGGAAACGTCACTATTAGTTATGCGAATGCATAGAACAGATTCACCCATGCAGTACCCATTTGTCGAGTTTCTTTGACTTCCCAATTTGGTCTAAAATCTTAAACATTACAGACCTACTTCTACTATTTACATTTTTTGTATAATATCCAGGTATAAATGATATGTGTAACATGTATTGCCACAAAAAGTTACTAGTAAATTTTTCATAAATTTACTCCTATCATTGGCAACGTGTCGATCACTCTGTTCCGATGTTCGACATGTCAGCACTTCTTGTGGTGATTATAAAGAACGCGACGAATATGATTATTAGAATTATTTTTCATATCAAATAAGTAATTTTTTCCTATTGTAACAAAAGCAACATAAAATCTAATCGTACAAATCCGACCAGGTATGACAAGTGTAAAAAAAGTGAATAAATGATGAAAAAATATATTTGAAAAGAAGTGTTTCCTTGAAATATAATAGAAAAAGTATTGAGACATACACATACCTATCGTGTGATTTTTGAACATAATAATCAGTAAAAGGACTTTACCGACTTTTGGTATTCTAAACCAGTGTATCGTAAGTGGAATAATTATAAATTATGGCTACTTATTTTATGAACACTCTGCGTGTGTATGTGCGTGCGTGTATATATACAGGGTGTAACAAAAATGTTGCAGATCCCTGCAATGGGACATTCGTGAGACGATTTGGAACAAGTTTTTCCTTAGCAAAAATGTTATCCGAGTCTTTATTAACGAGATATTAACGAAAAACCCCGACCAATTAGAGCGCAGGTCTGATGGCCGAGTTCCCGTGCTAACGTTGGCTACGCGCTGTGAGTGGTAGTTAAATATGTTAATACACGTGTATTAAAATATACGTGAAATAGTACTCGTGTCTTAAATAAACGTGAAAATGTACACGTGTATTAAATATACATGAAATAGTACTCGTGTCATAAATAAACGTGAAAATGTACACGTGTATTAGATACACGTTAAGTAGTACACGTGTACCCGTGTACATAAAATGACACGTACTTCAGTACGTAAGAATAATTTCGCTTGGGCAATGACAAACGTGTTTTCAACGATACGGTGAAAATTAGTAAACGTACTAATTATGCAACTAATTACCCGCGTTTCAGCCATTAATTCCCTCCAATGTCTGTCTCTAATTGCTGGGTTCTGTAATTCCGCAACTGCTCTTAACGACGCCATCATGTTTCTGACTTGGGCTTCAACGTCCGCGTACAGCTCCCATGAACGTACGTCTTTGTCCAGTTCTACGAACGAAAATGTTCATGAAATTGTATAATAATAGATCTACCACAAATAATACAAATATATTATTACTAAGTTAAATTGTTTATTAATTGTGATGAGAGCGTAATTATTCTCTATGAGGTACAGTAAATAGACTCTGTTCAATAAAATCGTGTCGACGATTACACCTAAACGAAGAATGTCCGGGAAAAAATAAATGGTGTACGTGAAAGTGCAGGTGTCAGGTTATCATGCAATGTATCTGGTAAGAGGTTTAATTGCTAGAGTAGTCTTGGATGACACAGCAACGGCGGGGCATGCCCTATGGCAGCAGTGGGCAAAGTTAGCTCTCGGGAGCTAAAACATGTCCCCACCACCGTCCACCGTTACCATGGAGTGACAGAGACAAGAATCTGGGCTTCTTTGTTTCCACGAAGGCACACGGTGCGAAAGAAAGGTTGGAAGGGGAAACAGGCGCGTGAGGTACCACTACGCTGCCCAGCGCTGCCCTATAGCTTCCAGATAGTAAGCACGTATTAAAAATTATTTTGTAAATATCTCGTTAACTATTAGGTTTAGGACGTATGAAGGTTAACGTATTTATACTCAGAATTTAATACTCTATCGATCTATGGAACAGAAAATGGCTATTCCGTTAAAAAAAATCAAGGTGACAAACAAATTGTACTAAATCGTTTATAAGTTGAACAAACTTTAAAGTCGATTTTCTCGAAAACGGAGCCCTGGATGAGAAAATGTTATAACAAAATATTTTCTTCGTTTTTAACGTAGAATCACCCCCTGCCTGGTTGTACTACGATTTCCCGGCCCACCCTGTAGATAGTAAAGGGGAAGAAGATTGCTCACGTCTCAATTCTCTGAGTAGTTTCTTGCATTCTTGGTCCATCCATTCGACATCGATCTTTTTCCATGTGGTCTTTTTCCATTCGTTTAAACTCGTACTGATTACGTTCACGTAATCCCATAAGGTTTTTAGAAGCTGCATTTCTTTTTGTACTTGCTTGGTCACTTTAAACTCGGGCATTTCTTGTTCAAAGATTACCGTTTGATCCTTCAGTGCCTTCTCTTCGTTTAGAAACGTCACAACTTCTTCACGTATCTTATTTAATTTCTCATAAGGATCATTACATTGGTCGCTAGAAACAATTTGAACAAGTGTATTCATTCGGAAATCTATTGAAAAAAATATAAAACGAAGTAGATCATTTGTTTCATGGAGGAGAATTTATACTAAAATCCTGTGTATCTTGGTATTATTTACGCGATAGAAATCCCATAATACAACATTATTAACATTATTCAATTATTGTTTGAAGGATATATTTACTGTTACCAATTTACCTAAAAACATCGTTTTTATGAAATTCTTCGAGGAAATGTTGCTGTTTGAAATCGTGGTAGCTCAATCTCTTTTTCAAAAGTTCAATTTGACGAGTCATTAAAGGTTGTACGACTTGTTTGACTTGAGCGGCTACTTTTTTTAAAGATTCCCAACTATGGGGTAATTCTGTTAACCAATCAAATATTTTCGGATTCAGAACCACTTGATAGTGTTGCAGGAGCTCTATTGTTTTCTGAAAAATGGGTTGTTAAATAGAAAAAGATTTACAATTACATTACAGTTTTCAAACTCGCAATATTTTTCTAATGTATTACAGTTTAACAAAGAAGGTATTTAGTAATTATGTAGTCAAATTCTACTCCTCTTTCATCTAAATATTTACATAGATTGATATAAAGATGTCATATCCATACACAATACATCATGAAGATATTCAAAAATAGGATTTGTTCCGGTATCATGTCTAAATTTCATATAAATAAAATTATGTTGTTCATTATTTACCACTAAGAAAGATTGTTTTAATGGAGACGTAAAAGCTATATAGTCAACTTAAAAGTCTGCATTAGAAATTAATTGTAATTTACAAACGAAATGTATTTAAATTCTATCTATTTGATCAATCAGAACTGTTATTTAGAAAATCATTATTTAGAAAATATATACGGACATACTAAATATAATGTTAAATAAATATTGAAAATATTACACTGAGGTGGTGAACGAACTTTAAGGGATTAGACTACTTTGACCGATTAAAGAATACCGCCCATTTACAAATTTACTGTATAATAACGAAAAAATATTTTTATAAAAAGTTCTTCGTTAATTATGAAAGCATATATGTGAACGACACGCAAGAATTATTTTGAATTTTACCAAGTATAACAAAATCGTACGTGAAATTTTCTTTAACTACCAGTTCCTCACAAATTGTACACAGTATTTGATTACACCTTCCTCTACAAAATGAAAAACCAAATCAGCATCATTTATTTCCTGACATTTAAAACCTTATGTAAGATTCGACAGATCGATGGTTCACTGATATTCAATGCTAGTGTATGTTTAATCGCAGAACGTTTTGGACTGCGTGTTATGGCAGTTCGAACTGTGTCAATGCTTTCTGGCGTTCTAACAGTTTTTCTTGCTCCTTTATGTTTCAATTTTAAAGCGAACCCAGTTTCTTCCAACTTTTTAACCCATAAGTCAATTGCATGAACAGACGGTGCCCGCCCATGACACGGAATATTGAACTGATTGCGAAATAACCTTCGCACAGTTGTCGCATCATTTTTATAAAACGATTTAGCACAGAAAGCACGATGTGCACCTGGCCACTGTTCCATGTTTACTAATTGGCATTAAATGACTGACAATATATCATCACGTTCAGCGCCCTCACCCAAACGTGAAGTGAATAACCAAGCTTTTAAATTTCCCCGCTTCACTAACGTACCCTGCATTAGTGAAATAAAAGATATTATTTTATTTAAAGAAATAAAATAGACATTCACATGTTCTCTACGCATTCGCCTATAAAAAAAGCACATACATCACATTATGTGCACCTAGAAAACATTCAACTTTCGCCCCAAGTATTTTTTAGTATCATCAACAGTTCGCAAGATATTCAAGTGAATCGATTTGAATGGGACACCCTGTACAATTGATGAAACCATCTTGATTAATGAGGAATACTGCTGAAGCATATAAAAGTTAGGCATTTATAAAAAAACCGCACGACTTTATGGACCAATTTAATACATTTACCACTACATTACCTTAATAGGATCGAACATATCTTCTATTTCAAATTGCCGATCTCTAATTTCTTTTAAGTAGGAAATAGTCACTAAAAGCGCATCATAATCATCTTCTTGTATAGATTGCGTAAAATTTTCCATCGCTGCTTTTAAAAACTCAGCCAAATCCTCCAATCTGAAGAGTAAAAGTGAAGTTTAGAACAATTGTATAGAAGAATAATTCAAAATTAATTACATAAAAATATTAAACTCAGACAGCTTGTGTAATATATTAAACTATTTTTTTGAAGTATAGTCGATTTCACATATTTAAACTAGTTATCTGCCCATGAGTTGCTCAAAATAATCACATTACGCCTCAATGATATTGGAAAGAAAAACATATCCAGTGCCGTTTAGTGCTATTTGTCTACAACCATTTACATAGACCTAATATTTGATTCTGTGTTTTTATAAAATTATATCGAATTATATACAGTAAATATCCTTTAACTACACGGAGGGATCTGTCCGATAACTGCTCGCGATTCATATTCACTACTGGGCGGAAAGCGGAACTCCCTCTAGGACTGGTGAAGCGTATACATATATACAGGGTGCCCAGAAATAGCTTCGACTTCCGGAAATGAGGGGTTCCTGGGATGAGATGAAATAACTTTTTGCTTAGCAAAAAATCGACCGAAAAAGTATACGTCCTAAACCTAATAGTTAACGAAATATTTACAAAATAACCACTGTATTGAAATTGCTGTATTGAAGTTGAGAAGTATCAGTTCGACCATCTGTAGCTTCCAGCTAGTAAGTACGTATTAAAAACTATTTTGTACATATCTCGTTAACTATTAGGTTGAGGTCGTATGGGGGTTAAGACATTTTTACTCAGAATTTGATTTTCTATCGATCTATAGTACAAAAAGTAGATTATTCCGTTAAAAAAACAACACGGTGACCTTAAAATTTCTGAAATTCTTGATATCACTTAAGTTCCACGCCTCAAAATTTTCATAAAGTGTACCGTTAAGTCATTATTCAAGGTGATCAAGTCAGCTGAGACACCCTGTATATAAGGTTGATTCTGGCTCACGGATCCAACGGAAATATTGATCACACAATTGCATTCATAATATAAATTTATTAATATAATATAAGATAATTATATAATATAATAAGATATTATAGGATTAATCATATAAGACAACCTAATTTTCGGCTTCAACGGAAAGTTTTCACGCTATTGCACGCGTAGATGAGATACAGCTAACCTTGAACGAATAATTTGGGCATTGATGACTCAGCATATGATATTATACATCACACTTTCCGTTATATCGTCTTGTATTCTCATGCTCTTGCACGCGTATGTAAAGCGGACCTAACTTTCAGCTCCAACGGAATGTTCTCGGAAGTTCTCGAAAGTTCTCGTGCTCTTGCACGCATAGATGGAACAGACATAACCTTAAGCGAATAATTTAAAAATTGATGATTGACCATATGATATTACATTATGCAAGAGTACGAGAGTTAGTCTAATATCATATAACTCATATGCAGGGTCATCAATTTCGAAATTCGCTCAAGGTTCGGTCTGCGTCATCTACGCATGAAATAGCTCGAGAACATTCGAGTACTTCCGTGAATATTCCGTTGGAGCCGAGGGTTAGGTCTCCTTTACATTCACATGCAATGGTGCAACGTATAATATTATATGACTCATATGCTAGTCACCAATGTCCAAATTATTCGCTTAAGGTTAGGCCTGTAATTATGAATCAATTTCAATGTATCACAAAATGCAAATGATTTATTGAAGCTATTGGCTTGTTCGAAAAGTTCGTAGCATTTCGGGTATAGTATAATAGGCACATATATTATATTTTATATTTTCCGCCCGTATTTTTAACAATTAATAACTCGGAAACGAAGCCTCGAATGCAGTTTAGTCATTCTTGAGTTTCGTCTGAGTTTTGCATGTAGAATCCATCCTGCGAAAGTGTCCTACATTTTTATAAACAGTCTGTACAACTAGTACAATGAGATTAATTGAAGAATGTATATTCTAATCGTGGCTTTTACTGACGCTACGAACTTTCTGAACAACCCAATACATTTGGGATGATTCATAGAAAAGCACGAAATAAAGCGAAATCTATAAAAAGAATTATAGATAGAAGAATGTTAAAATTAATAGTAATATTGCACTTACTGTTTGGTAATAAGGTTGACCAAATACTCTTTCAGTACATTAGCCCATTTACAAATTAAGTTCAAAAGAGACTGCTTAAAAGGTTTTACGTCCAGTCTCAACCATGTACAGGCAACGTATTCGTTCGAGTTTTGATCGCAAGATTCATATAGGCTCATGAAATAATCAATTTCCTGTTTGAAGTCCGACAAGTCGGGTTTCTTCGGTTTAAAATTTTCTGGAACATAATCTGGATGTTCTGCGAGCATCTCTCTGTCTGTAGGCGATACGTACTTAGCGTACCGTAGAAAGTAGTCTAAATATTCCTGCTTGTCATCGATCCACAACCAGGAGAAAGTCTCGTATATCTGTAAGCAATTAATAAATTCTATTTTCATGTTTTCCTACTAGCACCCCTGACAGTAAGTACTCAAACCATACACGTTGACGTGGTCACTTGAGAGATTATTTATACAGAGTGTTCACCAATACACAGGGTGGGGCAATAACTATTACCACCTTAGATATCTTAGAAACTATGTATAAGGTTCACAGAAATATTTGTTTAACCAAAATTGCACAGTATGAAGAGACCCTTCCGATTGCGCTAGTAGTCTTTTTGCAGGTGGAGGTACTTTGTACATTTCAAGGTTACCTCCATTTTTTTAAATGGATCGGTATGTTTTTATTTCGGTAGAATAATGGAGGAGCTTAAACCAAATTCAACGACCTATTACATAAGACCATAGTAGGTGTTCGAAATGATGACCATCACTGTCAACGCAACACTGGATTCTTTTTATGACTGATTGACGTGCACGTCTCATAACGTCAACAAAGTTCTCCCTATGGGATTGTCAAATAAAGAGGATGAATATATTTTTACACAAATTCGTTAACAACTGTACCCACAATGGCACGTACGGTGTCTCAATTCTCCTGTCCACCAGTGACCACTTAAATACACAAATACATGTATCTATCACTACATGTGTAACAATGTAAATAGCAACTTTCAGGACTTATCAGTTACAACATTTGAAATCATTATACGCACTTCTTAAGAATTAAATTTACCTGAGCATGCTCTTTCACTTCTGCCAGAGCAAGCTTTACTCTGTTACAAGTTTCTTCCAACATAAAGACGATACCTTCCTCTTCTGCCAGATCAGTCTATGAAAACAGAAACATAATTGAGAATTTGAAAGAATTCTATACATTATGATATACAAGCAACACGCACGCACGCAAAGTGCAAACTAAGGCTATTACTTTTATCCGGGTACTGGTTAGATACCCGGGTACCAGACTATATTAATTAATATAATTTAAAGTCCCCTACCGCTGAAACAGCTTGTAGAAATTCAGTACTGTCGAAATTTCCGACAATAAAGAAATTTCCAAACTATTACAGTTAAATCTAATAGATTTTTGTACGAAAACTTAGGGTAGTGATGAGTAGGGTTGTAACGATAACACCTAATTGTAAGAAAAATTTGTATATATAAAAAAATGAAAATACTGAAATGGGACAAATTTATTTTCTTCTTTTTAAATGCCTTACAAATTTTTATTTTACTGAGAGGTTACAAAGTGAAATTACAAAATAATTAAAAATAAAGAGTAAAACAGCCGCATTGGGATCCGAACAGTCTCCTGACTGTTGCTCACGCGCTTAGGTTCCGAGCATCGCATCGAAGTTGTGAATTTTCGTCGCAGTGAGAATTGAGATTCGACGAGGATCTCCAAAGTTTCCTCATTGTTTATGTTGCCGAGTGACGTACCGAATGTTGGCGGAAAAAGGTATGCTTGTGTGTCAGAACGGTGGAACGAAAGTGGGGGACGCCGGTAGGTCATAGTGGGAGACGATGGTGCGTCGGAGTGGGAGAGTGGTGGGGGTAAACAGTGCCACGATTCACGTCACTGTGAATTTGTGTGTGCGAATGTACACCGGCGAGCAAACTCGGCTTCCGCCAGGGGATAAAGTGGCGTCAGAGAAAGGCCTCCTACCACTTAGTAAATTTATTTTAAGTACTGAAATAAATGTTAAATCGAATGTTAATTTGGTATAAATTTCAATAATTCCCGATACCAAATTTTAGGAGGCCCTTCTCCAACGCCACTTTTCCCCCTAGTGGAAGCCGAGTTTGCACGTCAGTGTACGTGTGAAGGGGAAGTGCCCCGCGTGGCAGTACGTTTAGTGGCAATATAGTTAGAGTCCACTGTATACAAATTGAGCATGAAAAAGTTTAATCTCGTAAAAGTTTAACGTAAATCTGTTCGGAATATGAAATACAGTACCGCATAATTTTCTTGTTCTTCAGCGATTTGAGGGTCGACACGCTGAATAAGTGTACCCATCTTCATCATGTCAAGTAAGAGGCTCTCAAAGAAGCTATAGAATCCTTCAGGATCATCAATTTCCAATCGTGGTCGAAAACCAATACTAGGATTCTTTGAATATACGGAATGAATAAATGGCAATCAATCTCAAATAAAAAATCATCCATAACATATGTTAAAATTAATAGTTTCATGATTAAATGATTCTTTAATTTTTCAGTGTAATACACATATTTACCTCTAGATGCAGTTGTATTTCAAACAACGGATATATGTTACCTTCGGGATCAGTTTCATCCAGTATGTAGCAAATACTGTAAAATGGTAAAAAAATTTATTTTCAAAATCACATTTTGTTTAGGAAATTAAGTACTAATCTAAAGATTTTCGGAACATAGTGAAATAAAGACTCTAACGAAGTTCAATCAAACCTTCGTTTTATTTTTAACCTGATAGATCTTTAAATAGAGAAATTGAAATTCTATCGTTTCTATTTCTATACAATTAGTGTACAAAAATGAATTTGCATAACTATTCGTACTGTAGCAATTGTATTATATATCGATTATTATCGATAAATGTTGTGTTAGGAGTTCCCATAAATTAGACAAGCTACCTACCTTGTCGATACAGCTTGGATGAGACCTTTGGAAATTAAATTGTCCACGTAGATGAGATAAGGTTCCCACTTCTCGCGTCGAAGTGCTTGCGTTTCTTCATCAACAACCTCTTCCTCTTCTTCCACCATTTCTTCTTCTTCTATCGGTAACTCCTCACTATCCTCCTCGTCCGGCCTAAAATGATTGGATAACTTATAACGAGATTTTAAATTATTAGTTCTTATCGTTCAATCTTTTGTGTATGTTCATAAGAACTCAAATACACAATTAAGTTCGTGCCTTCACGTGTTTATATAAATTTACGAATATTGCCAGGCATCCTTAAAAAATGAAATTTTATTTTTATTACATTAAATCTAGGAGTAATTATTAAGAAGTACTTAAATAAAACATAATTTACGTTCAGAATAAAACTAACATTGCCTCCCCTTTGACCTCTTCCTCCTCGCCCCTTTTTCTTTTCCATAAGTTTTTCAACGTCTACACATTCATATTCCTTACTCTTTCAACCCTTCCACCTTTTTCATGTTCCTCTCCTACTTCTTTCTGTATGCTTCCTTCGCTTACCCTGTCCTCAACCCTGTCCTACTCTCTGTTCTGTGCACCCCACTTCCCCTAGTGTCTCATCGTGCTTTACCGACCGTGTCTTTTTCCATGCTTCCCACTCTTTCTCCAGACGGCTTGGCCGTCTTCTTCCTCTTCTCCCTTCTCTTATTCACTTTTCCAACTGTTTCTTCCCTTTTTCTCACATGCACCGTCACACTTCCTTCACCCTCTCCTCACACTTTCCATCTCCAAAACTTTCTCACTCCCCTTGTCTCTCACAAAATTCTACCACTCAGAACCCTCTACTTTCTCGCTCGCTGTCTCGGAAACGAAAGTCACATTGACTATACTTTATAATGGCTCTTCTCACTTTACCTTGATACACGAGGACTCTCTTCTGATGAATCTATCCGTTCGATCTCTCCTTCTACATGATCTACAGTGCCAAGAAAGCAATGAATTTAGAAGGAACATTTCCAATAAAACCAATCGTAGTTTAATATAAATTATGATAACGTTTTTATGGCTTTGTTCTGTAATTAACATTTAACAATAACATTATCGAACCGCCAATCAGCGTTCCGATCCTGACTATGCGACTCTTGTAACGTTTGATGCGCCATAATTTTTCAGAATTTGATATTGACAGGAAATAACATTTTCCAAATTGACATGAAATTTGTAACGTAACCATAAAAGGTACTCTATTTTTATTTGCATCAGAAGATTGTGTAGAATTTTTTGAATGCAGTAGTATTAATTTTTAGTACATCGTTGGCTTTTGCACCAATATTTTGTGATATTTTTCAATTTATCTCAAAATGTAAGGGTCTAATATTTACAAGTAACTCGAAAGTTAGAGATCTGTTCGAATATATTCGAGTAATTCGAACATTTTCGAGCTGAAAATTCATTCCGTTGTTTTCAAGTAGCTCGAAAAATTCAAACACTCGACTCGACTCGAGCAATCGAACCGAGTTCGGCTCAGCTTGTAAATTACGAGTACTCGCACACCTCTAGAAATTAATATCATTTATTCAGAAAAGTCTACAGAACTTCTGGTCCAAATAGACATAGAGAACCTTTTATGATTACGTCACAAACTTCGTGGAAATTTGGAAAATATGAATCTCTGTTAAAATCAAATTTCTCAAAAATTGTGCGTGTAAGAGAAAAACGGTTTGCAAATGCGTACTCATCGATCACTACAAAAATCGCATAGTGGAGATCAAAACGTCAAAAGAAGTTGAATTTTGTTAGTTAATGTAATTGAAAACTCACCATCGCGGAATTCTGCCTCGCTCTTTTCGTAAAAAGACTCTGGCAGTAAATTAAAGAATAATTTGTAATTCTCCTCCAAAACACGTTTAAGTTCTTCAGCAGTTTCCTCGATTTCAGTGAATCTGTCTTCAAATCTATCATCCTTGTCTGCGATCGACAACAAATTTTCATCCCTCGCGTCTTTGCGATAAAGAACTGGCATCATCGCCCAGGTATACAGCCTGTCCATAATATTTTTCAAATTGTCCTGCGCTAGAAATACCCTGGCGTATAATTTTCGAACAGTTGTTAGCAGATTATCTATATACTCTGGGACATCTGAAATAGATGTATTTTAAACGATGTTATTTCGAAAATGTGTGGTTTCTTTCAGTAGTGTATTCTATCAATCACAGTGATAAAAAAACGTCATGTAAAACACAGGTAAACATATGATATGTTTTCAAGATACATCGTTGTCAATTTTCTCACTAAAGGAAGTTAAACTGTAATAATAGTTAATCTCTCTATCCACTGAAATAAAGGATCACACGTCCAAAACACTTGCAACATAAAATTTATAACTGCTTAATAACTGACACAATTGATAATTAAAACTTAATAACTCCATACCATCAGATTTCCAAGTGTAATATCCTTGGCCGTAATTAATTAATTCGTCAATTACTTCAATATCGTCTTCTATTAATTGAAACTCCACAGGAACGCTTTCAGTTCGTATTTTATTGTACCTAAGACAGATTTATTTCGAAGTTAAATAATGTTAAGTGTGCAGAATGCCTCACTTGACACCTTAAATCAGTGCTGTCCAACTTAGCTCTCGGGAGGGGCCCCTCACACGCTTGCTTCCCCTTCCAATCATTCTTTCGCACCGTGTGCCTTCGTAGAAACAAAGAAGCTCAGACTCTTGTTTATGTTACTTCACGGTAACAGCGGACGGTGGTGGGGGATGGCTGTTGGCTTGAGCCAAATTGCACAGCACTGCCTTAAATCATATATTTTTTCCAATTCACCGGCCAAAAATGATCATATATTATGCTATCCTGTCTAAGGCGATTAGACCACGTAGGAAGGAGGAGGTCGGGATGGACTAATATCCGTCCCTGGGGAGGAGCAGCAGACGCCCCTCCCTCATTGGGAGTCACAGTCAAGAGTTTTAGGGCGTTTTCCGTTGCCAGATGCGCGGACAAACACGATTAAGAAATTAAAATTATTCTGCATACGTAACAGTAAAATAAAGACACATATTTTTGAAATCCTCTAATTACAAAATGTGTTTCTGTTAAAGTACCATTTGTGTAATACATTTCTCTAAAATATGCATTTAAATAAACTTCCACAGTCTAATTATAATCTAACGATAGATAAATATGTACATTTCTTTTATTCGATTTCAATTCAAGCTCAATTTAATCCAAGGACTAGTAATCCAATAATATGTTGAAAAGTGCACGAGGGTTAAATGAATTTATCATATATCGTAGAAATGTAATACTAATCTAATTATCACTGGACCAACAATATGTTATTTGAAATAACCTATTGTATATAATACAAGAAACAATGCTTTTAAACTGTACTAATCGTACTTGGCTGTCAATAGTTAGTTATTTCATGTGGTACAACTCAATAAATAAAGTGGTCACCTATACTTATGCACATGTACACAGCATCAAATAGCAATGTTTGTTGTGAGATGTCATTTACTATTAAGTTCCTTTCAGTCATAATCTTAATCCAATAATTAGTTTGAGATAATTAGGTTGGTATTAAGTTACTAGGATATAAATTCATTTAAATATAGTTCATTTAGAGTTTGTAAAATTTAATTCACTTTAATTTAAAGTTAAAAGTCAGTGCGAGTATGTAGTTTATCTTTCAAATACATTAGGTAATCGTAATCTTACTGGACAAAATCAAATAATTAATTTTGCGCGTTAAATGACGAATGAAAATTTTCATAATCTCGATATGAAGTATAATAATAAATATTTATATTACTTACCAATTTACAATTAAATCAAGATTATAAGTACTCTTGAAATAGAACTCTGATCCATTATAAAAATCAATCGCCTCGGGTGAAAGATCGGTTCTTCTCATAATTATCATATAACGAATTTCCTTCAGCAAAGTCGTCAATTCAGGGGCAAAATTCATTTCCAGTAGATCGTCGTCTCTGACTATCAACAAAGATTTCGACAAGTGTATCTCACAAATCTCTGGCACCGTTTCTGCCCACGCAGTAAAAATCTCCTGTTCCTTGGAGCTAATAAGTGACTTAAAGAGACCAAGAAATTAATAAAATTCATTTCTTATTCATTTCACAATTCTTAAATCATATAAATTATATTTATTAAAGACTTTCATCATACTAATTGTAAGAATATTTCTGTCACAATAAATTAAATTAGTAGACAAAAATTAATGTCTAATATTGATTTGGCGTAAGAAGACCGCTCGCAATATAGATACGGTGTAATATTTTGCGCTGTGTTTGTTATAGCGAGGAACCCAATATTCTTTATCATTAATTAATCATTTCTTAAAATATAAAGACTTAAACTATGTAATTATCAAATAATAGCTTTAAACAACGATCCACTCTAACATTAGTATATTTATAATTTTCTTAATAATTACTTCCAGTTCTTCGTATTTGCTTTTCAATTCACTTTCCATTTTCGCAGTAATTAGAGGATGATCGCATAACTTCACGCATTCGACAGGAAAACGACATCTTTCGCTTAATTTCAGTAACATGCACAAAGCAGCAGATACTGGTGGGAAATACTCATTCACAACTGCGCGTGATGCTTTTGAATCTTCCTTAAAGTTTTCATCGAACAAAATCTACGATGTAAAAGGTTCAATTTTAAAGTTTGATTAAATATATTTTTCCGAGTAAAACTGCATCAAATTTTTATTTAGTTAATTATTGTTGTACCTTTACTTTACTGAAATGTTTATCGATGCCTTGAACCAAATTTTCGTAATTGTACCACAGTTGAGCCATAATTAGAGGTCTATTAGCAATTGGGCCCATCATCCAAATGAATTTGAAGACTGACTCTAAATTGTGGCAATCCGCGAATACCTGGTCGAAAATGCTTGCAAGACGTCGATCGTATTGTTCCACCTTTTTACAATTTGAACATACTTTATAATTAGTCAATGTTAATCAGCAATTCTTCAAATAATAAATTCCTTTAGTGTTTTATAAAAGTAAATTACTTTGATGAAAAATTCTTCTAAATCTTCGGTAAACTGCGTTTCATCGGGTGACAAAACATCATAAGGCGCTTCTCCAAAAAGTTGATATGCTTTTACAAATTCTTCGTAAATTTCGTAAGTCATGTTAAGCAACGATTTTCCTTTTAAGCCGGCCATTTCTATTCGCTCTAATTTTAAGTAATCCTGAGCGACGTCGAACAATGACTACAAATGAATTACAGAAATAACGTGGTATTACAAAAATATGACATTGTCTTTGATTTATGAGAATGTATGTATATTAAAAATTAAAGTGTTTAATTTATGCTTCGATCTATATTTCGATTTATATTGATAAATAAAGTAATTTTAATACTACATGTGTGTATAATCAATATTTTAAATACATAAGCTGATAATAAAGAATAAGCTTAAACATTCAGTTGATTATACATTTTTGATTTATTGACTTTTCGAAACTCTACATTACTTAAAAGAATAAACTTTAATAAAGGGACCATGATTATTTTATTTCTTATGTTAAAATGAAAACAAAAGATAGTATTTACAACTTCTACCAAACCTCGATCTCTTTAAGTCTCTTCTCGAATAATTGTATTCTCTTAAAAACTAATTTCTCGTGGAATGTCCAAGGCACAGGTTCTATAGCTCCCTTGAAGTAGTATTCTATTTTTTCTTTAAACAATCGAAATGTTTCTTGATAAAAATCAAGAAGAGGTATGACTTCTAATATTTTCTGTTTATTTTCGTCGATATCTGCTTCGAATAAAGTTGACGGATTTATGTATTTCACGGCCTGCAAAAGATGTTAAAAATTGCATAATTTCATTTAATAGAATAAGTGAAATGTTTTTTACAGCTGTTAATAATAATACAGATGTATACAAGGAAATACATACTTAACCCAGACGTGTTTCAGGAATATATACTTCACATTAAAAACTACATACCTGAGATATTAACAAATTTGAAATTTCTCGTAGTAGAGCAATCATTCTTTCCAGAGTGTAATATTTTGAGTTTGACCACATTAAACAGGCACAATGCAACAACGCTTTCAATTTCATTGCCAAATCTTTGAATTCAGAGTTTTCGATTTGTTTAAAATAATGCTCGAGAGGCTTTAAGTACAGAGTAATATCTCTTGTCTCCAATAATGCTAAAATAATAAAAACTATAGTGTAGTAATAAAAGGCATAACAAATTGTAAGTATTATGATCGTATTCATACTTCCGTTTTTTTTTTCGCACGGATAAAGATGTATACAAAATTAAATACTTATTTTATGTTTGTTCATATAAAAAATGTAACTAAATCGATAATTGTATAGAATAAAATCCACCTCGCTAATTTCAGTAGTCTTGATACGTAGGGTGTTACTATGAATATGGGACATTTTCGTAAGTTGAATTCTACAGTAACGTCTCGATGAGTGCAACGAACTCCGAATATGTTGTTGATCCGAAACCGAGCCTCTGCTTAGCATCAGTTTACTCTGTTTTGATTGGTTCCAAAGGGTGACCCCCCCTCCCAGTGGTACGAATAACGCCATTGTTCGTATCACATTCATCGAGGAATTACCGTATAAGTCACACAATATAACAAAAAGAATATTAAAAATGTTACCAAAAAAAATACTACAGGAAATATTACGAAAAACAAAATCTATTTGTAGAGTAGTTAGACATTCGACACTTTGTTTATCATTATTTAAGAACTTATTACGTACATGCAGCTACATTCTTTATTAAATTCTGGAAATACTCCAAGTAAGGGCTTTCCATTTGTTCCAAAAATACGCCCATCTTTTGTACTCTTGGATCTTTCAATTGTTGATAAAGTGATTCCATATTCTTCAGTCTCATGTTCCAGTAATCTAACTCTAAAACAATTACCAAATTAAGATAACAATAATTGAAAATAATGCATTCAAACGGTTATAAAAATGTTAGAATATCTATAATTGTATAGAACCCGTTAAATCCTCACTAATCACGGTATCTCCTGCATACAGGGAGTAACAAAAATGTTGCTTGACCCAGAAATGGAGAACTCATGAGGCGATTTGAAACAAGTTTTTCCTTGGCAAAAATGTTGTTCCAGGCTTTGTTAATGAGATATTAACGAAAAACCCCGACCAATCCGAGCGCGAATCTGCCGGCGGAGTTCCCGCGGTAGCGTTGGCTACGCGTTATACGACGGATGAGATACGACAGGCGGAGGAGCCGCGGTGACCCCTCGTGTCGTCACATTGGGGGCGTCACTCCTATCGCGGCCAGTTCAACGGAGGAAACTGTCGAGTGGTGGCTCCTCGACACTGTCTGCGGAGGGGAAGGGACGGTTAAACTCCGCCCCAGGGTGGGGGGCTTAGACTCCTCCGTCATAATATGTGCTCTTCCTCCTTCTGGGGAGGAGCATGGGCAGGACCGGCTACGGAAGCGTGCGGGGGGCGATGCTCGCAGTCGGCCTGATGTCCGAGTGAATTACCGAGGAGTTTTAGTGGGGTAAGAATCCCACACAGACCGTCTCCGCCCCCAGCGGAGGCGGTACGCCTTCTGAAGGTTTGTACCCGAAAAAAAATGCGTAGGAGCAAGAGAGAGAAGGAATGAATGAGTTGGAAATAATGGAATGAATGAAGGGAATGCATGTAAAACCGGAAGTAGTCGGGCGAGAAATAGAATAAACCTTGGCTATAAGTTAAGAATGTAACCTCGAGTAACTTTCGGTAGCGCCTTTATTCATACGCCTAGCGCCGGGCATCAACGACTTGGGGTAAAAAATTATGGGTGCTAGGAAAAAACGGTTTGCAGATTCGTATTCTGCTCATAAAGATCTATCAGAGGCACCTATTAAAGGATACCAGGTCGAAGAAAAATAAAATTTGTTACACAGTGATATTTTAATCGCTGAAAAAATAACAATATTTTGAATGAACAAAATTAATAGTATACATCCTAGGTTAATAAATGTTATGTTAACTTATTTCAGAAAAATCAGAGACAATCAAATTACCAGATCGGTCTGGTACGGGTGGTCCATCCTTCTTAGTAAATTCTTCATTAAGGATCTCACTAAGTTGCGTTGCCCACTTTATTACGATTTTCTCTATATCGCTCTTCAATTCTAACGTTTTTGCGTCCGTTTTATCCACGTAATCTTCCTGGAGAATATCCTCAATGCCCATCGGCATTGGAAGCAATGTTTGTCCTGTTATTTTCCCCTTGACCTAATAATTTATTTTTTATTTGCATTCAAAGACATTTCTTTCAACATTTAGTTTCAAGGAAAATTCAAGGCATACAAAATGAAATAATTTTTATAAGCTTGGACCACATGTATTTTTGTATTGGAGTAAATAAATAGATAATATCGCACACACATTTTTAAAATACAAGAACATCGTTTATCAATTCTTGGTCGATCTTCTACTATTAGAATTCATTTACCTGCCATATTAAAGTTCGTAGACTATAAATTTGTTTTTTTACATCTGCACGAACAACCTCCGGCCAGCCAGCATGATTTTTTGGATTCGATAAAATGGGTACGTATGCCTGAAAGAATTATATGAATTACTCTTCAATTAGGAGGGCATAATCGAGATTTCTTTTTATCTACCGACGCGAGTTTTTCAGCCATAGGCGCGGTTATCGAACAACGAAACGCGGAGGGTAGGTCCCGACCAATCACATTCGCGAGGCGAACGTTAAAGGGTCCCGAATTAGCGTACTTCGGCAATTCAGCACGCAATCGGCGGAAGACTTCTTTCAGGTTGTCGAGGTGCTCCTCGAAAGTCTTCCCCAGCACGATTACAATCAACAATAAAAAAAAAGGGCTGTACTTCCGAAAACCCCCATGCTCCGAATTGGATGAAATTTTCAAAATAGGTTTTTTTTTTACAAAAATGATGATTGCGAGAAGGATTTTTGGCGATTCGAAAAAAAGTTTCTTACCATTTGAGTATCATTCCCTACCTTACCGATATAATTTATTATAGTGAGCGAACCGTTTAAAATAAATAATCACCGTACTTAGGCATACTTTGGACAACGTAGAAAGTCGTCTGGTGTTTTGGGGGAGGGGCTGCCGCCAAATCCCCTCCCCGCCAGCCAGAAGTTTCATCAAAATCGGAGGAGAACACTTCCGTGCCTTCCCTTGTTAGTTTGTATTGAACAACCGAATGTATGTTTTTCTGCTTTCTCTCGGTGTTAATTTACAATTTACTTTCAATTTACAAAACTTTAGACCCACTGACTTCTTATAAGGAATGTATATAAATTACAAGTATAAGACTAATGTATATGGTATTATTATTTATCTTTAAACAGTTTATAGTAAACACCAAATAAGACTATAACTGTTTCGCGCATCTGGAATGAGCACAAAAGGTCTCGCGAACCCTCGATTCGCCTCTTTGATGCTTTTTGTAACGATTATTTAAGACGTTGTTAACTAAGGTAAGCAAGAGGAATATGCGCAAACAATAGTTATGGTCTTATTTGGCGTTGAGTAAGTGTAAAAATGTAGTCAATAATGAAAGATTCAATACTAACGTCCTCGACAAGAACGGCCAATTCTTCGATCGGATTCGGCGCCATGTCGCCCGGTATCAACAAGTCCTTGTAATTAGCCTCGGTGATTAGTTGAGGTGTCCTCTTCAAAAAGTACGTCAGCTTGCCCTTGCATTGCGTTATTTCTAGATACGGTACCAGGAGGCCAGCGGGTGTGACTTGCAACACAAGGATCATCTCCGACGGCGTACCAAAGAACTTTGCAATCAGATCCTAAACGTGGAAGTGAAGGATATTTGAATACTTTTAGACACGTTTAATCGATGGATTATTTTTAACAAATGTAATATTAACAAAAATTCACGATAGTGTCCAATCACTGGGACGTGTCCAACCACTGGGACAATTACCTTATACGGTAACATTGATTTACAAAGTTTCATGGCGATAAATTCGTTCTGAACGTTCAATGTTTTTAAAAGATATTGGTGCTAACAGTCTATGACAATATGTACGTATTGCGAAATAATAGAAAAACTTAAGATAAACTATCACAGTTTCAAGTCATTACAAAAATTTAGAAAGATTTCGAAATTGAATTATTACGCTATCGAAAAACGGCATTACTTTCCCATCAATGCGACAAACACTTGCCTAAGGCATTATAGATTACCGAAATAAATCACAGATACATTAGTCAACATCTGTTAATTATATGATCATGTGTTTCAAATTCTCATGAATATAGATACCATAAATAAACATTATGTATATGGTTTGTTAATCACGATAATGTAACTCAATTATTCAAAATATAAGGTCATATCTACATATGGACATTAGTCATTTAGTGTGGATTGTGGCCTACAATAATTTTCAATATAGACTGATAATGGAAGATTCCAAACAAAATGTCGGTTATGTATGTGTGCGCCTATTAAATAGAACCAAAATTAGCGGTCACCTTTTATCTAAGAGGCTCCTGCATTACGAAATGATATTTAGTAAGCTTACAACTGAATATAATACCAAACCCCAATAAAAGTCCAACGTTTAGTCTCTATTGGGTAATCACTAATGGCAAGAAATCGAAAGCAAACAAACGTGAAAGGGAATTTACTATGAAGTGGTACCGAATTCTACAAATCACTGACCATGTAATAAAACCAAGTCAACAAGTCGATCCTATAATAATTGCGGAGATAAACATTTTTTTTCTAGGTAGCTGTCGTAAAAAGGAGTAAAAACTGCCAACTTTGAAAGTCTGTATTTTTTTTTAGATTTCGAAACTAGAGAAATGATGACTTAACCCCCCCCCCCTCCATTTTCATATGGACTAGAACATATTTCTATCTGAGAAAAATCCCAGATATCATGCAAAAAAGTGATCGGCTTAGCGTGGAATGACCCAAGACCTACTACATTCAATTACATTAATAATTACATTAATATAAAATACAGTAAATAACGTCATTTTACTTAGACTGTGCTTGTAAAAATGGTAACATAAGAAAAATTACATTATAGTGTTAATCACATAAAACATAAAATATGCTCATTAACGTTTACCGGTATTTAAAAATAAATTAAAATGCAAAGCCTTAATGTCTCTACACAAGAATAAATAAACGTATGTATAACGTGTTAAAAGAATGATTCATATAAATAGTTCTTTGTCGGAAGACATTGTGGCAGCGGTGGTGTATTCTCCTTATAAGTAAGAGTAATTAGATTTCAAAAGCGATGCTAAAATATGTTTATGAGATTTTAATATATACTGAAAACGGTTTATCCCTTGAAGGTTACTAGCTATCAAAATATTATATATAATATCTTTTTTTCTTATTTTGCCTTAAATAAACTCTAAATTGCCGTAATTACACGAAGTAGATCGATATACCTTAAAATCTGCGTTTGATAACATTTTCGTCCATCTGTCAACCTTCAATTTCCTTGTGTACGTAAGATAATTATAGATATATTCGAAACGTTCATCTTCCTCCTTCTTTTCGTCTTTATCAGCCATTTTTACTTTCTTTTTCCGTTACTTATTTGGCTTTAACCTTTAATGCTACTATTCACTTACTAATTAAAATTGTGCTGCATTTTTAACAGAACAGTACCAGTCTATTTCTGACTGTATACTTACAGAAAAAATGACGATACCATACAGAAAGATATACATACAGGGTGGGGCAATAACTATGTCCACTTTGAATATTGCCGTTATTTGTAATAATATGAAAAAATGTTATGTACAAAATTTGCACGGTATACAGGGGGGAATCTTGTGACAGAAACATTTTCTGCGTGGGCGAAGGCATAGAGGAGATTTCAAGGTCATCTCTATTTTTTTTAATGGAATGCTATGTTTTTTTTATCGCGATGTGATAGCCGATGTTGAGACGACTTCAGCGAGCTATCATTGAAGGCGAGAAATCACTAACAACTCTGTATTGAAAGAAGAAGTGTTATTTCCATTTTCGTCAGCATCACTCAGAACATTTAGACTCTGTTAATTACTCTCACATTGTAATGAGTAAAGAGTTAACATACAAGTGTTAAAAGTAAAAGTCAAAGGGTATCGTAAAATTGAAGATTGGAATAGACGTATCTTTACAAAACTATCAACGAAGAATCTGGAAGCATCAATCGTCTTTTTAAAATTTCGCATAGTGACAGGAATAGATGATGTACCAGCTCACAAGGTTCGCATGAAAAATGATTTAGCACACGCATGCCAACACCTTGGCCAACACGTTCGCCTGACTCTAAAGCTAAACTTCCGAAATCCCTATGCCTCGAAGTGGATAAAATTTTCACTATACGTTCTTTTCTGACAAAACTGATCATTGTAAAAAGGATTTTTGGTGAACGAAAAATTTTGTTTACCATTTCAGTATCATTCCCTACCTTGTCCGACATAATTTAGTATAGTGAGCGGACCATTTAAAATAAATAATCACCGTGTTCAGGCATACTTCGGTCAGCGTAGAAAATCGTTCAGGGCGGTAGCCCCTCCCCAAAACCCCCACCCCACCAGCTGAACTAGCCCAAACCTACTCCGATCACTCTTTCTTGATATCCAAATTCTTAAAAATAACAAAAATAGAATGTAAACCAACCCTCAGGCGACAGAAATTACAATAACCAAAGTTACATGCTTCGATCAGGTTTTCAGGAAGGTTTTATTAATTTGTAGAATATACAGGGTGTTACATTTATCTGGAAACGGTGGAATATCTCACGAAGGATTAAAGTTATCAAAAAAATGTTCGTACAAAAGTTGTTTGGTACAAAGGGGGACATTACGTGGTATAAATAATTTTTCTGTAAGTGTAGTAGTGGGGGAGATATCAAAGTCAAGTTAATTTTTTTAAATAGAACCCTGTATTTTTTTATTTATATTATGATAGTGTTTGTTGAGACGAATACAATGAACTGCCACATGATATCATTCCCTGTAGTAGGAAGTGATAAATTAGTAAGATTTTAAGATGATTTACGAAACAGGATTATAGTCGCATGCGAAAGAATAACGGACAAGATGTTGAAATGTGTCGAAAGAGAATTTTTAAACAGAATAGAAACGTGTATTTGTAACGATGGTGGGCATGTTGAAGAATAAATGACGTAAAAAATGATTAATTAATTCTTGATACAAGTTAGATAGTGGTAAGTGAAATTTAAAATCCATTATTTATGCTTAACTCCTCATATTTGCTACAATATTGGTGTTGTTTCGAAAGCGATCGGATAACTGGTGTCTATTTCCTGTACGGTTCCTGGAATTCTTGCCCGCTACAACTCCGATTAGTGCGGGAAACGAATGTCTACTACTCTACTGTACTCCACGCCAACTATTTTTCGGTGTCTTGTAGCCATCTTCATATGTATCTGCCTAGTGCCACGATTACGACTGTGTCGGTAACGTAGGGAGTGACAATCAAATGGTAAATACAAATTTTTCAAGTCGCCAGAAATCCTTCTCGCAATCATCATTTTTGTGAAAAAACAACCTATTTCGAAAATTTCATCCAATACGGAGCACAGTAACAAAAATTTTTGTACAGTAAACGCTATTATTGCGAATGTGCGAATGGTAACCGTACTGTCGGGTGTTATAATTGACAAAATACTTGGCAAGAGAAACGGTGACATAAAAAGCGCTCCAAAATCATTAGTACGTATATTTCAGATTAAAATATTTTTAAATATTCTTAAAACATTTGTCAATACATGGACCGTTTATTTTGAAAGTGGTGCAAGTCCATTTTCCAATTCTATTTCATTTTATTTTAGTTTACACTAAATTAAGCATAAATTGCGTCATATCTCATTTTTTTTAAAAAAGGACTTACACCACTTTCAAAATAAACGGTCAATGACGTAATTTATGCTTAATTTAGTGTAAACTAAAATAAAATGAAATGGAATTGGAAAATGGACTTGCACCATTTTCAAAATAAACGGTCCACATATTAATCATTGTCATATAGGCTCGAACCTACGTTCAAAAATTTCGCAGCGGTTACGAGTCCGTCAGATTACTTGCTACGCCCCTGACACTGTTGAGAAAACCGTCGATAATGTAGAATACACCGCGCACGACATAGTTTCAATTGATTCGGTTTAATTTATTTTCTGTAATTTCTATGTTGCATCACTGAATGTATAAATATTTACGATTGTACAATAAAGTAGTTTAATGAAGAAAATACAACAAATTCAAAGTATAAGATACTTTTCACGGAAAAAAGTCGACAAAATCGGTTTTTAATTTTTTTAACTCTAGCACACCAAACCGAAAAATCTGAAATAATTTCAGAATAATAGTAATACCAATGTCTACTTACTGTAACAATGGCATTATAGTTCTACATCTGCTTCGATACGAAATCGGCCTTATTCAACATTTTTCCCGTTTCTTATTTTTCACGGCTTGAATTTATAATTTAAAACCCTGAAAAAATTCTATAATATGTGGTTCGATAACTATAATGTCCCTGATTTTTTTCAAAATTTTCATGCAGTAAGATAGCAGAACGTGGGAAAAAACATGATTTTTTTATTTTTGTCCATTACTACCCCTCCAGTCGGGATACAAAGCTGAAACTTGGCACACATAGTTTAATGGCATAATTTTATCAATGTTATGCATTGTCGATTAGCGATATCCTCTGAATGTCATATGTATTCGATAGCCTGGCTTACATTGAAACGGTCAAACGTGGGAACAAGGTGATAGGAAATCAATGAAACTCGTACTATTGTCGAAAGACTGAAAACAAAGCAATTCGGGGAGGCGATTCATCGGTGGAGGATGTCAAGGAAGACCAAGAAGAGCGAGAATGGGAAGGCATTCGGTCAGAAGCGAGGCGGCAGTGGAAAGCGGCCGGTGTTCCGGGTTAATATTCGTAGCGAAGAGGATTGTTTTGCAACGCTAGTTCTCCCGGCGCCTTACGTGCCCATGCCCGTCTCGTAATTAGTTTGACTTTCACCGTGAGGGCCACCTTAGCGGGCACACTTTCGCTCGTCTTCATTTTATCCGTCTCTCTCTACTCGGTTGCCTCTGGAATTACGTTACGGAGAAAATGCCTGAATGCGTCCGGAAGAATTCAGGCCGATATCAAGGACGTCCTCTCGTAACCTCACCAGATTCGGGCCGTCCGCACGTCGATTCGGCGATCAAGGGACGATCTCCGCGTCCCTAACGCATTCGTGACTCAGAGACGGAGTCGAAACCTTAGCAAGAATTTCTGACCGGCGCATCCGTACCGCTTACCCAACGGGCTTTGATGTAATCGGGATTTCTTGTAATCTCGAAACGATCTGTTGCGATACATTGAGTACTACGTATTTCGTAAAATACGTTTTCTTTTCTTGTTCTAATACTCGCGTCCCTCTTATCTTCTACGATTACGCGTTACAATCCTGGAATTATGCCCGCCATTTTTACACTTCGTGTTTTACGTACCGACGGAACATGTCGACCCAAAACCGATACCCAACGATTTATTCCCGGAATGAATAATTACTCTGAATTTGAATTGAAACGCTGACCGAACCTCAAATTCCGTGCAACGAGCTGTCGCACCAAACATGAAAAGATGTGCTGCGGTAACGCTGCGTCATTATTCTGTAGATGTAGTAAGCTTTAACCGAAATGCTATGTTATTTTCTAGAGTGAACGAATCGGCTGAATTAACCGATACACGGTCCAAACTGTTACAATATTATTCGTTACGTCGCACGATACTTGCTTTCTTTTTTACATTTCTGACACGCAATATCCAATTTTCTAATTTAACGTTGCATTTTTTTGAATAATGATGCTTGTATATCTTTTCTATGTAACGGTATTGTTGGGTATGTTTGTTCACTTTGCAATAATTCCTTTGAACAGACGGAAAAATAACGGTATACAAAATGTATGTTAATGCACAATTTATTATTATCAATACTTGTAATAAATGATCTTGGGTAGTTACTTTTATTTAATACCTGTAATTGAAATTTGTCTCTGCATACATTAAAAATATATACTAATTAATATACAATTTCAGCTCTAGTTTGAAAAAACACAAATTTATACTAAATACACCGTTCAAAAAATGTTAACTTTTTTCGGAGTTCTAACATTCAATAGCCGTTTTTTTATAGATTTTTGTATCCTGAATACGAACCTGCAAACGGGTTTTCGCCAGCACCCTTAGTTTTTGATAAATTTGATTTTGAAAGAAAAAATGTAAATTTTCAACTTTGAACAATTCCTGTGTTCAAACAGTAATAGTTATTCAGTTGATTGCTACGGTAAATTATTCTATAAACTCCCTCGAATAAAATGGTATGTATTGTTATTGTATTATGAACATTTAAATATCTTCAAACAACGATCAAAGGGGAAAGGACACCCGAAATGCACCAATTTTTGCAGATATTTTTAAATTTATTTCCAAAGGTAAGGGTCGAGGAGAAAATCTAAATACACCACGCGATACTGCAGACATTTTTCCTTTGAAAAGCAATAACAAAAATAATAAGTCAACTTGTGTTTGCAATACTGAAACGAAATAGTTTGGCAAAACATGCAGTGTCGACAGTGGTACTCAACGGCGCGGTAGCGTTCAATACTGAAAACAAAACATAACTTACTACTTTTATTGATGCGTCCCGAAAAAAAAATGTCTTTCATATCACATGGTGTAGTCAGATTTTCTTCTAGACTCTTACTTTTTGAAATCAATTGAAAAATATCTGCAAAAATTAGTACATTCTGCGTGTCCTTTTTGAGTGTAATAAGTAATATTGATAATATTAACATAAATTTTCAATAATTTTTACATCCAACTGATATTTCAAACGTTTTGACTACTACTCCCAAAAACTCATAAAACTGGAGTATTGTGAAAAACAGACCAATAGTACACTAAAGAAATGATATGTACGACGAAATGTATTCAAAGACAAAAAATTATTTTTCCTTTGTTGGTAGCCTGTTCTAGTATATTCTGTATATCCTATTTATTATCATACTGGTTTCGAATACATTTCCTTCCCAATAACTTAGTAAATATGTATAAATACCATTATTTTCTCTTTCTCTGAAACTATTCAACAAATCTGCATACATGGAAATACATCTGAATTTATGAACTAAAATATACAAAATTCCTTAGATACTTTCGATATGATGACCCACTTAAGCCTGACCATTTAAAAAAATATTAAATAATTAGAAATAGTAGTGACGACACTAATGCATGTTTGAGTGCATTTATATAACCTTGAAACTTCAAAAAGTAACAACTTTTATGTATACACTTTATCGAAATTAAATTAAATTATGTATACACAATCCTGAAATTAACATGTAACGAAACACGCATATGTACCAAATAGGTATTATAAAACTATGTAACTTATGAGTTCATACAGAAATATCAAACAAAAGTATTTTGAACTTCACACTATTTATAGATTTTCATAAGGTTTATCCTGTTTTGTAAAAACTAAATTTGCAAAATTAAATGTAATGAAAACTTGACTGAACATAAAATTCATAATATATATATAAACCTTTTAATTGTAATATTCCTACAGCTAATGATTTATAGAGAGTTGAACATATTTTTATATAATTAAGAGGAATGTAATGACACATCTGTCGAAAATATATGAAATTTGATATGAATCTCTAAATGACAGTAGTTTTTAAGTTACACACTCAATAAAATTTTATAAATTTCTATGAAACTACATCTCAAGTCCGTGTAAATAAATGACAAGTATATAAAAATTTTTATGAACCTTTTAATTGAAAATTTTTTTAAATTGGAATCTCCTGTAAAATTATATACACTTTTAACACTCCACCTACCAAACCCCCAAAAAATGACGGTTTTCAGATTTCATGTTTTCCAATTTCTGAAAGCATAAATTTGCTTTCGTCAGAATTTATGTTGATCTTTAAGTTATTATACTTTTTATATTGTACTACACCCTGCAATATCGTATTATATATTGTATAATGTAATTTGAGATACATTCCACGCTGGTAGTTCTGGTGTCAAAAAGTATGGAATCTAAAAGAAAACTTAGACATAGACACAAATTTTTGAAATATTCTATGAATGATTACCTCAACCAGGTAAACAAAATCACCAAATCTTATCCTAAGGTATTAATTGAACAAGTATCGAAAAATTCCACGAAGTTCCCAGCAACTTCATCGCGGGCTGATAAGCCCTGAATGAATGGACGTGTAATTAAAATAAAATAAACAATTAATCAAGCGGGTTCTTTGTTTCGCGGCTGGAGATTAGTCGCTTGAATGGCGCAAGGTTTCCCAAACTCTCCGTGTAAATTTCGCCTCCACGATCCTGCCGTACATGAAAGAGAAAAAACCGTGGATGCCATTAATCGTAATAAGATCAGGGTTACATAGTCCTGTGAACGAAGATCGACCGATCGATGATTGAACAGGCGAAGAAAGAAGATCGTGGATGCTCCTTTTCCCCTCTTCGTGCCTGTATAAAAGTCCGAATGTGTCGATCCCAGCCGACACAACGGTGAAAGATCGCCAGTGAAAGACGTTCTCTTTGCAACGTCCACGTATCGGCTTCGTACCCTCCTAGTCGCCGCGAAATTCAACGCGAGCATGCTGCTCTATCTGGTGAGTTTTTTCGCTCACTATATTGTGCCTTTGATCGAGATTCAGTGAATCGAAATCCTTTTATTTCCAAATCTCCCGACCCGCTTTCCAACGCTCGAAACTTCAGGATTGCTTGTTTTACGACAAGCGACCTTTTCTCTTGTTAATGACTGAAAAGATACGAATGAAGACCAGTTTTATACAGCGTGTGGAAGAATTAAACGGTCAAAGTCTGACAGTATATTCCATTCAGCGGAAAGAAAAAGAAATTTTTATAAATATTTGACCAGACATAGCTTGATACAGAAATTATGGGAGAAGTATAAATCGTGGTGGCAATAATGCAAACATTTGTAGCATTTTGAGTTGATCATTCACATATGCTAACACTTTTAGTGTCGTACAAATAACTAGACTGCAGATTTTATGAACATACATAGATACATATAACAGAATCTATTGTTTAAAATTCAACCTGGTTTTTATTTTACTTGCAACATAATAAAACTGTTAATTCATTAAATAGTCTAAAAAAATTCTATATTTGTGTAGATATCCATAATTTAATTTCAACAATTTGAACTCATAATAATAATTAAAATAAGGAGGCCAGATATATATTGTAACCTGTTCTTACATTATAATGAACAAGTTCCTTCATACCCTCAGGGTTATTGTTTCTGTAACATGTTTTTAACCAAGCATCTTATTGCCAATACTTACATAACACTTTTTGTCATTCTTCTTTCGATCAGTCTGTATGTAAATTTTATCGACAGTTCACACTAGAAATGCACAAACAGATTTATAAGACTGGTTTCCATTCAATTCTTATTTACATTTCCTAATGTTTGCCTTCTAACATTCTCTGTTAAGCTTTAACCAACTGAAAATCTTTTCATATTGCTATGAATTTCCATTGAACTAATTGTTCCACGTGCCACTAGACGGAATATAATGGATTACAGTGAAAGTACTTGGACAAAATTATACAATTTTTTTTTACTTGTTTCGCAACGCGTACTTGAGGTGTAATATATTCATCGGTTCATGCAAACAACTCTATTTTTCAATACTCTTACCGCATCATCAATGACCGGTTTTTCCAAGTTTTGATGGTCCGGCACGTATCGTAAATTTTGCAATTTCACCTTGGAATTTGTTTAATTAAGAAGTTTACAAGTATAGTTTTGTAACCTAAACTGTGATTTCAAAAAAGGACGTGACAGGAAATATAATAATAATCATCTAATAACCTGTTTTAATATAATTAATGACTTGCTTTAAGATAGCTACCGCGTTTGGTGTCATATGTAGCTGGGACTGCAAAAAATAATGAAAAATATTATTTTCTTAATCAAGTTTTAACGGCACCATATTTATTCTTTCATAGTAGCAACGTATTACCTTAAGTAGCGTCCTAATTTTTTTTAGATTTTTTGGTAGGGTGCACCGTAGCCTAAAAATTAAAAAATTGATTTTTTCTAGGAAAAAGTAATTAATATTTTGAATTTGTGAATTTTCTTTATTAAATAAGTATATTATATGATTTCACGTATTTCTATATTCAGCAAAATAATGTATAAATTAAAAAAATTAGATTAACACGACTGCTGACACTATACTATGTCTCATATATATGAAAATATGTAATCGGATACGAATAGACACCGATGGTGCATCGACTAAGTGCCTGATTGCTAACATTCTCTACGCAGGTTCGGGCCCAGCCTGTACTCACTTTTTCTTATTACATCATTTATATTTGTTTAAATTCCTAGCTAAATGACAATGAACAGTATTTATGTAAAAACACTTTAAAAATAGTTTAAGAAATTTTTATTCTAAAATATGTACAAAAACAGTTAAGCAGTTTACAGAATTGTTTTAACTTTACGTTAAATGAATCCTCATTAATAATTAAATGGTTATTTAACTTTTTACGTTAAATGAATACATGGGTTTTGTTTTAAAAGCCTTTATCTGTAATAAATACTCAATCTTCATTCTTATTTCGCTGCTTCTCTTTCCACGTACCTTAGTAATGATACGAGAAGTTGTATTTTTCAATACTAAAGACATACATGATATTTATGTTAAAAATACTTATCGTTATGATTATTTGGTGGATTGCAACACAAGTGATTACGTGACGTCGATCAGACTACAAATGCTTTTTGATCATGATAAAATGCAAAATTAAAATTCTTACTTTTACACCACGCTTTTTTGTTATTTCTCTTTTGGTCTTTTATAAGAATTTTAGTCATTGGGTTCCCCGGTTGACTCTGAAAATCCGATATCGTCTATATTGCACTATGGACGATAATAATTAAGTCATATACTATTGTAGTCGACGAAATGAGATTATTGATGTTTCCGGAATAAGCATTTTTATTATTTTCTTGTGTCCTAATTCCATTTTCAAGCGGTTGTAGTCTCTTTATTGTACTAATCATACTTTTGTAGTAGTTTTAATTATCCACGCTTTGCCAATAACACTTTCTTTGTGATATTTAGAAGCCAAAATACCATTACATCCTTCCTTGTCTTCTCCCTACCCGATTGATGAAGCCCATCACCTTCTCGTAGTTTCCATCGAGCAATGTTCCTTTTCTTTTGTACATAATTCAAGAAGAAACAAATCCACATTTCTATCATACTATACATCGTGTACAAAAGTGGTCCGCTCGGTGTGGAATAGCTCAAACAGGAAGAATTCCTCCATCTCCACTCACAATTATTAAGGATAAAGGCTTTTAAACCTAAACTTATATATTCATTTAACGTAGAAAATTACAAACAATCCAGTAAAGGAAAAGATGTGTAGCTAGAGAAACAATGCGGTGAAAACTGCTCCAAAATGATTTTTGTACATATTTTTGAATAAAAATATTTTAAATTATTTTTAAAGCGCGTTTGAATAAATACTGCTGATTGTCATTTAGCTAGAAATTAAGCAAAAAGTTCGCAGTGGTGTAGCAGTCGGGCACTTAGCCGCTACGCCATCGGTAACTGTTGGTATCTGACTAAATATTTTCGTATATAATGAACATAGTATAGTGTCAAGCAGTAGTGTTTAATTAACTTATATTAAATTAACATATTAATTAATTATATAAAATTTAACTCATATTATAATTTACATGATTTATTACAGCTCCTTCTTTGCAATACTTCATTATAACACAGATAATTAATGCAGTATTATTAAATCCGTAGGTTCTGTGCATTTACTATTAAATACTTGTGTAACATAGGTATGTGAATTTTCTTTCACGTGCACATCACGTTATTTATGGTAATTTTGTTGCGTACAATGCGATAGCTTATTGGAACCAGTCTGAAATAGTTGTATTGATCAGGATAACCGAGTAATTATCTGAAACTATAATTGTATCCCTATTTCAACAAAAAAGTAAATGTTTTCCTTAGACGACGGTGTGTTAAAGTGTTTTACTCGATTAAGTATTCAAAAGAAATTAAGTTTGAAGAATTCTGATTTATGATAATGTGTGATAATTTTTACTGTGCAGCTTTATTTTACGCTCTGAATCTGCTGAGACTGAACGCGATTCGCTCAAAGATTTCAGAAAACCGTGTCGGCCATAACGCCTCTCTAAACGACGATTTAGTTCCATTTAACCGCGCTCTTGTACGCTTTAAATCACTTTCCATTCATTTTTTGGACTGACTGAGTTTAGTCTTTGATAGAAAACAATTCCCTCTCTAACCATACCACAAAATTATTCGACATTTAGTTCTACGATTACCTTGTCACCTAGTTATTAAATAACCTAATTATTAAATTATAAAATATTATCACTATTAAAGCAAATCGATTTAAGAAATTTTCGAAATATAATTACAATGGTTCCTATGTAGCTTTTCACTTTTTTTATAACAGTATTTCAATCGATTAGATATAAATTAAAGATTTCAATATCCAGGAACTATACTGATGTTAATTTTGTATCTTCTTCCGCTATGGTTCATTATAATCTTAGAATATAATAATCTTGAAATGATGAGCTGAATGTTTAACAAGTGAAACTGTAATCGCAAAGAATCGTGGGATTAAACTAGATGATGCGATAAACTTTCATGTCTCGGATTAATATATTTTTTTGTTGTCATACTTTACGCGTGAGAGTTTGTACTCGAATACAAGATCAGTTGTTAGTTTGTTTTTATTCATTGTTTTCTGTTAGTTTTAGACCCCACGATCATCTAAAACAAAATATACTATAAAGATTAATAAAGTGCAATCAAGTTTTTATTTTCTTTTGAATTTAATAGAACCCTTTAACAAAATTAATTAATTTCTGTTTAATTCCGGTCACTGAAACTCCGTCCATCAAAATCTCGTAAAAAGAATACCATTCGGCACTATTAACCTACTAGTAACGTTTTAAGTTTAAATGTTTAACAGTTTACAAGTAAAAAATTAATAAGAACCAGCACTGTTTGTTCCCATTAATCATAATTAGGATGTAATTAATATAGGTACACATATTATAACATGGCTTAACACAAGGATTTTTTGATAAATAATTTTAAAAAACCAAATATAACAAGAAAGAATAAATCTCATGCACGTATTACGAGTGAACCTGTTTTCTGCTATCAAGGGGTCAAACTTCAATCATTATTCACTTGGTAAATATATTGCATTAGGTATATCAGAATCACATTTGCAAAAATTAACTTAAAAAGTCAGAAATGAAACAAGAACATTGATACTTTAACACTAGAACTACCAAGCAAGTCAAAATGACTTGTCAATACACTCTTACAACGACGATTAAAATGTTATGACAATACATTTCCTCAGGTCTTTTCCACCTTTTTTTACGATATGAAAGTGAAGAAGTTAGTCAATTTCTACATTTCTTAATTTTCAAAAAAGAAGCAAATATGCGTTTATCGTCGGTAGTTCTAGTGTTAAAGAACTCCTGTTACGCTAATAATTGTTTTAATAAAAGTACATACATTAGTAGGTGCGTATTTACTACGTTTAGTGAAATCAATATTTTGTCGTGTTTTCCTATGAACGCTATAAATATACAAAACATCCTTATAAAATTGCAAATACCGTTTCTCCTAATTCCTGAAGTCGATTTCAGTTTACACAATCATATTCCTTGTCGAAAAAATACGTCGGATAACGTATACCAAAATGGGATATACGAATATTTAAAAGAAATTTAATAGAATTTCTACAACCAAATTTCTTCTTACTTCTTCTAATAAACAAAGCAGCCGATCAATTAACGCTAATGAATAAAACGAAAGAATGGGGAACGTCGTGGAGGGTGAGCAAAAAGAAACGATGCGGATAATTTGGTCGTTCGAAAGTACCGAAATGGTTTTCCCGAAGAAAGTTAATCGGGTATTCCGCGTGCAGGTGGCCGCGTCCTCACGTAGCCACCATGTAGTACGTACATATGTACCAGAAACGCAACGAGGGAACGCTCTCGGCAGTTTCGCAACCGATTTTCTGCCATGTTAAATTGTAAAACTTACGCAACCGGTCTTCACCTAATACGCAACGGATTTGAACAGAACCGCGGCAACGACTAGCTGCTACCGATCTTGATCGCTCTTTAAGTGGTCTGCGCATCTTTCAGCAAAATTTCACTGTTCGCCGTGGCCGGTGCCCAACGACCGTTTCATTACCATTCCCGAGACGCCGATTACGGCTGTTATTGCTTCCTGAAAAAAATAGCACACATCGAGGCAGCGACGACGTTAATCATAAAACTATGTAGGTACAGACATTGTGAGCTGGCTTGCGCACCTGCCTCGCACTATCTGTACCAGAGTTGGGCAGAATTTTATTCGAATAATACACAGTGAAGTGCAGCAGTATCTAAGCAGAGATGGGAAAATTCATTATCTAGATAAAAAGTTTCGAATAACGAATAAAAGATGAAAAAAATATTTCGTCATTTTTACTTGATTGAACGTGGTCGTTCCAATTATTATCAGACAATAATATTTTTACAATAACACTTTGCAAACAATTATTTAATCTCATGAACTGTTTAAAGGTCAGGATGACGTTCTTAGATACTGCTGCTTCTCACTATGTATTATTCGAATAAAATTGTGCCCATCTCTGTACCTAAGGGTGTCATTCTGAGCTTTAAACAGTCAATGAGATTAAATAATGACTCGACAAATGTCGATTCATTCATGAAGAAGTATTATTTTATTAAAAAAATTGAAATTTTTACGTTTAAACAATTAAAAATGACGAAATACTGTTTTTATCTTTTATTCGTTATCCGAAACTTTTTATCTAGATAATGAATTTTCCCATCTCTGGTCTGTACATAGCTTATGTAGTGTTGCAGCGATACAACATTCATTGTAAAAGTGCATAAAATTCCGATAAACGCATATTTGCTTCGATCGGTGGATAAACGTGAAAAACTATTGAAAATTTAGAAATTTATAAATGGACTAATTTCTTAATTTTCATATCGTAATAAAAGATGCAAAAGATCTGAGGAAATGTATTGTCATACCACTTTAATCGTCGTTGTAAGAGTGTATTGACAAGTCATTTTGACTTGTTTGGTAGTTCTAGTGTTAAAAGACAATGAATAAGCGATGGACTGGAACATAAACTAAGAAAACGACAACTTAACCCAGATTTATACTAGCGATCACGGTACGGTCAGATCCCTTGATAATCCGGCAGCGGTTTCTATCGCTCACACGTAATCCAATCAAAGAAATATAGTCTAAATTCAGACTGATCATGGTCTGACCGTGCCTTTGATCATTAGTGTGAATCTGGCGTTAACCCTTTCGCTATGAACGTCCTGTCCGCCGTGACATTCCCGCTGAACGCTGCGCCAAAAGTGTACACATTGCGCGAGGACGGTCGTCAGCAGCCAGATTTACGCCTTACTGCAACCAAAGTAGCTTTGATGGTATTTTTCGACAAAACATTTTTCTCAACACAGGGTATTTATGACTTCTTAACAAACTCATTTTTAATTGAACTTTAAAATAAACATCATTATAAACACAACACGCAATAGTAATTTTACAATAAATTACATTGAATAATATAATAAAATAACATTTCAGAAAGAGATGTGGAGTGTACAAAAAAGAGAGAGAGCGACTATAGTCGCCCGTCGTAACGAAAAGATTTATCAAAAGGCTTTATTTAAGACTCACACTATAACATATCCTTTACACATAACTACATTAGGTCAATCAAAAGGTCAATCAAAAAGTTGAATTCCATGGGAACGCTTATTAAATAAGTTATTCAATCAATTTCATAAGCAACGGATAAATTAATCATTTTAAGCGACCAGAGAAAATACAGCAAATTCTACAACATACAGTAGGAAAAAAATAGAGCGAGGCTCGAATGCGAAAGGGGAAAGCCAAGACCCGAAAGTAAAAGTAAAAGGTCCTGGCTATTTTTCCACATGTATCCGCTGGAAATAATTAACATGATGCCTTAATTACACTGGCTTTGTATGCAATAAGTTCACACTTTCCTCTCTTTCCTGTAAAAAATATTTTCTTTCGATGTAACATTCTGATAATATTGAATTAAATCATAAATAACTTTCGTTTTTCCTTTTTAAATTTGTGTCAGACGAAGGTACAATGAACGTTAATTTATTCCATTTTTTTTTTAACGATTATTCAATTCAACAATTATTACAAAATTCAATTCTGTTGACGTTATTTATTATTGAATTATTGTTTGTAACAAAAAAAGAAAGCAATGTCAATTTGCAAATATAAAACTTTTCAAACGCTGAGAAAATTTGGGATTAAGAATAAGAACCGAAAAAGTCACGAGTCACAAATTCCTTTCACACGACAATCGAAATGTCTTAAATTGCCTCCAATCATAATTAATGAGAATATTCATCTTCCACGTTGCGTTTATTTGCATTAATTACATCATGCTTGCCTTTTTCTACTTCCGACGAGAAGGATTCACATAAAACGTCCTGCAAAAAACCAATCGAATTTCGTAATTAAAAAATACAGAAATTAAATTTGTACATAGTACGAATTTAAAATTTAAAATTGGTCGTTTAAATTTATTGTCAACAAGATCGAGAATTCTGAATTGAAATCGAAATTCATTGCTTCGACGTTTCTAGTACAGCATTAATTCTCAGACGATGCGAAACTATCTCGATAACTGTCAAATTAACAACTTCAAGTAATTAATTTTAATAATCAATTAAATTTGTAAGGGTAAAATGTAGACTTCTTTTGATATTTCAGGAATTTAACTTGCTTTAGTTTGGTAGCGGAATAAATTTAACAAAATATACAAGAGGATAAAAATTATAAATCTAATTGGATATATAGAGAATTCTTAATTTTTTTCATTTAAAAATTCTTCACTTTACAATACTTTATCATAGACAAAATAAATCATTGATGATTAAAAGAATAAAGAGAAATAACTAGAAAAATGTATAAGCCTCTATATAGACATCTAATCTTTCCGATATCTAATTAAAAGAACAAACATAACATTTTGTGTACTAAAGTGCTACTTATATACAATATATTATATGTTGTTTGAACATCTGAAAGTCTTCGCATTCGCAGAAACCTTGAGAAAATTCGAATCGATGGTCACCTGTTACAGATTTCTCATGTTGAAAAATACATGACATCATGAGAAGCCCACTTTCTCAATTTTTTTTACTTTACCAATTTTCTTCAGACAACCATACGCATTCGTAACACGTGTGTATTTCTTATGAGCTCTTCGAAAGTTTGACCTGTATTGCTACCCACTGGTCTTTTTTTACTGCCTTTTTTTATTATTATATGGAACCTTAATTTATAAACTGCTTATATTAACCTTTTTTTACGAGACAGGTAGATTGTATATACCATAGTTTTCTTATATGTTAATTTAATGTAGTATTTCTAGATTTTAGTTTAGCAACCTTAATTTTTTTTAGTTATTGTTGTGTGTGCATGTGCGGGCGCGCGCGCGCGTGTGTGTGTCTAGTGTATGCTGCTAGTTTGTGATGCTAGTGTGAGCTCGATATGGCGATTTATACTTTTTATCAATTTTACCAATTTAATTTGAATCATTAATATTTTAAACTACCTCAAAATACTGAAATGGAAAAAAAATTTGTTTCCTTATTGTAAAAGAAAATTAATTTCTTTTTAATTTTTAAGAAAAAATTTAAAAGTTCGTCAAACAAAGAAACCAACAAGTTAGTAGCAGACATGCGTAGAACAATACTATCAAACGCATTGAAATTTAAGTTTGCATACTTTGATCTTAATGGTTAGTTTTATTTGATCATTAACATATTTTTTTTCCATGCCAAAAATCTATAACCACCTAATGTTTTATGCAAATTTGATTTTTGGTAATTAAATAAGAAGTGATTGACTTCTCAGTATCAACTACAGTTACATTAGGATCGTTTTAAAAAGAAATTTTTATAACGTTCTCTTTCAATAATTTTGTCGTTGACCTTGTGATTTTTTGGAATATTCTACAACATATTGCCTTATATTTGAAGATGTTGCTACTATTACACTCTTTGAGTTCTACAACAGTCCTTTTTGTAAATAGGCACCTAATTGCCTTTTTTTCTGAAAACTGACAGAGAATAATACTTATACTTTTAATAATAAATATATTACAATAAATTGCGATAAATTTTCAGCTTCGTAACTGTCTGGAGTAAAGTCATAAATTATTTTCCATTTTCTTTCGAACTTAGGTATGTTCATTCAAGGCACTTTCAATTAACACTTAATAAGTTACACAGTCACAATCATTACAAACGTAGTAATTGTTATACAACTAAAATATTCTTCTCATAACTATTTCCTTATAATAAACCGACGACACTCCATGAAATAAAAATTAAAATATATCAATCATATTATACATACTTAACCTTCCAAGTTCCTGCTTAAAATATCCCACCTGACAAATTAATTGCATATTAATTTAAGCATATCATTTAATTAATAAAACATAAGTTTGATTCTGTGAGATGTAAAGCACGAGAATTAATTCATCGAAACTCGTAAAATTGAACGTGTACAAACCATGTTCATATGTAGTTAAAGAATAATATATGTATGATTTTCGAATACTCTAACGATGTTATGTATGTATTAAATTCTAGACCACGCTACTATTAGTAGCTACTACAACGGTGTATTCGAAACCAGCTCCGGAACCGCCCGCAAGTTCGTACTTTCCACCGTCTAGTGGCGGCGGTGGCCTAAGCGGATCCGGTAGTTACGGTCCTCCTTCGCTTCCGGATCGCTATGGACCACCACAACAACCGGCTGTCGTTCACAAACATGTCTACGTCCACGTACCACCACCAGAGGCTCCTGAATACAAACCACCAAAATACATTCCACCGGCCTCGCCGCCACAAAAGCACTACAAGATCGTATTCATAAAGGCACCGACGCCACCAACACCAACAGCCCCAGCCCTGCCACCATTACCTCCTCAAGACGAAGAGAAGACCCTGATCTATGTGTTGGTGAAGAAACCGGAAGAGGCGCCGGAAGTTGTGCTCCCGACCCAAGCGCCAACGCAGCCCAGCAAACCTGAAGTCTACTTTATTAGATACAAAACGCAGGTAAGGATCATTAAAAACTTTTTAGACAATTTACGACCTATGACATAAAGATGATCAACATTATTAATTGACTAAAAATGACGAATTTTCAATCTACGTATATTTGGTCTGTCGATGTAGAGTTTTATCGGTGTTTTTAGCTATGCTTATATTAACAGAAAATTTGTATACAAAAGGCCTTGACAAATTACTAGAAAAATAAACATGGTCATATAAGAGATCGATGATTACATTGAAAATTGAAGAAAAATGTATACATATTATAACATGAGTTGAATAAGGAACACGAAAACGACACAACTTTCCGATATACCTATTATCGTTGTTCAGCTACAAGTAACAGTTCTTATGATAACATTATTCATTATTTACGTATATTTTGGGTATAGCCCAAAGTTGGGCAGAATTTTATTCGAATAATACACAGTGAAATAAGTAGCAGTATCTAAGGGTGTCGTTCTGAGCTTTAAACAGTTAATGAGATTAAATAATTGTTCGACAAATGTCGATTCATTCTTAAAGAAGTATTATTTTATTATAAAGATTGAAATTTCCACGTTTAAATAATTACTAAAGGACGAAATACTTTTTTTTATCTTTTATTCGTTATTCGAAACTTTTTATCTAGATAATTAGTTTGCCCATCTCTGGTATAGCCACAGATGAGCTATAGGAGTCTTATACTTCGTCCGTGGTATAGCGAAACAAGTTCTTCCCAAAACAATATGTTTTACAAGAGTTAATCAAATCATTCATAATATGTACATCATTCATGGAAGACGTGATGACTGAATATTATTGGAAACTATTATATATACTTTCTCGTTTGTGAAGATTAACTTCAATAAATTTAAATTACTCAAGTATATTCGACAAACAAAACACCAGAATATGTAATGTTTAATAAATTATTGTTTTACAGAAAGAACAACAGAATGCAGAATACGGACCACCCCCACAATCGCCTCCTTCGGACAACTATGGCGCCCCACCATCGAGTCCTGGCGGTCCCTATTAAATAGTTTTACCATGTGTAACCACGTTTCCTGTGAACAAAATACTCAGAACTCACAACATTTGAATCTCAGATCACAGGGACTTTCGTTGAGATAGCTGCTCATTGTTCACGCGATTTCGAAAAATACTAGGCTATGCAGCACGTAGTACGGATATTACTGCTACCGATCTTTATAGATTCTGTGAATAGATTTTAGATATTGATACTGTTTCACCTTGTACATTCCTAGATATCCACAATACCTTGTGTTATCGATTCACCACACTTGCGAAATCCGTTGGTAAATGCACAAGTTTTATACATGGATATAATTGCGACAGCACCTCCTACGTTTTATTACTTCATTTGCTTTTTGTATATTCTGAAAAATGAATATCTGATGACATGTTCCACTTTTGCGTTCTTGAAACTGAACGTCTGTCGGTTACCAGTATACTTTGAAAACGATGTTCGGGAATTCGTGATTGACGCAAGTGTAAATGATTATAACCTATGTATGTATGTTTTAATATAAATGTATTTGTACTTTTGTAGAAACTCTTTCTTTTCATTTCACACCTCTAGAATTAATATTCATGTTTCACAAATCAATTTTCTAATGTGTAAGAAGAATTTCTTTGGAATATGTACTTGTTACTGCCTGTAGTTTAAATTTGTAACCAGAATGGCTACAGATTTGATACAGGGTCAGCTATAAGCAATATGCCGCCAATCTACTTCACAATTCTGTGAAGCAGGCTCTGCCTGGAATATCCAAACCAAACGCGGAAACAGATGACTATGAATTTGTAAACAGATTTCATCACCATATGCTGCCAATCTGCACACAAATGGTTATCTGGGCACGTCTTGAGTTATTATCTAACAATAAGAAAAACCGTCCGTCTATCCCTAATCACTAATCACTAGGTCCAGCCTATATCTCATACCTTAAAACTCTCTTGTACATATTATTCTTAAAATATCTAAGCAAATATTTATTTTCCCAAAAATACAGGATATATAAAAACTCTTCGCAACTAATAAATTTGATTACTTTGAGCACCAACAAAAACTATCACATATTATCCCTATAAAAATTCATCTATCTTAAAAATGACAGCTTTTTCAATCAACTTTTATCGGTCGCTTTTTAAGTAGATAATTCCTCATTAGTATTGAAACAATTGGATAACATAAGTAAATTACGTGACCGCAGTAGTAAATGGATAAATAAACTTGATGGTAACGAGGATACGACAGAAGATGGAAACAAACGACACTGTAGCCCATAAAAATAAATGTGTAGATCAACGTAATTATCGAAAATATAAATTCAAGTTCGGGATGACGTTTCAGCAAAATTTGTAATTTCTCCTGTCTCTCCAATATCTGAGTCAACTGAAAAAATAGAAAAATATTTCAAATTCATATTATTAATACTGTTCCAATTAATTCAGTAACATTAATCACTTATGCGTATACGTAAATAACACTGTCCAACAAATTTTAAATTGTTTTCTGGTCTGCAATATCCATTGGAAGATCCTTATCGAGTTTCTCGTGCAGATCATTGCGGACTTATACATATGGCAAGGGGGTGCCCATTGGACGGTACTATCGGTATCGATTACGCGTAGCTACGGCACCGAAGAGTCGAGGTAAGCGAGCAATGGCCGCGTGGCGGTAAAAACCGTTCCGTCATTTTTTCTGGATGGTTTATTCTACAGCATCCGATACTGAGTAGCAAATTCGTGCTAGGCAAAGACCTTTTCGTAAAAATGCAAAAATAGTGCATAGAAAGTACGCACATCGGCTCTTTTTTATACTTTCACGGCAATTTACAACCATTAAAAATCATATAATGTAATAACTATGTGCACTGATATATTCGGAAAACTTTCCCCTATCTTTCAAGATTAAACTGAACTTTCTACCGATCTTAGTTTTCACGTAGTACGTCATTTTTGCCCAAAATTAGGTGTTTTTACAAAAGCTCATGTTTTTCAAACACTGTGGGAGATGATGAAATTCTGCTTCCGGATTCATGATCTGCACGAGAAACTCGATAAGGATCTCCGAATGGATACTGCAGATCAAAAATCGTGTTGAATAGTGTAATTTGAATAATTGTTTCATTCATATCCAAGTAAAAGACACCAAAAATTAATGCACGTTAAATTTATATCTTATAATACACAAAAATAAATTATAATTAATTAAATGAATTGTTTGTTTATAAATAAATCAAAATTTAAATATTTGGAAAAGAATGGAACAAACCTGTGTACAATAAGTATAAGTTCTGCTTATAATGATAGAATAACCATGTAATACTTGTTCAGAAAAATAAAAATATGGTTAATACAGAGTGTCTCAGCTAACATGATCACCTCGAATAATGACTTAACGGAACACTTTATGAAAATTTTGAGGCGTGAAACTTGAATGGAATCAAGTGACACAACTTATAAAGTATGTTTCTTCTTTGTGGGTGGAGGCTTTTCAGAAATTTCAAGGTTACTTTGATTTTTTTAACAGAATAACCTATTTTTTATACCGTAGATCGATAGAGTATCAAATTCTGAGTAAAAATGTATTGACCTTCATACGTCCTAACCCTAATAGTTAACGTGATATTTACAAAATAATCACTGAATTGAAATATTTTGTAAATATTTTGTTAACTATTAGGTTTGGGACGTATGAAGGTCAACACATTTTTACTCAGAATTTGATACTCCATCGATCTGTAGTACAAAACATAGGTCATTTTGTAAAAAAAAATCCAGGTGACCTTGAAATGCCTCTACCCTCAAAAAAGCATGTACCTTATAAGATGCATCCCTTGATTCCATTTATGTTCCACGCCTCAAAACTTTCATAAAGTGTACCGTTAAGTCACTATTCGACGTGATCAAGTTAGCTGAGACACCTTATATATAGAAACATAAAAGTAAATTAAACTTACATCTCTCTCGGCATACATGATGAGAAACTCGAGGAAAAAGCATACGTAATATCCTGAATGAAATCCATGCCATAATGCAAGGAATAGTAACGTAAAGAATTGACTATATAATTTTGATCCTAAGAATTTCAGTCTTTTATAAATATACTCGGCACACCAAGTATTGGTGTTTATATTAAACGACATGATATAATGATTAAATCGTGTCGCCGTTTCAAAGGTTAACAATTTAACATTTTCACAACCAGTCCAAAGAGGTCGATCGTTCTCATCTTTTCCGTTATACGTTATACCAAAAACTGTGCAGACCTAAAATTATAATAATATAAATTGAACAATTTCGCTGCAATAATTATAATAAATAATTTTTACTCGATTAAATTAATAGGTCATTCCATATGTAGTGTTATTTCGTATTTTATTCGATAACGACACATCAAAGACTCTAATTGAAGCAGAACTCCATCTAACTATGAAGAAAATAGCAGAAAGACTGATGGATTGTGGCAATAATATTGTGTTGGTATCGACATTTGAAACAAATTGGAAAGGTATACGGCAAAGAATATTTTATAAATAATTAAAAATTATAATTTTCAGCACTTCAATCAAGACATCAAAAATTTCTTACAGAAGCAATCCAAAAGTTACCTGAGAGATAGGAAAAATCTAAGAAACTGATGGTCAATAGATAGAAAATTAAAAATGAATATAAGTATTAATACTTTGCATTGAAAGTTAACGTTAAGAAACGACATTATTTATGAATTAACCTAATGTTAAGTTACTTTAGTATTAGAATAGAATGTACTTGAGCAATTTATCTTCATGTATGATAGCTATAGCTATCACAACTTAAAAATTGCATTCAAAATTATGAATGGAACGAAAATTTTTAAGTTTAAGGTGATATTGCAAAAACATCACATAACCATATTATTGTATTATTATTGCCGTTATATCCTTTTAATGTTTCATGCATACAACAAATTATTTAATATCATATTAAACAATATAAATTACACATAGAATTCGTTCTACTCACCCCTTCTGTAAGCAGCCAACAACCAATATATTTATACAGATTTACATGACCCCAAAAGCCAATTATGAGAAGACGTTTTGGGAAGAACTGTTCCTGGAATTCTAAACTTAAGACATACTCATTCGAGATGTACAGAGTTCCTAGTTGGAAGAGCCCCACGTACACAAATCCGACTAATAATCGAGAAATCCCAGGAAGAATACAATCTGGTAATTCGCCTTTTTTGAAATTCTGAAAGCACAGAAGAAGTAGTCAATAAGTGTTGTTCAATCATTGATCATGTTTATGCAAACATAATTTTTTATAAACTAATTCACAAAGACTAAAAGGAATCAAGAAATTATTTACTCTATTAATCTGTTATTCTAGTTTTTACTCTATTACCTCTAAAACTATTTACTACATCGGACTTTAAATAAATAACCCTCAGAGTATCGATGGTTCATCGATCCCGCGGAAGTCCGTAATGAGTTAATATTGACCCATTCGCATTTCTTTTCTTTTTTATCGCTTCGACTTGTAATACTTTGCTTATAAAAACTCAAATTCCAACTCTAAAGATTGTATTGAAATTATGAGATAAAACATAAAGTGTAAAAATTTCATTTTTCATTGATAAATGGCAATTTGTACTATTATGTAGTATGTAGTTTAGTTCGAAGAGTTTCTTAAGTCGGAAAGCGAAAATCGAGAGGCGAACTCGTAGCAAATGATATATTGGTGCATCAATATATTCAAATGTTAAATGCTTTCATATGAAAATTTATATCCACAACTTCAAATTTCATTATTTTTTCGTGATTGCTGATTTAGTATGTAAATATAACTTACGTCAACCATCAAATGTCCGTGTACGTAGTCCAGGTACCTTTTCATACTAAACTGTGGTCCTACAAGAAACGATCCCGGAAAGTATACAAATGCCGCAACTTCCAAGAATGTTGGTCGCTTTGTTAAGGCCACTTCTTTCTGTGACGCCGATAATTTTCCCTGAAACGACAATTATTATTCACCTTTTCTTCTTCTACTACTTATTATTTTTTATTCTGATTCATTTTCTTGTTAATGTACATGTACAGCTGGCTACACTAGCATCCAATCGTCTTCTAAAACCAGAAAACCAAACAGAATAACCCTTGGAACTTTTAAATACTTTGAAACACAAAAACTTACGAAACTGGTTTTATTTAAAATAAGCATTCAAATGTACATAATAAATAAATGTACACATATGTAACAATGTTTCAAGACATAATTTAATAAATAGATTATTTTAAAATGATTTATTTGTTAAGCATTTTATTATTTCAAAAAGTAATGTTAAAATTGCGTAACAATAGGAATTTAACAAACGTAAAAAGCTATGGATTTCGACATTTCAATTTAATTACTCGCAGTAGGTAATCGTTAATAGTACATCCGGCCAATGATAAACATTCTCAGAAATCTGTATTTTCAAATACAATTTTTATAGTAGAAAAATAATTTTTATTTTCAAGCAAACGCCTAATATTAAATATGCACATACTTAGATCTAAAAAAAAATGCCAAATATCAAAGTAAACGGCCTGTAAAATAGACCCTTACCGATATAATATTAATTAGGATAACAGAATAAAACACAAAAAAAAATTCAAATGAAAAATTGTATTTGAATAATCATTTAAATGAAAGGTTATTTAGATAATTCCCATCCCAGATGCTGAAAATGTACGAGAAAATAAAATTTTGTCCTTTACACTACCAAATATGAGTCCCAAATTTCTTCGTTCAGTTGTATAATAGTATCATCTTCTCTATCTTCTTATTTATCTCATTAATTATTTCTTTTTCAATATTATTACTTTCACTTTCAATTTAGTTATATATAATAATTGGGATTGCTAATACAATATTCATAGGTAACTTGTAAAAGTTTCGAGATTTTTCACTGAGCTGTTGAAGACCATTTCAAGATAAAGTTTCGAACGGCCATCGCTGATTACGAGTCTGTTGCGTGCGTGAAATCAAATAAGAAGGGAGATGTCGCGTAGTCTAGGGTTAGTGGTTAATCATTGACTGTCGTTCATAAGTCGTTCTTTAGTCGTCCGAGCATTCCACTGAATCTCTTTCGAGTAGCTTATTGTTGAATTATTATTTATTTCTCTTGATATAATCGTAACATAATTAGTTTGTAAAAAAAAATTCCTCCTCGATATCAAGCATTACTTCGCCTCTATGTCTACGGTAAAGTAAGTGATACGTTTAACATCTTAACTAAGCATACTTGAGATTAATGTAAAATTAATGTAATATACCCTTAAATACCACATAGTATTGAAAATTTCAACAAAATTAAACAAAATGAACATGGTGCAACATAAGTGGAATTGTATTACATGGAAACCAATCTCTCACGAAAAAAATACAATAAACCTGCAAGACTTAACTATTTACATTTAGTAACAGACTATAGTGTAAAGGTAAAAACATTTATATTGTATAAGTAAAATAAAAGCATACTTAACATACGAAGGGTTAACAATATAAATGTTTGAATATTGGTCACCTGTATGCTGTTGTGTACAGTACCATAATTTTACTTATGAATAAACAATAAAGTTCACCGCAACAGTAACGTCGCTTCAGGCTCATTTTAAATAGAGTTACGTAAATAAAAAGAAGCCATTTTTTAAGGATTAGTTTCAAAGATTGTCTGACAACCGATTATGTCGTACATATAATCGAATAAGTATTTATTTTACTCTGAAGTGACTTCAAGGACGGTATTATTTATGATACGTCGAGAGAATATTCATTTGTAATACGTACTTCGGGTTGTTTTCCATCCAATACATTGAACGTGAGACCAATTAATCGCAGCGTTAACACGCACTGTGGCATAGTCCACTTTATATCGTAATCATTTGTACCTGTTGTATAATATCCTAGTAAGAACAAAATAAGTATTAGTTTTTAATTTACAAATCTGTTTTACCTAATCCGTGTCACCATATAGGTATACTATGTGTAAGAATAAGACGCGTTTAGTTTTGCAGAATATATGCAGAATGCTGCAAGACAATCAGAACTCTCATCTTTCAAAATCTTACAGAAGAAATTGTTTGAATTCTTTGTTGAATTGTGTGAAATTTTTAATTTTTAAAAAAGAGATTTCGTTTAAACGAACAACGTACAATGACCGTTATTATTGGTAATATAAATACGAAACAAGGTCTAAACAACGCGATAAAAAAATTAATAGATCATTCATACATTCGTTTAAATTCTTTTATTTTTGCTATTCGTGATAATCTCGAATAACGTTACGTATAGTCACTGCCCAACTCGACGCACCTCCCACGCAAGCAGCAAGTGCTAAATTAATTGTGTCGCGTAAGTAGTTGAAAAACTGTTTGAGTATTAAATTAACGTTGTACAAAAATTTTAAAAGAATCTTATTAATGGCTTGGCCAAATAGTTCATGCGGCTTTTACGCCGGCTGACATAGCCAAGTTGATGCAAACGGTTTTCTACGTTTGATTTCGATACTTGGAGAATTCGTGCAATTTCCCGCGTTGTGTAACGAAGTCTATTGTCAATTAAACACTTCACGCGGTCGTTATGCATCTCGCGTGGCGTGGTAGATCATGGAGCGAAAATATCCAGGAACAAAATTTCGCAAAGCACTTCTGACAAACTTATTCTTCGATGAAATTCCATCCGTACACATGACTTGTCACAAACTTGCACCACGTTTTTTCCTTTTTTGAAACAAGATAGGTAAATATGTAGAAAATGCTCCTTCTAGATGCTCATTTTTAAAATTATGCCAAAATTATAAAACAAACCCAATCTCCAAAGTTTTTCGTTAAAATGTACAGTTAAATGTTAGCTACCAGATCACCATGTGCTTTCGAACTTTGAACTAAAGTTAGTTGCGTTACAGTGTACCTGAAGAGAACTATCGCCAAAAATCGCACGAACTGATTGACCAACCCAATACATCAAATTTAGTACGAGCCACTCAGGCGTTATATTTAATCACTGTTTGGATTTGATATCAGTATTTTTATTAGATTGAAATATGCTATAGTCCGCATGAAATTAAAAGTGGTTTAAGCCATCATTTTGCTTTGAATTTTTTAAAAGAATACATAACACAAATGTTACTTTTCTGTAGTTTAACATATAAACTCTTTATTTCGAAACTGTTAAACGGTCAAAGTTTTGTCTCAAAAAATCGTTATAACTTCGTCATTTCAATGGATTAAATTAATATTAAAACATCACTTTGGGGAAAAATTTTCAAGATGTTATACTTTAAGAAAATACAATTACGAAAAATCGATTTTTTGACCCCTCCGAATGGGAATATATACCCCCTTAACCTTCATCCGTCCCTTGTATCAATTTGACACAATTATCTCCTATGAAATGACGTTATTTTGTCACGTCTAGTTAAATTTAGCTGAGGCTTTGTGATTTTTGCCTTAAAGAATTTGCAAATTTATCTATTTATCACTTCATTTATTAATTTTTACCACTGGGTCTATTTGACACTGAGGGACAAATTAATTTAGGAAAATGAGAGACGGATGAGGGTTAAAGAACATTTCGACAGGTAGTAGCAAGGGATAGTTGTATCAAACAATGAAAATTCTTCTCTGTATCATAATATTTGCATACCATATAGGAGGTAGACCATGTTGAAGACGAAAGTAAGAAGCACCGACAAAGTGGTACCGCCGAGGTACTTCAGAATAAGATAAGTGATGCATACTGCCGTTGCTGAGTGAAGTGTATTCAACCCTGTAAATATCATTAATATTATTTACACGATTAATTAGTTCGAAAATATACAAGCCAACACGAAAATCTATAAATAAACGTGAACAAACTTAAAGATACTAGAGCAGTGGCACTAACAACTTTATTCTAATTTTTTCTGCTGAATTTTGCGTAGAAAAAGAAAAGCAAATACATACATATGGAAATATGTGCAATAGTGCACAATATTAATGAAAGTACTTACGAACAAACACGAATGTACATCTGTACAATCTCTGTGAAAATAAAAAGTTTGTTTGACTTTTAAGTTAGCAAGCCATTCTATATAGGTAACAGTGCTCATTCCTGTGTTTACTTTTCATGACCGAAAACAATTAACATTCGTGATTGTAAAGTGAATTTCCCATTCAAAATAATTTGTTTATACAGAATGGAAAAAAAAACAAGTAGCTTTGATAAAACTTTAAAATTCGAATTTGTTATTTGAAATAAAACAAGAGAAGAACTGCTAAATTTCAAGATGGCAATGAAACTAGGTTACTATAAAAATGATCCACTTAAAATGTAATAAATATATTTTTAGTGTAAAAAAATGTAAGAAACTGGAACAAAACAAAAATTTATTAAATAAGAACCATATGGCAACTATGACGAATCTGAGCTTCGGAAAATCGTGTAAACTACAAATACATAAAATGCTCCATCTTGTTATAAGCTAGTTTTTGAGAAATTAGGTACTATGAATAGCAACAAAATTGCTTTATTTCGCTTGAATAAGGTGACAAGCGTAATTAGGATTATGATGAATAAGAATGGACAACTGTTTTCAACAAAAACCCGTGCAATTCTTACAGTTGTTGATAGTTCATAAAGAAACGAACAGAATGTATTTGAAATATATTTTTATTCAAAAACCATTACGATACTTAATTTTCCGTTCATTTTTACCACTTGTCCAATATAGTATTCGCATAAAAATATTTAGAATCATTCAGAAATGTACATCATCTAATCTCAACGTGTACTATACAGAATGTCTCAGCTAACTTGATCACCTGGACTAATGACTTATCGGTACACTTTGTGAAAATTTTGAGGCGTGGAACTTAAGTGGCATCAAGGGGCTGTCTTACAGTATAGCACTTTATAAGGTACGTGCTTTTTTTGTGGGTGGAGCCATTTCAAAGATTTCAAGGTCACTTTGATTTTTTTTAAAGGAATAACCTTTTTTTGTACCATAGATCGATGGAGTTTCAAATTTTGAGTAAAAATGTGTAAAAATGAAAGACCTTCATACGTCCTAAACCTAATATTTAATGAGATATTAACGAAATAATTTTTAATACGTACTTACTATCTGGAAGCTATAGGTGCTCAAACTGATGCCCCTCAACGTTAACACAACCCGATTACGTGTCAATGTTTACGAACAGACATATTCTCGATTTATAACATACTACAGTCGTTTTCCTAACATTTAGTTCAGTATTGTAGAAGATATCTTCGACGTTCATTTGCAAGTATTCGGGAAAGTAAAATTGAAAATGAAATACAGTAATATTGAGTGTGTAGATCTGATATGCTGCTACTTTATAATGCTTAGTGCGTTCCGCCGACCCTGAGTACTTTTATTTTCATCGTGCTTCTCTAAATATCCTTAATACATACTTACAGATGCGTCACTTTAACACTAGAACTACCAAAGCAGTCAAAATGACTGGTTAGTATATTCTTATATTGACGATTAAAATGTCACAACAACATTTTTTTTAGATTTTTCGCAACTTTCATTGCCATATAAAAATGAAGAAATTAGTTAATTTATAAATTTAAATATTTTCAAGGGTTTGTCATGTTTATCGATCCGATAGAAATAGGTTAAATGGTAGTTCTAGTGTTAATAAGAAATTTTCATAAGGAACTACGAAATGTAAAATAATAAACTAAAGAATAGTTTATCTTGCGAAATTTATAACGTTCGAAACAGTTTGCAATTGTATTAGTCTATCATTAAAAAGAACATTGGCAAACAGAATGGTGATACAGCCAAAAAATTATGAATGCAGTTAAAAAGAGAACATTTTTACGAAAAATAGATGAAGCATACTCAAAAAATATTGTTCCCCACGTGTTTATTTATATGTGAGTGAAAAAGGTGATGCCGTCCTGATCGGAATGCATACACATGCTATCGCTACGACAAATGATTTCGTTTTATCACTACTTTCCAAGAAAACATTCAAAAATAATGATAGTGGTCAACTCTTGACTTCTGAATACTACTGGTGCCGAAATCACTGACGTCACTATATAATGCACATTGTGACGTAGATAAGAACAATATAATTTTCTTTGCTTTCATATTACCTTTTAAGTTCATTATGCATTTTATCTGTCATAAGAAATGTAAAAGTGTTCACTATTTTGTCGCTCTTAACATGGCGCAGTTTCAAGGAGAATATAAATATTTTCTACAATAAGAAGGTTCTATACATATACATACATGGTATACCTCTGTAAAATAAAAATTGGAAAAATTCAAGGTAAATATTATTAATATTTATAACAATCATTATTATTATTATCACTATTATTGATGTTAAATCACTAAAAGTTTATGCCTTATAGATAAAACCATTCAGAATATCTACCATAATATTCAAGGCCGTTCCTGACCATACTTAGAAACGGCCGCAGATCGTTTATTATATATCAAATGTTAGTTAGTAAGAATAATAAGCAACTTTTTTATATGATTATGAAAATTATCGACAAACGGAAGTCAATCAAATTAATTTTATATGTAATCTTTGTAACACTACTCGCAAACAAGAATAAATTATCTTTATGGACAGCCCAAAATAGCATACGATATTTAGGTATATTATCTGCGATTGGTAGCCAACGCTACCGCGGGAGCTTGATCGGCAGGCATGCGCTCTGATTGGTCAGGGTTTTTCGTTAATATCTCGTTAACAAAGTCTCGGATAAAATTTTTGCAAGTTTGCAATTCTCACTTTAAAGAAATTCATATCTTGTTTTAATTTTTCCAATTACCTTGTATAATATGTTGATATCAATCGACTTGCAGTTTCTAATGATTGTTAATATTATTAATAATTTTGACGCTGTTCATTACATCACTTAAAATACAGATTCCTGTATATTTCTACTATATAGTAAAGTTTAATTTTACTTTTCAATATCTCAATTTTAGGCTGAAGAATATTGTAATAACATATAATTACTGAAAAACTAATTTGCGAAGCTTCAAGGCATTTCCTTCACTAAGTGTTTTGTAATTGTTAGCTTCTTAAAAAAGCTAAACACAGCAGGTGCAAAAAGTAAAAATAATTTCTATAATCAGAAGATTACCTTATTAATACGTGAAGATACTGATGAAATTGGTTGTATTGGCTTGTCCTCAACCAATACCTGCAGGAATGTAATTTCTAGCTAAAAATTGTAGACAAAATCTTTTACTGGAAAAATTTGTTTAAAAACACAATGACTCTACGAACTGAATTATTAAATTATTCTCTACATTAATAAGAGAAGTTATGTTTTCAGAATTGAGATTTTCTATCAAGTAACACTCCTATAATTAACTAAAAGAATTTTATGATAATATTTAAGAAAAACTGAGAATATCATAAAAACAGAGGCTAGATGTAGGAAATAACAAACTTCATAGTCGAAAATAGACCCCCCTAAGTGGGAATAACGCCGTTCGTGTTGCATTCATCGAGGAATCACTGTAATAGTTTTTTCTTATTTCTGCGCGTAGTACCTATTATCACGATTTGACCTAAACACTTTAGACACCCTGCATAGTCAGGGCAAACCTCCAAGTTTAATAAAATTCAATTAAAATGGAATATCTATCACCAGAATGATCTTGCTTAAAATCGCTGATACCACTTCTGTGCACTCTCATAAAAAAACGACAGACATAAATTTTAGAAAATTACGTAATGTATTTTATCTCCACAGAGATTTAATCAACTGTTATTAGCATACAAAAATGCAGAGAAACGTAAGAAAATTTCAACAAAATTAACACGATTTAAAACTCATTCATCTGACCAGTCTTTCAATAAGCAGAAAATCGCAACACAAATAATTACCATAATTCCAGTAGCAAAGTAAAAGGCCGCAACTCGTGAAAAATAAATGCTGAGAGACTGGATTTTTTCCGTATAGCGTATACCTGTGAAGAAGGGCGATGGGTAATCCTGAAAGTTCAATTAAAATTGTAAAAACAGCGCTTTCTAAATGCTCAATTTTATGTACACCCTGAGCCTTAATATTAATAATATATTTTACTGATACTTTTAACCTAGGTTTTGAAAATTTTTAAGCAACCAATACAGCAACACAATGAAACTTTTTTAAGAAATATTTACAAAAAGAATTTTACAAAGGAAATACACTGTAAATTTGAAGGTACTGTTATCTTCGTCCAACGAAATAATTACAAAAAGAATTTTACAAAGAAAATACACTGAAAATTTCAAGTTACTGTTATCTTAGTGTATATTTTTCAACAGCCTTTTCAAAAACTTCTTATACTACATACTTATACAATACGCGAAAGGTGTACTGAATATTTTCAGGCGTGTTATAAATTTTGTAAACACTGTTTTTCAGGTAAAAACGAATACAACTGGTAAATTTATTTATATGTTTTACGTAACATGGTATAGAAATACACACATCGTTTCGACAAGCATGAATAAAACAAATGAATCAAAATCCAAGGCAAGTCCAATGCGAACAAAAAACTGCGACGCACTAATTACCATTGTTATTAAAATTCTTATCATCTCTGTAACGCAACGTGAAAAACAAGAACAGAGAGGATGATTTTTCGGACACGTAGCTTTGTCATTAAAATGAACAATAGAACGTAAAAATAATTTGGCTTCTCTAAAAATCACTCTATACTTTACTCTAATTATCATTGCCGCGAAGGAGAGAAATAAAATGTATGCAACAGGAAAAATAAATAAAGCTTTTATTAAGACATTTATTCTTTGAATTATTATTGTAATAATACACGAAAAATTTGAAACACTAACACTATTCCAGATGGACAAGTATGAAATTTTTAACCGATAAGACTGACAAATAAAATTATTTATTAAACAGTTACTATTTATAGTCAATATTTCTGTACAAACCAGTCAAATTAAATACCCAAAAAGAATTAATGACTGCTGTCACACAAAATGTCATTTTAATCAATTATAGCAAACGTTTCTTTACTATCTGTTTTCGACAATCGTTAAAATTTGTGAGAAAATAATTATAGTACAAAGGATAATGAAAAAAAATATATATATTCATTTCCATAATATACAAACGACAGTTTCTGGGAAATACATAGGTATATCAACTTCATAATTCCAGGGACTAAGGAAGAAACTCATCCTATGCGCATGAGTCAAGTATAGAAAACAAACAACATATATATATTATACATACGTATGTGGATAACCTTTCCCACATTCTAAAACCATAACCAAATTTTGTTAGGTGTTAAAATTAAACAGATTTAGATGTTTCAGAAAATATATGAACTCAGCTGGTTAAAATGGGTAAGAAATCCAATGTTGATTATGCAATCACTGATTAAGCAAAGCAAATGAATTGAGGTTATAGGTTAACATCACAATTAATGGAAAACAGAAACTGTTGTGAAAAAAAGGAGCGGAATCATGTTTTTCTTTGTAGCTGTTCTAATTACCAAGTACAATGGAGATAATAAGCCGAAGTGCAGCCTCAGAAATGCTGAAACTGTCCAAGAATGTCGACAACATACTGTTGAATATTGCTAATCCTTTTCGAAGTTGGTTTCTTATTTCAAACGTTCGACCTCTTCAAGAAAATTCTACAAAGTTTCCATTGAATGTTTTCTTTTTGTGAACAAGTTTCTAATCAAGATATATGTAATTTTTTGGGACGATAGCATGACCCATCGTCACTGAGGTTATCAAATTCTAATACTAATCGCAACTAATCGGCGATGACAAAGAGAACAAGAACTTTGCGTAATAGATCTAAAAAGTGTTCTGAAATACGCTCAATTCACGTGGATTTTTAGACGAAGGAAAATTTGTTTGCGAGAATATTATGAGATTAGAATTACGAATTTAAAAAAAATAACTAGTATCCATTATTAATGGCGAAAACGATCGTGTAACTTGTTTTAATCTATAAATAAAGATTTAAAGTAGTGAAAGTTTTAATACATTTAGGAACCATTGATTATGAATTTCAGTGGACTAATTGTGTTAACATACAGTGTCGTTTACGTTGAATTTTAACTTACCTTGAATTGTATAAATATTTATGACAGTAAAAATTATATTTTTAAACTTTAAACAGTGTTCACCTGTCACAGGAAGAAAAAATTACATCAAATTTATTAAAAGTTTGTTAATTGAAATAACTGCAAATATATTTTGAAATGTATAAATTCAATTTCTTGTAATACCTAATATGGTTATTGTAAATATTAATGATAGACAACGTAATGTTTTCTTAATTTTTATGTAATCCATAGCTTATGACACTTTATATTTAATTATTTTTTTAAAAAGCAATTTGAAGTCATTCCAATAGTTATGAATAAACAAGCCATATACAGTTTAATTTGCATGAAAAATGCTGGTCAAATTCTTAAAACTACCTTTTTATATGTAGTATATATTAACATTTTTAAAATTGAAACCATAATTTTTGCTTTAAAAAATTGAATCTTTGGTTGAATGGTTGACAACAATAAAATAATTTATCATACGAGGTTTGAGAATATGACGCAAATTATCACAAAATTTGGCTATGCCAGTTAAATTTTTTACTAAATAAACTTATTTTATATACACCACAAGAAATACCAGTTTACTACTTTACTAATTAATAAAAAAAACAATAAATTCTGACAAAGCGAATGACAAAAGGAACTAAATAGATGGGATCGCTTCTGATCGGCAGTAAAATTTGATCGACACTTTCTGGTAATAAATAATCATTTAATAACTTAACTCGTGTCATATTATACATTGTTATAATCGCAATATAAAACACGAAATCGTAGGATTGCTGAGTGGCAGTTTCCAACGACAAACACGCCTTCGATTCGACTCTTATAATTGGAAAAAATCGAAATTAACTAACCCTTCGCAATCCAGCTACGAAAAGCACAGAGATCTTATAAATCGTAAAATATCAGTAACTAGTGGTCAGTAAATAATAAGGGCTACCACACACATATGCGGACAGTAAGCATTACTATAGTGGTAATACTAAATTGAATCCTCCTTCACAATGTTTTGGGCGATAATGTGCGATTGTTTCTTGTAAAATTGTATTATATTCACCTGTTGATAAGTATTAACAGGCTATTCATCGTAACAATCCATACGACTTCTTACATTCACATTGAAAAGTAATTAAATACAAAACGATTCGGAGTAAATAATAATTCATTAAAGACCGTGGAATCTCACCTTTTATTAAAAGTTTAAAGTATTCTGAATTTTTATGAATTAAAGCAAATTATTGCGTGAATTTATAATTAACGCGAAAATAAATTCAACGCTCTGAATATTACGACCTTGAACTTTATATGTATGTTATATATGTTATGTTTTTCTGTATTTTTACTTCTAATGAGTAAAATAACAGATGTGCCTTTTGCTTGAATACTCAGATTCGAAATCGCTTCAACGTCATAATATTACAAGCGTTGAATGTTTAAATTCATTACCTATACGACATTTCGTTCAAAAACATTAGTTTCTTAAAAAAAATCAAAGTAATCTTGCATTAATACACTTATTTTTCATACGGTTTTGAATGTTTCATTTATACATCATTATTCCTTAAAAATCACAAAAGTCGTGCGAGCTGTTACGATAAATGCTTTACACACTATAATAAAATGTTTAATGTATTATCAATAAGTTCAGTAAAGTACCCCCGCCCGTAAATTCTGTTGACGTGTACGAATAAAACTCTTGAAACTGAAAACTTATTCCCAAATGATTATAAGTTACATACATACAATAGCAAATGGATTTTATACTATAATTCAAGATGCTTCTAAATATAAAAATACGTATAATTCATGACTAATACAGATGGTAGCCCTATCGTATTAAGTAACCTGTTCACGAAGGGTAGATACACCGACAATTACAAAGTCATCTCTAATATAGAGACAAGGAACAAGCAATTCTATATTATTTTATACAGGGTGTCCCAAGCAAAGAGTAATTAATTCTAAAAAATGCAGTACCGTAACATAGCAAAAATTTTAAATGATACATTCTACTGAACAATTTTATTTAGGCGAAGCACGATTTCTGAAACACCCTATATAATATTTTCTATTAGAAAAATCCTGTTTGCTTTGAGAAAACCGCTGATTCTTATTTAGAAAAATATATCGACCGTAGTTTTTGCGGACCGATTACATTTCACTCTCACTCCTTACTTCTATGTATACACATAAAAAGATTTCCTTTATGTACACACACCGTAAGTCTTCTTTTTCTACACACACGCGCGAACATACATATACACGCACACATGCATTTGAAGAAATTCGTTGGTACACAACAATTAAATTAATTTAGCGTTTGATTCACCTGCACAGTTTAACTCTTTGTTTTGAAAAACCATTGATTTTTTTTATACGTGATACTCTTTTGCATACAATATGTAATTATGAAATATGAATTTTCGTTATTGTTTAAAATTTGTTGTCTTTCCAATATTGAATATTTAAAAAAAATACAATTACTAAGTTTTGATATACTAAGAGGCACTTCATGAAATAGTCCACAGGCGATCAAGCAAGTATAACCGTTAAAGAGAAATAATTTATTTACTATATCATTTGTTTCACTTTACAATAAACAAAATCTACTGTCAAAAGACAGTATACATTGGTAGCATCATTGTGCAAGCTGTCTGTTCACTGTATTAGAGTCTGAAACGTTCTATAATGTTTGAATCATTTTATCAACTTTGAAGCACATATAGCACCAAAAAGCTTACATACCTACAATAATTGAAAAATGTACTTGATCGTCTATGGATTACTTAAATTTTCTTTAGTGTGGTTTCAGGATTTGTATCCAAAATGTTTTTTTGTAAATTTCTCACACTATGAAGTTATTTTATACATACATAATCTGATACGCAACAATTTAAAAAAAATTATTTGCTTCGTAACTCTGTTATCACTTTTAATAGAACATGAAGAATCAAATTGATGCTTTAAATTCTAATACTGCCCTATAATTCTTTCACTGAAGCTAATTTAATATCATTCGTACTGTTCTTGAACAGTTTAAGTGTAGAGCAATGATTCACAAATGTAAACATGCATTGTGAACCAATGCTTAAAGAATATCAAAAACGACCGAGTTTTGTATTAAATTCATTTTTTGTAAACCATTCCGTAACATAGCTATAGAATCTTAAAACTATGGGTGTTTCTAAAGATCAGTATGAATGTTTTCTTTTCATTTGTTTGCGAATATTTTTAAGACATTAGTTTTCACTATGACAGAAAAATTCCTGCTAGTTTTATTTCTTGAAATGAACAGTTAACATACACGTTAAGAAAACTCTAAAACATAGCTATTTTTTTAATCATTATTGAAGGAAAAGACCATTTAAAATTTTGATTGGTCCGAGCAGGGTATGTAAATGGTACCCTGTCCCTCGTAAAAATCCCAAAGGATAAAAAACTCGGTCGAATAATCAATCTTTCATATTATGCCTTGCTGACTACGAAAGACGTAATATACTTTCGTCTAGCTTTCAAAAGCGCTTTCTTTACGTATCCTTTTAATCAATTATGGCCCACTTTCTTCAATTGTTAATTAGATTTACGAAATTACAACTTTCGAAACTCTATTAGTTATATAGTGTGTTTGATGATGCATCGAAAATACAAATTCCTATACATATAATTCTAAAATGTATAAAAATAAATGTATTCTTTAATGTTTCTGATTTCTGGAACTATTGTACTGTATTTTGACTAATTCGCAGTACAATTTTAATTATATTCAATTATGTTATTTGAAACATTTTACTAGATAATTTATTTCTGTTAAGTAAAACAAACTGTACTTAATGATTGAGTAAAAATGATACTTTCAAGTATTTAAATTCCCAATGTTCTATATAAATATTGACTTTGTATAATAATTTTAAATTAATGTATTTAAAACATTACCTGAGTAAATTTTGAAACTTTGTAAAAGTTAATAGAAAATGCCCAGGAATCAGAAGAACATGTTAAATATCATTTTTCACAGAGTATATGGATATTCAGCAAGATAACTTTTAATTAGTGGTGGCAAGTGTTCAGTGGGCAATTTACACCTATTAACAACGAGCCTAGCTAAATGACTAAGAGACCTAACTTCCTTAACTAAAGGCTTTGTCAAATAAATCTCGCTATAAAGTTGGCCGCTATAATCTACCCAAACTTCCTTCCTATGTTCATCAACACTTTTCGAATATTCCACATAATATTCTAACATTTTGATTGGACAGTCAAAAAGTGGGATAGCAAAAGCAAGTCTAGGTTCAGCATCTAATCGAAACTGTCCTACAAAATAGTGAACTCGAACAGAGGTAGGTCCCCTAGCAGTTTGCACAGATATAGCAAATGTATATCTACTATCTGAACTGTCTCGCATTAACCATCGCCCAACTGCAGCTTTTTTCAATAAATTTTCACTCTGCTGCCAACTAAGGCCTTCATGATACCAACCACAAGTTTGTAGAAGTCTTTTCACTTCAGAAAGTCTTGCTGCATCCCTATCCATTATATAGTTATCAAAATTCCAGGGGCAAGGCATTAGCCATGAAACAGGCGTAGTTGGTGTTCTGTCTCTTCTTTCCTCAAAATGTTCTTCATTGTTCTGAACCTCGTTTTCTTGAACCAAACCTCCCCCATTAAAGTTGTTTCTAGTTTTTGAAGCTATACTTGGTACAGAACTTGGGGAATTTGTGGTAGATGCAGTAATATTTACTGTACACTGTCCTAAACTTGCAGGAAGCTGTACAGTTGCATTTACTTGAATTTGAACTCCCGGATTCGAATCCAAAACGACAGAATTACGATTTTCTAAAGTTGGAGCATTATTTGATTTGACATGATAAAGATTTTGAACATGATTGCAACAGCAATTGAAATTGTTTCCTGACTCTGATTCTTGCCCACATTTCTGAGAAGTTTTGGCTTGCTGAATGTGCATCACTGGCACAGTATTAGCCTGAAAATTTGAGAGAATCGGTGGTTTCTCTTCACTGTTTCCTCCCATAAAATCTCCTATTGCTTCAACACCTGTTTTTTGAGGCAAGATGTTTCTTCGGATTCCTGGTAATTCTTGACAACCACTTGGTGGTAATAGAAACATTCTACCATCTCGTTCTCCATTTTCTTGTTGATCTTTTGGTTCTGTAAGTGTAATTGAAACTTCTTGGTTTTCAGTTGCTAATGTCTTTTGTACAAAACAGCCACCACCAGATAGTTTTGGACGGATTTGCATATGCGGTGTCTGCATAAGGATTTCAGAGTCTGTGCTTTGAATTAAGCATCCCCCAGATTGTATGCTTGGTGTTGTTATTGTTACACTACTTCCAGTTAAATCACAACTTGTTGTTATATGACTCCCTGAATTCTGATTTTTTTCAATTTCCTGACTGAATATTGGAAATTCACATTTTTGGATATCTTTTTCAGATCTTTGAAAAAAAATATCCTTCTGTTTATCAATTCTTGGTTTTTCTAAATCAGATGTCACAGATGGATAGTTAAAAGAATTAATAATAGGCTGACTGTGAATAATAGTAGGGGCATTTATAAAACATCCACCACCACTTGTATATCCCTTAGGAACCAGAAGGCCGCCATAATAACAGGTTGTTGGATGAATTAAACTATTATTTTTTTCTATGTTTTGTGGCTCACAACAACCTGGAGCTGGAAACCGATGACGACAGTTAGGGCACATTACTGTCAACATTTTGTGCAGAGTTATATTACAATCAGCATAACACAGTCTTGTATCTGCAACAAGAAAACACACAAAACTTCATATTAGATATAAATTCTTCAGAAAAATAAATGTTAAGCTATAATACTTAACAGAAAGTCATGTTTAAAAGTTAATATTACGAATTGAGATATATTTAAAAGTAGTATTAGTGGGACGTACAACTGACAAGCTAATTAAGTAAATAGGATATGTTAAAAGAGTAATATTATAAATTAATATAGTCTGATTTTTCTAAAACATTCAATACACTTCATATATGTTTACAAAATACAGCTATTGTAACATTTAATTTAAATTGAACTTAACCTTAATTGAAGTATAACACAGAACTCATAGGAATGTTTAAATATATTCATAAAAAAGTGTATTAAAAAAGGTATCTATCTCGGAAAGTTAAAAATTTCTTCCTCATTTCAGGCAGATATTATACATGATTATTTATAAATGACTTATATAATTTACGTAAGTGACCGCGTTGCGCAATACATTTTCCATGAAAAACCAGCCCGACTAAAAATATCAATATCTCTGTCTTTGAAATTTTGTTTTTGTTGTAACTTACACTTAACCAATCAATTTGATTTATATTAAATTTCAATTACAAATTGAAATATAAATTTGTAATTTTGAAAACTACATCTCAATCGAGTTTGTTCGAATTAAAAGAAAATCATACATTGTAAACGGAAAACAAATATATACATTATCCACACTCAATAATTCTTGTAATTGTATGAAATGCGATACATGAGTTCAACATGCACATTATGTACCATAATTTTCTTAGTCCCAAAATAATGTACGCAGCAAATTTTACTCTTGCAATCTTCATTAATGAATATAAAAGAGAATGAATAATTAGAGTACTTGTAGAGAACATTGAAACTGCTGCTAACATTGAAATTATTCGGGGAGAAAAAAGTTATTCGAGACTTTAAATTATTTACAAAATTTGATTTGTTTTTTTTTTACTAAATCTGACTAAGAATACAATATTCCAAATGCATCGCTAAAGTTTCTATTTTTTGTATTAATGCAATCCAAATTCATGATAAAAAAAATTGTATCTGTAGAAAACCCTGTATGTACCCTCGCATAAAAGTTCCCTACCACTCGGTAAATTTATTGCAGGTATTGAAATAAATGTTACATCCAATGTTATCTTGTCAAGAATTTCAGTAATTCCAAATACCAAGAGGTAGGAGCATGGTAAGAGACCCTTCTTCTACGTCACTTTTTCCCCTAGCAGAAGCCGAGTTTGCACGTCGGTGTACCACGTCTTACATAGTTGTAGAGAAAACTCAATGTACCATTAATTTAAATTTGCGAACACTAAGTGTTAATTAAGTTTATTCCCAAATTAAATGTACAGAAAAACAAAAATATAACGCTTGTATTGGCACCTACAAGTATTTTCTAAGTACAGAAGCGACATTGAAACTATTGGTGATGCTATTTTTTAGCCCCAACTATTTACCAAGGGAAATTGCACTTACATTGTATACTACATTTTTCAATTTTGGCACCTACAGTGTTTTTTACAAAAAGTCTTCAATTTTGTGTTACGAGGTAAACAAAAAGGACGCATCGAAAGTCGTTCCAAAAGACCCATCGCTGATAACTTTTCATTCCTACTGACACATGTATTATTTCTTAAAATTTTTCTACAGTATAGTATATAACATTATAGTATATTCATAATTATTTCAAATACAAATTACATTATATTAAATATTTATTTATTTTAAATAAATTATCTTAATATTTTCTCCGAATTTCAATGATCTCATACTTATTTACGAAGTTGTTTCAGAAATTATTTAAACAAGATGTAAAAGCAGGTAGTTGGGTGTAAAATGCAAAACAATACAGAAACAAATTTTACGCTATGCTAAATAAACTAACAATTCTATAAAAATTATTTCTGATCAACGTAAATTAATTAAATAATTTCATTAACATAATATACCAAGAGGAAGATCCAACAAACATTCATTATTATTCTGGCCAGGTGTGAGCACTAACCAAGTTAAAGCGAGGGAGTATCCTCGCATTCATACATAAATCGATGTAATCAAAAACGGCAGAACTGCTTGTAAAACGTTACAAGGCAAAAAATTTGATCAATCAATGTAAATCCATTTCACATGAATACCTCGAGACCGTTCGAGTGACTGGTTGACATAGGAGTCCGTTAACCTTGCCAATGTCTCATCGGGTTATTTAAATAATCGAGCCAAGCAAACATCGAGTCCAACTTCCACGTACTTCCTCCACGACTCATAGCGTACAGGCCAGGTGTCGCATTCTGCCGTAATCTCGACAGGAATAGAGACGCATCTCTTTCGACATCGTTTGCGCGTACCGCCAGCTGCCTTCTTTTCTCATTGTGTTTTAATGGGCCACGTGGCAGGGAGACGTCCGAGTGTTAGTGAAGCGGCACAGAGCCGCTTTTCCACGAACGTTTCGCAACGCTAGAAGGCCAAGCCCCCATTTAGAAGTTGTTCTTGGCCTCTCCAATTCCCTACCACTACTCTCACTACCCCCACTTCCTAACCTCACTCGCAAACTGTCACTCGCTTAACCCACCTCACTCCACTACCCTGACTACTTGTTTCCATGTATCAAACATACACATGAGAGCTCCAAATATTTGTTCGAATCAAACGAAATAAATCTCGTCGTTTATCAAATATGAAATTTAAAGAACGAAAATGACTGTGTATTTGCAACGATCCAATCAACTTGATTCAATCAACTAACAGAATTTTAATACAACGCCCTTGTCAATTTGGAATGACCTTCCCCAAATATTTTTAAATCTGTAATTCGTAGTTACTTTCTATTTCTATATTTGCAACTTAAACAGACAAGATTATTTTCTCTAAAATGTGAAAAATAGCAGCAAAAAGTAAACAATCTAATTCACTAACGTGTTTCTGTTGGAAATACTTCACTCTGATATTCAATGAACTTGCATTTTAACACTGCCGGGACAGTAGAAAGTATTTTGAACAGCTTGCTGCCACTAGAATACTTATTATTAAATTGCTCTGTTTTGCCAAAACGTTTATTATTGTTAATAATTACTCTTCCTGGGTTTAACTTCTGTTTTGACTAAATAGGTATGTTAACAGACTGTGACAATATGTGACGATAATCCATCTATACATCATTCCATTAAAGTTTTTACCAATTTTCCGAGAATAATTCCACGTAGTCATTATGGATTATCACAAGTCTGCTGCAAAATTACATATTGTGACAAAATGGACCCACCAGCCACGTCAGTATATAAGGTAAAGATAACAAAACCTTAGACATATTGAAAGCTAAAATTTAATCCTTTAGAATTACTAACTCTCGAGAATTAATATTACTTGAAAGCTAAAAAAGATAGTTATATCCTTCATAATGAGTTGAAGAATTTAATATGCAATTTTTTTTATCGAGACGAGTTTTTCAATAATACGTAGATCGATAGACTGCTAAACACGGTTTAGCAAGAAACCGAAGAATACGTTTCTTGCAAAGCAGTATTCCAGTAAATGGAACACTTTCGCCGGAATTGTGGCGTCACCATTAACAAACCTTTACAATGTTCGTCGTATTGAATAAAGGGAACTGTGTTCGTTGTCAATTTCGAGAAACGATTTCACACACGTCATCGATATAAATTGGTATTATCCGGAACCCCGTAAACGTTTCCATCAAACAAATTTCATACACTTTGGTAACCCCCTAATTCCCGTTATCAATAAAGAGTATTACGATGTAAATATGATATCAAGACCTGTGACGACAATTAAGATAACATTTTCCGAGAACGATTAGGTACAAATGCAAAATCTATTTAACCTAGTAGGTTTCATTCCGAAAATAAAACATAATATGTATTAAAATATTAATTCACAGAAACGTGTTAAAATTATTTAAACAATAAATTATTGTTTGATCATAATAACGTAATTTGTTTCTAACTAAAATATTATGATCCTTAAAATATATTTCATCGTAACAAAATCGGTTTTTCATTTAAAAACGAAAAAGAACGCCATATTGGAACTAACCATGCGTGAAGTCTGATTATTTGCTTATAACAAAATAAGTAATCGTTAAGAAGGGAAATAATATTATCCATCAATTATTTTTATGCAACGATTTTGAATGGAATTCCTTCGGTCAGCTTTCTCTTTTGAATGTTCATTAATTTTTATTTCTTATTTATCACTGCCCCCTGTCTTTATTCTTCTCTGGCCATCTGTTCTCCTCTGTCGTTGGAATGCTAAGGGGAGTGAAACGACGAACGCCGTTGTGTGCGTGCGTGCGCGCGCGCGCGTCGACACGCCAGAGAGAGAAAGAGAGGGGGGGGGGCAAGAAATTAGAAGAAACCCTTGGGAATACTTTTCTATGCATGGCGAATATTTATGAATCTTTCAAATATACCATATTCGACCTTTCATAAATACATAAACTAATTGAAAGATATAATTTCAAGATTAAGTTCATGTGCAAACGTACAGTATTTATAAATTCTTTAACATTGAGAGGAAAACATATAAAACAATTTAAACATAAAAAGGTACACATGGAACGTTTTAAGCACGTAAGGCAAGACAAAACACGTTTAAAGAAATAAGGCACTAAAGCGAATAAGAATTTTGAAATGAGCAATATTTACGAATCTTTTATCATAAGTATTTTTTATGTAGTTAGATATATTATATGAAAGTATTATTATCCTTGCAGACAATTTATTTGCAGATAATTTTATCAAGAAACATGAAATACCATATGAAAAATGTATTTCGATCAAGTGAACCAGTAAATTCGATAACTCTTGTGTTAAAAACAGTGGGAAGGCGTCTGCCTAAATACAGCAAATATCGAACGAACAAGCGACCGATTTTACAATGCAGGTTCGTAGTTAGAAGGTGGTTCGAAAGCATCATAAACTGAGAAAAGGGTTCGTGGTCTGTCCTGCCTTCGAGGGGTCTGGCTAGAAATTCGTCTTCTCGGAAAACAACGAACTGGGCTGATGACCTGTACGCCTGCGAAATACAGTTCGTCGTAGCGAATGCTAATTTTACTGGTCAACTTCATCGATGCCTCCACGGTCTTCCGGCTACAGGTCTATTCGGGAGTGGCGAATTGCTGATGAAATGGCTAGATAACTGGCTGGGTTGTGTGGAGATATTTTTATTGCTGCATCGGTAGATTCCGATGAAACAAAAAAGATATCATTATTTATTCTAGTAACTATATTGTTAATAATGATTACAGAAGACATTAATATTTAAGTAAAATTTAGTCTAATAATAATATTACCATGCTTACTCATTAATTAACCAAAATAGTTAATTTTAATAATGTTTTTTTTTTAAATATATTTGCAATTCTATTTAGATTTTATAAGTATAACAATGTACAAATTTTTAAAGGCTCGTATAAATTTAATGTTATTTAAGCTCCTTAAACAGAGAAATCAAATTATAAACGATACTTATGGTTCCATAATTAGTATGAATTTAAATATAAATCTCAAGCATCATTAACGTTATTATACAATTTTTTGACAAAAACCTATCTGCGAATTAATAAGAAAAAATATTAGGTAAGGTTTCCTATGCAACTGAATGAAAATTTACATGATCAAGGTAAACAGGTTTTTATGAACAGTAACCGCAATCGAGCAGTCACCATTTCTGAATGTCGCTGTAGCTGGCCTCGTTATCGGCAAGATTTCCAGCAAGTATAAATGAGAAGAGGTTCCCCGAATGAGTGGTAACACGGATTTTATCTCTCACAGATAAGCGTGAATTTTATTTTACAAGGCTTCGGGGAAATGAACCTGCTTCCGTGAATGATTCTCTTTTGTCATTGCCAGTATTTAGAACGTCAATCTCGGGACATTGGCGAAGTTGACATTGTTCTCGGGAACGTGACGTATTTCAAACGAATTTTACTTTTTATTTGACTGTAATCCGTCTTTCAAAGGAAGTATTTAAGAATTTTCACCTGTCATAATGATGAATAATTTATAATAAAAATGTCATTAAATTCAATATTACATCCTTTTTGTTTAACTAAATAAGTATCAATAGCTTTTACTTGAAAAATGCAAAACCTGCTGCTTTTATTAAATAATATATTTATTAGATGATTCTTGTTATAATAGGAAATGTATACAATTGGTGAGATTCAGGAGAATCTTAACATTCTCATTTTTATCTTCATCTTATTTATACAGTAAAATAACAACTATATAATTGGTATTTTAATATTATTTCTCTAAAAATTCTAATAGTTTGATTGGATATACTTCTGTCATTCTTCTTAATCATAGACGGCCACTACTACTACTACTAACTACCATAGAGACATTGGTAAAGATCAGTACATTGTGGTATGTCACATGAAGTCCCAAACCTTACATGTGCCCAGTTTCCATAAGTAAGTATATATACATTAATTTAGTCTTCTAGTAACTTCGTCGAGCATAAGAAACATTCAGAGAAGTTGTAAATCCTTTTCATTTCTGATGCAAGTGCTTCTTTTGTCCATTAGTTAGGGTCATGTCTTGCACAAAATCGGGTCAGAAGAAATAAAAACTAACACGAAGTGACTCACGACTACCATAATGGGGGCGTGCAAAAAAGCTAAGGTTTTTTAGCGTGAAAAATTTATAACAGGCTCGATACAGTAAAACAGCATAGAATTCGCTTAATGAACACAAAGTTTACGACGTTTCTCAAAACAATGACCTTTAGAACAATCTCTCTAAAACATGAACTGTGGATGATTGCAGAGAGTATTATAATTCGTAAATAAGTATGTAAGAGAAATACAAGTATATTAATAAATGGTTCGATCCGGTAGTATGATAAACAGAAATTCTTGTTAGAAGGGAGCTCACCGAAATAATTTTCGTAGTTTCGTGGCCACCAGGAAGAAATCCCCTACCGAACTTTCTCCGAAAAGGCACTTCCACTTTCACCGCACGTCTCAAAAATAGCTCCAAGCACTGCCAAAAATGAACTTCCCTCGGTGCACAATTGAAGTTCCCAAAGTTTTAGGCTAGCTCGGCAACGGGAGGGAAATGTTGATAATGTGAGGCGTTAATCTTCTCACGATTACACATTTATGTTTGAACGTATCGGAAATGAAATATCGAATGAACAGGAAAACAATCCCCCTCGCACGAGAGTCGGGACAGCACTGGCGCTGCTACCATTGAATGAATCTATAATTGCTTTTGTAGAAGGACGGAGTAGGGGCGAGCACATGATCCGGTCGACAGTGGTGGTGGAAATCGTGGAAAACTCGTCGAGGGAGCATTAAGAACTCTATTTTAGCAATGGCTACGATGCCAGCGCGACTAGGAGAACGAACTACGTTCGGTAATTCCTGTTTAGTTTTTTATCAAAACATCGTATGATTTAAATGACTGTTCGTTAGAGCTATTTCATTATTGTACAAACAGATCTTTTTTTTACATTGAAACGTAATAGATTTCAAAATAATGTTTTTACTTAAAATAATACGAATATTGTTTAGGTTGTTATTTCATATAAACAAGAAGTTTTAATTACAAATGTATTACAAACACGTAAACTTTTACGAACATCTAAATGAACATGTAAGGAACATAATCATTTAAAAAATTAATTATCTCGGTCGAAAGTATGAAAAATATTTTTCATTGGCAACTACCTAATAAATTAACCAAATTATTGTTTGTCTCATTGAATAAGGTAATGTACCGATATTGAACCTTTGAATTTTAAGTTGTACAGTGCAAATAACGGCTTACCCATCTTCCCAATTATACAGGGTGATCCTCCTGCAGCACAAACCAAAAGGCCGTACTCCTCTAAACAATCACGCTATTAAAGCCATGTCGGCGTGTGTAAACCTGTCAACGGGCCCTCACTGTCGATAGCTTTACTATGGCGATATCACGTTCACGCCATAGACGGTGAAGGTCCGTTGATAATTTTACACGCGACGACACGGCTTTAATAACGCGATTCTTTAGAGCGGTAGGGCTTTTGATTTTGCGCAGCAACAGGATCAGTTGCGTAGACATTAACCATGCAACGTGCATAGAAAACACAAATTAATTCTGACTGGCCTTGCCATTCGCGTGTCTAAATTACAAATACTTTAAAATTTGAGTAAAAGATTAAAATACATTTCTGGGGTCATTTTCAAAGAGAAGAACTCATACGAAAGAGTGAAACAACTGTCTTTTAGAAATAGTTACACAAAAATGCACAATTTTATTAAAATAATTTAGTATACGGTGATATAAAAAATAAAGTAGAGGTTCGTCCTAGATCCAGGCATGCAAAAATTTGATACAGAAAAAACAAAAATTTTCTAAAAGGGATAACATTTTAAATTTATTATAAATTTTAATAAAACACCTTATAGAAGGAAATTTTTGTCAAATCTTTTAAATTTCTAATCTTTAAATAATCTAAAATAAAATTTCTTAAGAATTTTTCTAGTACACAACACAAAATGATGTTTACTCTGAAATTATCAGTGTGTCATTTATTATTTGACATAAACAATTTATTTATAATAAATCACAAATGGAATAATAATATTTTTAATTACAAATCATGTCTGCGATGTGTCCACTTATTCAAAACGAAGTATTATTTTACTATACAAATTGGAATTTTCACAGTTAAGCGATAAAAAAAATTACGAAATACTTTCTCATCTTTTATTCCTTATTCGAAACTTTTTATCCCAAATAATAAATTTGCCCATCTCTGGTTTAGACCCATCGCTGCTGATGTGCTTCGGCGCACATACCTCGTGGAAAAATGGATTTCTTTTAACTGGTTTACGTGCAATCTCGTCTGTGCTATCACGTCATCATTCTCGCTTACGAGTTCGTATTTCCGTGGGCCTCTCGGTGAAACGTCACGAATTCCGACAATTTGACGCCGTACCCACTTACGATCTTGGCTACCAATCGATTCCCGTTGCCAGATGACGCCCCACCCCTCCGCCTCCACCCCCCTCCTACCCTACCAATGTTCTCGATATTGGCAAACATTTCGCGAACTGTTATTCGGCCAAAGGTTCGTTTTAACGTAACAAAAACAATTTTCGCAAAACCGTAACTCAATTCATATATAACGCGGACAACAAAGAATCTTACAGTACGGAATATGCTAATTCAAACAGATTCTTCAATTCTATGTTTCTATGCCATCTTTAAAATTCGTACTTGTAACCCATGAGTGATATAAGCTTAAGATGTTACGCAAATGGTTCTCTGTCAATTAGCAAGTATTGAGAATAGTTTACTCCTAAAGTAACATGCGTATATACATATTTTTCGTTTTGAAGAAGTATTAAGACTGAAATTATTGATTTCAGAACTGTGGAGAAATCTTAATTAAAGTGTATCATTTAAAAAATTATGAAAATAGATATGTTTTAGTTTAAAATAAATGATACTTAACAAATATTACAAACATGTCTACACTGAATGTTTTAATTGTTTTTATGAATTTAAGGATATTTATAACGACTCCGAGAAAGAAAATGATAGATCTGATGATTGATGAAAAATCCTGGAAGAGAAAAAGATGAAACGTGGGGCAGGGTAGGGGGGGGGGAGAGACAGACATAGGCCTATAAAGGAAGGAAAAGAAAAGATGTAGAGGGGGAGAGAAAGAGAGAGAGAGCGCGCGTACCTAAGACACGTTATTCTTGTTCATTTCCAAGAATAAATCCGTAAGAATCCAGCTGGTCGCACAATACGAGTTTCTCTCAACAAAATACGTTTACTCCCTCTGTCCTCCCTCTTCCTTTCAAACATTTTACGAATTCTCCGATCCCCTAAATCCGATACATTTTACTCTCATTTGTCGTTTTTTGAATACTTTTCATGGAAATATTGAAATATTATCTGACGCCCTTATCTTTCACAAATTTTGTGACACTTATTAAGGAAAGTTTTTATTACTTTCTGAAAATTGAGAAAAATTCTATTAGATACTGCCTTCAATTTACTTATAAGATAAAGAATATGGTTTCTAATTTAATTTTAGTTATGTATAAGTATCAAGGAATAAATATATTTATCTTGAAAATGTGACTGGGAAAGTTACGTATAATTAATATTTTATACGCTTTTATTGTCACTTTATTATTTATATATTCATAATATTTTCATTGAATTATATATGTACTATTATCAGAAAATTAACTGAAAATGAAATATGTAGTGATGATTCTTTTGTATTGCTAGACTGTTGTTGAATGGCAGAAGAATGTTAATACCCATTGATCCTATGAATCCCAAGGAACTCTGAACCATTACGAAAACGTTCCCTGCTGATGTTACACGGGATGTGAAAAAGCAATACCTGGCAATGAATCACGATTTTGGAATACATATGTATCCCAGCAGACCATATGATGTTGACGCAGGACATTTATATTCTATGATCAACGATGACCTTTTAAAAGTACGTACTGCAACATTATGAACAATTACACAATCTTCGTAGAAAATTTTGAAACGCACTATTTATATATTTAAAGTGCTGATTTTTGAATCAGTATTAAATTTCAAAAATTATTTATTTTAAAAATATCTGATTAGTATTCGTGAAAAATATATTTAATGCTAAGTGAAACCGTAATTTACAATATGGAATTAATAAAAAATGTTTTTTTTTTTACTACAAGGATTCAAGAGTACAATGTGTATACTTATATAACGCTTCGCAATTTTTTGCAACTTCTAAACAGACTTAATTAAGTCTTTTATAGTAATAAAAAATATCAGTTTACAATGTTTGAAACATATCTTCCTTTATCGAAGTAATAGCTTATTGAACAATGACTGGAGGTCGATTCCGTTATTAGGAACACAATAGATACTCCAATGTGAATTTACGGAACCCCTGGTGAAGGACATTTCGTGGTATAGCTGCTTCAAAAATATAGCGTTGGACAAATCTGACCGACCCTAAAGTTTACGTGTTTCAGTAGCCTAATCCTGTCATTCGATACCTTTAAGTTGTAAAAACTGTGCTCGACCGTCGTTCAAGGGCGTAAGACATCAATTTGGGATCGATTTTTCCGTTTTAATGTAATTAAACAAGTTCGTATAACGTACTCATTTTAGATTTAAAATACTTCTGCCCCTTTTATTCCCAATGGAAGCTTACGAAAACGTAAATTTCTTTCAAATATTCCATTTTTTTTTTCGTTTTATTGCTGGGAACTGCATAGCCGATAGTGGCGTACGAGCCTAAGTGCGGTGGGACACAATGGGCCCCCGATGATCGAGTACTAATGGTGTAAGGGTCGGCCTCGTTTACGGCTAACGCTGCTTTATCTTTGAAGCAGCAATAACTCGTCGCATTTAGCAGAAATTGCTGGTTTTGGAGTTGGACGGCTCAGTTAACTTCCTTGAAGGTATCCATATAAAATTCGAATTCTAGGATTTTTTCAGATATCATTTTTTAGTCAAGTGTTCGTTCTTATTATCATGAAGAATATTTATGACACTGTTGTCTCCAGTAAATAATGCCACTGGTTTAAACTAAATAAAAATTTATAGAATTCATACTCTTTAATCAAAGTCCAATGAAATGATACTTGTTAACTTTAATATATAATTCGAGTAAACTTGACTGTGATTGGAATTTTAAATCTTAATAATTTAAAACATCTGAGCGGGGAAAGAATGTTAATCATCTTAGGTAACAGAACTCTAGAATTTGTAACGCTTCATTAATTTTTTCAAACCAGTGATGAGTAAATGTTAATACAACATTTGACGCAGATAATGTCCTGACGTACGTAAAGTGTACAATATAAGGAAGCTAAATGAGTTAAGAAGTCGTGAGATTTCACAACAAAGAATAAACAAGAGCCGGAACTGCTTGAGAAAATGGTATGTATGTATATTTTGATATTCACGTCATAAATATGTCGTTCTTGTATCATTTTTCCTGAAATAAAGAATAATAACTGTCAGAGAAGTGAGTATACCTTTACTTAATAATAATAGGAATTCAAATGAATATATTGACTGTGTCGTCAACTGAAAAGGTATCTTAATGTTTCACTGTCACACTATTAACCGCAACAGTTTGTAATAATCATTTTCCAAGGAATGCGAATGATTTTATAATGTTGCATTACAACTGCACATAAATTAGAAAGGTTTCCGCAAAGCAGGAATTATAGGCTGGGAGCATAAAGGTTACTATATGGACGCGAGCGGGTTGTTCATCGGTGGATCGAGGACTATTTCAGAGAGGATTCCAGGAACGTTTCGAACGGAGAAATCGAGAGACACGCTATGCTCTCATTTCAGCTGGTCGCATATATGGGCCTCATAGAGCCTGTTATCGTATCTGTTACCCTGTGGTAGAGCCAGGCATCTTATCACAAACAAACAAACTCCTTTATGAGGATTATACCCGGTTCTCTCGAATCGACCTTTCCCCGAACTGGTCGTCCAAGGGCGCGCCTCCTGATTCAAATCGACAACGCTTGTCCGAAATATTCCACAGCCATTCTTATTCTTTTTGTATCCCTGCTCTTACACGACTCCACGGGTCTAATGGCACGTACTTAATCATTCTTTTAGTATAAAATATTTTTGTTTAAAGCAACCGTTTTGGAGGTCTTTTAAACATTTGGAACGGAGTGTCCCATCGATAGAGGGGTTATACTTTTACGTATCAGTACATCTTATATTTATAGCGGATAACATTACCACAATATGCCACACAAATATGACCCACCTTTATCTAGAACCTCCCTTATCTTGAATGTGTTAAATATTGCGACAGTTTGCAAATTGTTAATTGATTAACTGATATGACCTACAGACACTTGAACATTTAAACTTGTAGAGAATATTATTAGTAAATGCAACTACAATATTTCAAAGATTTCAGTTTGCTCTTCTAAAATGAAAATATAGTCCTTATTTTAACTTCAATAGAATATTACAAAGAGTATTTATATAAGTTTTAGTTTAATATTAACTTTCACGGATATCTAATATCGCCTAGGCAAAATTACCTAGATACAATTTTTTCAGAACTTAATTTTTGAATGTCATGTTTATTGAGTCCCAGTTAAAAATTTGTAGGTTTCAATGGTTCCAACTTATGCTAAATGAAACGCTAATAATTTCTCTTTACTTTAAGAGGAACAACATACAGAAATATCAATTATTATTCAATTGACAGCGATTTAATTTTTGCTAAGGGATATTAGGTAGGTACCTTCACCCTACATATGTACCCTTACGAGCAAACTCAGCTTCCGCTAGGGGAAAAGTGGCGATGGGGAAGGGCCTCCTACCACTTGATTTTTCCCTACGTCACTTTTTTCCCTAGTATAAGGGAAAGACTTCCTACCACTTGGTCTCGGAGATATTGAAATTTATGCGAAATTAACATTCGGTTTAACATTTACTTCAGCATTTGAAATAAATTTATCAAGCGGTAGGAGGCCCTAATTCCTGTATTGCTTTTTCGCCTAGAGGAAGTCGAGTTTGCTCGCCGGTGTACATTGTTTCAACGGTTGGAACTGCCGTTCAGATGGTCACAGAGACTATGGGCCGCTTTAATGTGATGCTGTTCATACGATCGGTTAAGATGGAGTGGACAAGGGTTTTGATCCTGACGTACACATGTTACATTCGTAAAATATGCGGGATTTAAAAAATTTTCTTGTTGTACATGATTTTATAATAAATGCTAGCCATGAGAATACCCAGCGACGAAAACGGAATGTTCACAATTCAATAGGTATATATAAATAAGCAGATATTGATATTTTTATGCATATTAATTTACCGCTTTTTTCTGGTTGAAAATTTGTAATGTAGACGGTGTTGTAAGGATATGATGATGACATGTTTTGTTATATTTACGAAACTGATTAATCCAAGTGCAAAATAATACTTTAAGGTTATACTAGTTTGAAAAACTGATTTTTATTTTTATTTCAATGCAATCAACACAAATAATTTTGCGAGTTTTGGACAGAATCATGTCCTATTTTTCAAATATACAGGAAAGATGTTCCAGATAATATGCCAGACTTACTCGATATGTCGTAACAATAAAACAGCGATACATACTATTGAAATTGCCGTAACACTTTTCCGTGCACATCGTAAACAATATATGTATTTTACGGGATACTATAAAAATATGAGTTATACATAAAATTACTAAATTTCGTTACAAGTATTCGAATGAGTAAATAGAATCGAATATTTAAGCACATTGAATCACTAAGAAATATGTTAATATATTTATTTTTATCCAAATACTACTTACACATGAAATTACTACCATTATTTATGAATGGAAATTGAAGTATTTTATAATCATATTATCGTATATATAATCGATATGTACAATAGCACGCAAAGAACAAACCGGTGGGTTACGTAAAAGCAACTAAAATATCACTGGACAGAAAAAGGGATGTTAGTTTCTCACTTTCAAAACACTTCAAACAGATATAGGTATTTTTCAATTAAGATTAACGCTGATAACACACTCAATTCAGTGGATAATTTCAAACGCGTGTAACATCAAGATAATAAATAATAGGAAGTGCATTGAAAGATAAGTATTATGTCATGTTATCAATGGTGAGGTAGACAGTCCTCTCGTACTTATATACTTACTAACCTCATAAAATCTATTGACAAATGACTTGAAAAAAATCATAACGCCCTTTTACTACTACAACAGTCTGTTGTGCATTTCTGATTTTCTTGACACAGATTTCACTAAATAAATAACTTATAGTAGAAAAAGTAAAAGCAGGAAGAAACATTAAATATTAGTTACACAAAAATAAACATTTAAAAAGAGTGAAGGTTAACGTACCTTCTATGCCCGTTCTCGAAGCGTCTCCGTCTCCGTGCACAACAGTTACAGCTACAGAATGCACGCTTAAGACTTGAACAGTTGCACTAATTTTTCTCCACCAACGAATCCATTTATTTTTAAGAATATAACAGACTAACTTTAATTGTTTTATAGTTGTAAGTTAGTTTGTGCGTATGTTTAAAATTGGAAAATATTTGTAGCGTCGCGAACGAGCTTGCTCCGCCATTGGCGTTGCTACTTCATAGAATTGATACTAGAGGGGACTTGAACGACAACGAATATGTTTTTGTCCAATTTCCAAACTGTAGAAGTGTACACCAGGGGGGTTCCACTCCAATAGGAGAACTGTTAAACGGGCTTAGTACACCTCCATCTTTTAAGAGTGCGCTGAAAGCAGTATTAATTCTCGGATTTTGTACTAGGTGGCATTCACAGCTGCTCACTGTTAGGATTCTTGACTATAAACGTCCATTTGTTCTATTGTACCCCTAACGGTAAATGGCATAAGCTTGGTAAGCGTGCAATTTGAAATATTGTAATGTTCATACTGTGAATGTTTGCATTCTGTTACCATGGTTGTGTGGAGTCATATAAGAAATTAATAACTTTTTATGGCATGAACATGAATTACTCGAGGAACAAAGAAATGTTGTATTAGCTTAGTAACTAAAAGGAAATGTTATCAATTGTATTTCGAAAGCTGAACCGAATAGACATAAATTATATTAATTAGTAAAATTGTATTCTAGTTCATTTTATTACAAGTTACATACATATTCTTAAATTACAATTATGTTAAAGTTGAATCGAGTAATTAATTTCCCCAATTTCCGTTTCAACATCACAGCGTTATTAACCCCTTCGCACCGGTGGACGAGATATCTCGTCGGAAGATTGGTTTAATTCTTGGAACTTTGGCCCTTACAACCCCTAAATGATCAATTTTTGCGTTTTTACTGTATCGATATAAAATTTTTAGTTGTTATTTCATTATTGATGTATATGTACATAAAACAATTATTTTGGAAAAGTAACTCTTACTTATATAACTTTCTGTTAGATGTTAAATAAGAATAGGAAATTTATATCAAAGTGAAATTTGTTATGTAATTATAATATGTCATTTAAAGTAGAAATTGTAATTGTTGGGTATTTTTGGTGGACTAACACATGAAACAGGGAAAGTCCACCATTTTCTCTTTAACTACACTTGTGTCACTTGTGTAACAGTGTGATTAGTACCTGTATGCCCATTGTTTTCAATAAGAACCTGTTTTCCAGTATTCCTGGGGATTTTCCAAGTTTTACAAAAAAGTTCGTTAAATGTTTTCCTGAATTGTCTGCTCATTGTGCAGTAAAGAATGAAGTTTATGGCAGAATTTACAAGGGTCAACATATCAATAACATCACCTGAAAATGAATAAATGGTCATTAATATTTGAATAAATTTGTTGATACGGTATAAACAAATTGAAGTTTTTTCAAGTTTAAAATTATTTTCGTGTTTCAAGACACAAAATTATTGTATATTTACTTAATGATGCAATTTGAATAATCCTGAATAGTTTCTTGAATAGTGTTGAATAGAATTTTATATAATATTAGGGGGATTTGAAAGATAATACATATGACAGTAATAATACGATAAAAAGAACGGAAATCAATGTTGTTATCATCAGTTATATGAAATATATATTCAATATTCATTTGCACTGTAGATAGTGATCACAAGTATTTTTAAATGAATGATTAACGATTAGCAATGATTTATATAGATTAGATCTGTATGTAGAATTTTTTGTTTTCAAATATTTTTAGATTTTGTAACAAACTGATTTTACGCTTTAAATTTTTTCTTAACTGCAGCATGCTTTTAATTGCGATGCAATAGTCTATACAAGCATTATATGTACATACATACATGTCAGAACGAAGATAACTACCTTTAACGAAAGTGAAAAATTAAATATTATTCCAATAGGACACTTTCTGGAGTAACATAAACGAAAAATTAATTCAATGCAATAAATAGTTTCCGAGATGAAAATGCATAAGTATAGTCCGGTTTCACGAAAATAGGCAAAACTTTGACGGCCTGTATGTTTTAATTTAAAGAAATGATTACTTAACTCGGCTTCCTAATTTCACGTGAACGACATTATATTTCATTTTGAACCAAATTCCCGACATCAAGTGTAAAAAGTGATCAATTCGGCGTGGAATGACTGATATATTTAATATTATTATTTTAATTATATAATATTACATTAAGTTGGTTTAATTGTTATTTTATATGTAATATATGTATATTAAATAATTATAATAACATAAATAATTAAATACACTTCCTACAGCCGATTTTTAAAAATAATTACTAACTCTTGGTATACAATATAATATACATATACATGCAAAGTTTTGTCACTTTCATGAATTAGGTGTACAAATAATAACGAAATCAATTTACCTATGTATGTTTCCTACCTTCTTGCAACGAATCAAATTTCTTTCATTTTGTTTCTAAAAAGGACTTCTTTCTATCTTTTGCTATTTATTTCGTTCCTTTATATCATTGTCTTTAGACATGCATCAGTGGACAAAATCGTTTTAGTGAAGCTATGTACATAACGAAGAATTTAATGAAAACAGTACTGAATAGTTGCGATTTCCATACGAACGGAGTTATGTTATGTGGCAAACAATGCAGAATATGGAAATTGTATGCTTTTGTTCCTTCAACGTTATAAATACGTAGTGTTAATCATTTCATAGCAAGTTGACAACTTCTCTTTTAGGATGCAAACGATGAAATTGGAATTTAGACAATAATTTTCTTAATATTTTATGAAAGAGTCGCTAATAAATGTGTATATACATATATATCAGCCAAATTTTTGGTACATGTTTAACAAAAACTATCAAAAGAAATAAAAGTATGGTACTAGTAATTTATTTTCTTTAACGATTTAATTCGTGAAAACTTAAATGTCATTCTAAAATTTTTGTATAACTTTGGAATCAATTACGCAATTAAAGGGAAAGATTAAGATTTTATTAAAATGTAATCGAATATTTCCATAAATAAATAGTTTTTTTATTTTTATCTTACCTGCTTTCTTACTGTTTTTAGGTAATATTACAGCATTAAAGAAATAGAACAATGACTTCAAATTACTTATTTTTAGAATAATCCAAAGTTAAAACAAAGTGTATATTGAAAATTGTTACATTAAAATCTTATGAGAAACGACAGGCTGAACTAGTTTTGTGCATAGAGGAATAATTTTCTATATATAATCATAGTACGAAATTTAAAATTAAATTCTTGATAATAATTCCAAAGAAGTTTTAATTTCATTTCATAAAATAATAATTAAATGTGAAGTGCCTTAACTGAATTGATGATAATTGAATTATATAATATTCTATGTATAATGAATAAATGAGCACAGAACTGATTAAATTTTTCAACATTAAATTCTTCATCCTCCTCGGTAATATTTTCAATGGGTAAATACATGTACGTATAACAATATTTTTCATCCTTCTATGCAATCATAAACAAATTGCTGCTGCTTCTATGATTTATTGGCTCCAATTTTAGTTGTAAAAGTAAATATAATTGTAAATATATTTTCCAGAGTGAAGGTATTTTTACCCGGTCATTAATTTTTCACTTTCGTTAATGCGTAATTCGTACTCGTTATCGTATTCTGTGCGTATAGCATTCTATATAAATCTTCTTTATGAGATTCTGGTGATGGCTAACACCATGCGACTAGTTACGCAAAGAAGCATATACAGTACGGGAAAAATGTTTTCGGATAAAAACCATTTTCTGTAGTACTTGAACCAAGGATATTACTAACGTTACATTACATAATCAACATCTGTCTTGTACAATTGTTGTTTTCTTAGGTCGTCTATATTCGATATATTTTCTAAATGTTCGCCTCCAACAAATTGTTTATTTTGTTGAATATACCGTCTATTAGGAGATGTCCGCACATCGGGAAACTATGGATGATTGCGCTCCATTTGAGCCACCTATGATGTTTTGTTTTAAAATTTTTTCTGAATTTTTATCTCGTACCATCCATAAATGGATAAAATAAAAGTATAATTGTAATGTTCTCGTGAAGTTCTTGTTTTAGATTACAGTTTATGGTTGTGAATGAAACGTCCGGATACTTTTGTCTAGCTATATACAGATAAAACTCATTTTATATTTTATGATACGTAGGTAGCCTCGTGTAACTTTTATGAAAGCTTGCGTCGGAATAATCGTAAACACTCCGCAGGGCAGAACTTCAGTAACATCACCATAACAACAAATAGAACGATAAATGTGTTTGTCTGAATTCATTTGTCCGGTACTGTACATATTGGGTTTCTACAAGACCATATTCAAGCAACTTTGCACAAAGCGGGGTGCGAGTAATTAAAGGTTAATATCATTAAAGTATGGAATATGGGGTGCGAGTGATACAATCAGCGGACCGTAATCGCCGAGCGTGTGGTTCGCTTATCTGAAACGGGGCGTATCACTATCTTTAACTGCTAATTGCGAAGTTAATTTTAATACCCCCATTTTCAAAAATAGCTTATCTTCTATAGAAGAATTTGTCCATAATTTTCAATGTTACAAAAATGATTCTTCAATTTTAAAAAAGTTGTTTCGTTTTAAAGGGAGTACGAATACTTTTAACACACACTGTATATCAAGGTCACTGAAATAGGCGAGGTGGATCGGACTATATAAAATTACCAAAGTTTTAACTGAAAATTTCTAAAAGAAACTAAGACGAACGTGATTCTACGTGTTCTGTCATACTGACCTAACATCAGGTAACAGGTTTGAAAAAAACTTGGTCCCAGTAGCACGCTGAAAAGTCCCAGAATCCCTTGCGGTAACTCTGTCACTAAGAACAGCACCAAAACTGCGAGCAACATCATTTTAGTTCTATCAGCCTGCCTGTCTTTGTCCATTCTTCTTGAACTTTTCTTCCGTTCGAAATGTTGTTCGTAAACATTTGTTAACTTCCGTCTTCGTCTTTTCGCTTGTAACAGAACTTGCACGAGTTTTAAAATGACAACGGTCAGAACAACGCAGGGAAAAAGTTTTATGACGACACTGTAGATCCAGAAATTTAGTTTCTTCAAAATGTCGTGATTTTTCGCCGTTTCGGTGAATCGAACAAAGTAGAGGGTCGTATTTACTCTTTCTCCTGCAGACGGATCTGAAAACAGCAGATTTTCATCAACTGATCGATTAATGGAGAGATCGTAATAAAGACACGCCATGTAAAAGAATTTTAAAGTCCTCATAATCATCGACGCAATTCCCCCAATACAAATCCTCCGTTTTAAACAAGCTTTAAGGTTATAAAACATATAGAATAGGTCAGAAGAAATTTTAAAATCAGTACTTTTGTGTACACGCTTTTACGACCTTGACACGGGGCTGTATATAATTATTAATTATACGATCCGATCGTAATATGTTCGTGTAACTGAACTTTCTTTAAATACTCTGTAAATTCCTTTATAATATATTTATTTATAAAATCATGAAAAAAGTATAAATTTGAAGTTCTGTTTACATTAATAGTACTCCAAAATAGAAAAAGAAAAAACTAGAATCAAATCTTCTATTGCTAAACCACAATTGACATATTTTTTAACTTACATTGATTCACTTCAATATCTTGGAAACTGTTGATGATAGTAAAATAAATTCTTCAAACACCATTACTGTCGTACTAAGACGTTAGCGTTTATTTACAGGAATGGTAATAAAGTACGGCAGTAATGGTGTTTTCGAATTATTTAAATTGAAATATCTCCTGAACTATTAACTTTTCGACATACATAGGTTAGTACATTTTTATAACGAATGTCCAGCTGCATCGATTGATGTATTAAAAAATACCTCACTCCATTTAAAAAAACAAAGTTGACCTTTATATGACCTTTACGCGTCTACTCACGAAAAAACCAATAACATCAGAATACGCTCCACTCGATACCATTCAAGCCTCCGTTGAAACATTTTTTGCTACGAGTAACAATACCGAGAAAATCAAGACGTCAAAATCGGGTGAGACACCCTGTATACATACATATACGTCCTTAACCGACCATCGTACATCCCCGCGTCTACGACAGGGTCTGCTAGGTAGCCTTACTGTGCTACGAGTAACAATACCGAGAAAATCAAGACGTCAAAATCGGGTGAGACACCCTGTATACATATACGTCCTTAACCGACCATCGTACATCCCCGCGTCTAAGACAGGGTCTGCTAGGTAGCCTTACTCACGAGTCCACTAGCAGGCCCAGGACGACACGTATTTTTTACATAAATTACGTCTTAAAGGGATCGTTTTAAACACCTTTCCCCTACATACGAACAAAACAGTGAGATATTTTTTAGTATCATAAACAGTTTCCAAGATATTCGAGGGGATCGATTTGAATGAGACACCCTGTACAAATAAATTATCATGTTGTAATAAGTCAATCTATAATAAGTGGATTGTCATAACAAAATCTATTTCTTCCCTGTTAATTTATTGTCTCTTTTGTTATGATATTCACCCTCCAAACATTCTTCTGACTCAAATGTGTTTAAACAGAATATTACTCACCGATAAAGGATTCATTTTGAACGTTAATAACACTCATCCCATTGGAATCCAAAACCTCCATATGCTCCCTTACTTCCGTCGTAATGTACAACGGTACACAAAGAACAGGGCAGAAAGCATACGTAATCAAAATCGCAAAAACAGTTCTCCTGTAACTGCACCACTCTCTGTTTTTCTTTGCCACTGCCACGTATCTCCACACGGCCAGTATTAAAGTTAAACAAATCGAAATAGTGTGACAAACCTGTGAAAATTAATTGGAATTCTATGATATTTCGATTTTCCGTTTACTTTTTTATTCCGAGATTGTCGGTTAAACGTTGTATATTTATTTCTTCGTTGCTAACAAAACATTTCGCGATGTATATTATGTTTACCCGCAGAACGCTGAGAAATGTTCTGTATATTTGTATTTGTTGCTAATATTTAAGATGTTTTTACAAGCAGAAGTTTATTTTTTGTGGAAACAAATTGGTTGGATATTTTTCTGTGATGCTTTCGAAGGAAAACAGTGCTGCGAACAAAAGGATAGACACTAAAACCACAGCATGTTCAAGTACAATTTAGTCTTCAATTAAAAACGAAGACTGATCGTTATATTGGATCGATTGCTTTCTAAACAGATAGGTCAGTTCTCGTCAAACAAAATAAAGAAATAGGGGTCAAAGGAAAATGCTGTGTTCTGTAAATAACGAAGCAATTGTTCTATTCAAGGATACAACAATTTTTTTATCATTTCCTGTACTTTCGAATATCTTTAGAAAATTTGTAGGGTGATGCTAAATCATCGACACAGAATTTGCAAACATATCTTATTGATTATAGCCAGGACATAGATTTAACTTTTACTTATTTTTTACGTACGGGCACAGCTGGTTTAAACCATTCAGTAACATGCAATTCATACGGAAATTACGAAATATTTATGTAACTTGGATATTACTGTAAAGAAACAGGGTTTTTTTTTATAAATGTGAATGTGTTTAAAATTGTTATTACTGTTACTTCATTTACACAAGCTTTTAGGGTGTCCATTCATTCATTTTTTAAAATCTATATTTTCTATATAAAGTAATCTGTGCCTTTCTTCAGAAGTGCCTATAAAAAAATGCTTTGTACGTAGTTATTTATGATTTTATAAAAGGCTGATATATCGTTTTAAAAGTATTAGAAGAGTTAAAGCACTCTATCGTAATGAATTTTTTTCTACCTATGAACTCAACAAGTGACCACACACCCATCGATGTGCTATGTATATCATTAATTAACACTCGCGAATTCATCAAGACGTCTTGTCAAGAAATGTGTACCTAGATTATTTTAGGTGATATTTACTTTGTTATTTTAATGAACCATTTATATATCGTAATTAAAGTCACTTTCTACGGATATATTTTTATCTTTAATAAGAATTGAACAGAACTTTATTCCCATTATGAAATATTTATTAATAAAGTCCCTATTGTATTATGCTTTGTACAAACGTATTTGTAAAATTCCTAATGCGATTATAATATACGTAAAAGTATTGAAAAATTAAATAGCCTTTTAATAATTCCTTTTTTTTTGATGTCATCATTTTTCTTACTTTTCTGAATTATCAAAATACGGTTGTTCTGACAAATTTCCGTTCCGTTCACCTCGAAACTCAAAAACCTGATTAATTTTTCTTCAGTTTTCATTGTATTACATATTACGAAATGGTGTTTTATAATTTTACTCAAATATCTTGTAATTGCAAATAGACCTGTCGTTAAATTGTTACAAAAAAAGTTAGTGGAGCTTAATTTAAAATTTATGCACTCAAAAGTGAAACATATTCAAAAATTGAAATTTGTTGTCATTTATATGTTGAAGAATAGTCGGTAAAAATTTCTGAAAAGGGAATACGAAGTATAATTAAACAAGAAAAGATGAAACGGTAATTACCATGTACCTATACATACATATAAGAAATTCCTTATTAAATGAGCAAACATTTCATTTCAGGGCGATTAAGTGAATATAGGTTTCTTGAAAATAGTATCGAAAGAACGTTATTGTTTAACACTAGAACTATCAGCGTTGAATGTATGCTAAGTTAAATTGTGTAATATATTAATACGTGTAGTATATACTATATAATAAAATATAGCTTAAAGCATAAAATATAGTGTACATAAATTCCAATGGAAATGTCTCTAGGATTTCAGTAATTGTAAAATAAAAATGTCTGAAACCCGTCATTGTGACGGGTTCGGTAGTTCTAGTGTTAAAACTATAATTCTGAAGGAAATTTTATTATTATTTATTGTTAGAATAGCAGAATATTTTTACGATCATCTATGTGGCAATTTGTTTATTGTGACGGAAAACCTGTATTCACCATTTTCGCTTTTTCCTAATCCTTGAAAAGAGAGCATGAGAATCTCTTACCGTTAATTAAATTTCACAGACAAGTCAAGGAAAAGGGGAAGTTTTTAATTTAATTTGAAAGACAAGTAAAGATCACCAGTTACCTGTGCGAAGTTCGAATGAAACAGCACGAAAACTGCCCATCCGTAAGTGAACCTGTCCCTTCTTGATCGACGATACAGGTAAAGGTGAAACGAATAAGGAATGTAATCGATCATTACGAGTAAATCTGCCAGGGCCAATCCCGTTAAAATTATATTCGTCGGTGATCGCATCTCCCGCCGCGTTAGAACAAGAATGTTCAGAATGTTCGCAATCGAACCGAAGACGCAAACGAAAAGGGAGATCCATCCGTGTAATTGAGAATAATGAGAGTGAAAAGACGATAAATCACAGACGTAGTGGTTCGACGAGGCATTCAAATCCATGACTCGCCCCTTCTTTGATATTGATATGTGTTATTGATTCGTGCTAGGGCAACAATCTGTAGGATATAACTGTTCGAATAAAGTAATAATCGTTCCAATAATCTTTATAGAACAATAATTTTTGTAGAAATAATTTTCTGAATATAAATTAGACTTATTTTAAATTTCAAATATCACTCCATGGTTTCCTAGTTGATTCTGCTTGCCCAATTCGTAAGTTTTTTAGTCTCAAATAGAAAAATTTCGAAAACTTTTGTATCTTCGTCTTATAAAATATTTTTAGTCTTCAGTTTGTTATTCCTAAATCACCCTCGGCCCTTGGAATCATCTCGGTTATTTTGATATCACTCAATTTTGAATCGTGTAAGACGTATTTTTCAATAATTCATTTAATTATTTATTATCATATTACGAGCTGTTCACATTCTCATCCTCGTTTAATGTTTGTACAAGAAACTCTTCGGCTTCGTTACTGATTGTTGTGGAGTACTTTTCTTAACAAAGTCGTTCTACCCCGTAGAACCTCGTAGAAAATAATCCTTTATCCTTGACGATGTGTTTCGTGTGGGAACGAAGTTCAAATTCGAAAAATTCGTTGATCTCATCGGGGCTGTTTCCGTTCAATTTTCTCAAAACGCTGGTAAAATACTACGATCTAGGGTGCTTTCAACTTAGTTGGCAATAATTTCTTCACATTTTACGTATAATAATAATTATTATTATTATTATTATTATTGTACGCGTATATGTATATGGTGATTATAATGGTTTTTAGGCGCGATTCAGAAGGATCTGTTTTGCTATGTATATTTTAATATTCTTTAATTCACGTTTACTGCATCGTGTACAAAATTTCCGGTAGATTCTTTCGGTCCTCCGAATTTTGAAATTATATCGGAAGAAATAATTTTGTGACGAGCACTACGATGAATTTAATTTGATTTGTTTAATGGACGGTGGAAGACACACTACGAAATGCAACAAGCGTACAGTCGATAAACAAACGGCGGCTAGCCACGAAAACATCCGCGCGCTGCGACGTCGGACGAGCTAATGTCATCGCGACGCTACCTATCGGTGTGTAGCCGCCTCGAAATTTTAACGCAGACGCAGATCATACCTCTCCCTCTACCCTGAAGTTTTTCTTCCGAATTTTTAATTTTAACTTAATCCTCTTTTCGTTTAATTCATTCTCCATTGATATTCTGCTAATTTACCATTTTAACTTTTAGAATGTAAAGGGTGTCCCAACAAGGGCGGAAAATGTAAATTCCAAATGAAATACAGTTTTTTTTATTACATACCGAAATTTTGCATGGAACAACACATCTGGTAAATGCCCTCCTCGGCTTTGCTGGAACATTTGCGTTTTTTTGACGAAATTTTCAATCACGGTTTGGCATAATTGTGGCTGGATCTCAGTGATACAACATCTAATCTCCTCCTTCAAGGCTTGGGTGGTCGTAGGCTTGTTGACATAAACTTTTGACTTCAAAAAAGCTCAGAAAAAGAAGTCCAAAGGCATTAAATCGCACGATCTAGGCGGCCAAACTGGTCGCCCAAACGGGAGATTTCACGACTAGGGAATGTCTCGTGTAATAATGCCATTATTTCACGTCATGTGTGGCAAATAGCACCGTCCTATTGGAACCATGTGTCTTCGAGATCCATACCATCTATTTGAGGCACAAAGAACTGGGTAATCATGCCCCGATACCGCTCACCATTGACTGTTTGTGCATTCCCGGCATTCTGGCGAACAGCCGTGACGTTTTCTGTTGAACGACTTGGACGAACACGTGTCGATGGTTTGACATCAATAATCGACCCCGTCTTCTCGAATTTTTCGATTATTCTCTTCACGATTGATGCACTTGGAACATTTTGTCTACCAAAAATTGGACGCAATTTGCGAATCGTGACAGTCAAACTTTTATCATTTTTTAAATAATGTTTAACAATAAGAATGCGTTGTTGTGTCGAATAGCGATCCATTGTTAATAATGGCGGACTGTCTACCATCGAACTGTCATAATGGTTTGACTATCAAAGCACAGCAGCAGAAATGGCGCCAAATTTAAATTTTCCGCTCTTGTTGGAACACCCTTTATATACATAGAGGGTGAGTTTTAATTTCGAAATCGCGAAATGATACTTGTACAATGATTTAATACGAATAAACTTCTTAAATTTGACGTTCAATGTCAGATATTTGATCTAAACTAATGATTCTTTGGCATAAATATTTAAAAAATTTTTAATAGGGAATGACCAGTAGAATGAACTAATGCATTAAAGAATATATGATTCTATTTTGGAAAAAACATTGATCTTCATATGTCCTCAAAGCGTCCAGCTACCAAAAACTATTCATATCAAATTATTTTCCCCTCGGGACCGTTTAACTTTTATCTGAAACATTTTTCGATATCATCAACGGATTCGAAGATATTCGAGGAGATCGATTTAAACGATTCACCCTGCAGAGTACATAAATACTCTTTTAATATCTGTATACATTTTATATCTATGAAACTCTGCAAATTCTATGCATTTTTTTTTTAATAATAATAACGTTGTTAATTCAGCATAAATAAAAATATGTACATACAAACAATTACGAAGAGAAAAGAAAGAAAACAACAGGAAAAAAGTGAAATATGTACCAACAGAAATATGGGTAACAAATGTTGTAAACATTAGACTTATTATATTATCCATTGCTATCATTTTGCTAAACTACCACTTTGTTAAGTTGTATTCTTTGTGAAAAGCGCACATCATGAAGTTTAAATACAATTTTAATTTAAATTTCTATCTTGCAGTGTGTACAGTTCACTTTAATTTGCTTTAACATGTGTTCAGTCATTTTGGTGGTCAACAAAATGTATAGTACTGAAACTAATAACGTACGCCTCGTACTTTAATTAAATATACAAGCTGTGTTAATAATATTCACCCATAAAAGTATAATACAAAATACTCACCAGTAAAATCTGTCATTTAATGCATAACGTAATGTAATGTTTTATGAGAAATATCAGGCCATCGCGTAAGTAATTTAATTTGCAAAATTAATATCGAACATATGAAACATATATAATGTATACAGTCACTTTTAGCCATCTTCTAATGTCCAATCATTCTGAATCCTTTCCGTGAAAAATTATTGTTTCTTTGTTTAAAGTCAAACCAGAAATTATGTTATTTGTAGGATGATCTGATATTAGTAAAATGATCGATATAACAAAAGCTAGTGTCTGATTTTCCTTAAAATCTAGATATTAAAGCTCCGTAATTATAACAAAGCCTGCTTGGTGGTAATTTGGATAATTAATGGAGACAGAAACAAAATTTTGATTACAATTTATAGTCATATATTATGTAAATTCTGCATCAAGATTCGAAGTTCTTAAGAAGATAAATGGATCTTCGAGGTCAACTTTAAAGAAACGTGTCAAACATGTGTTCCGCTGACTTAATTTATGATCTTTACAGAATCGATTGGTTCTGTCAAGTGACCCTTCCAGGAGAGGTGACCCGTCCTGCGAATGAATACGTCTCGATGGTGTCTGGACTCTCGATTTACTTCTTTACTTGGCGTAAAAATAGAAACTCGATATTCATGAAATTAGTTAGGTACATACATTTTGGTCCGTTCTTTTTCTTGATTTCACGTTACACCAGGCCTGAGCATTTTTCTATCCTGATACATTCTTTGTTCTCACACAATATTAGTTGTCTGTTTGTACATTTCACCTGAGCGCTTCGAAATTCTATTCCAGTTTCAGCGCTGCTTTAGGAGAACTTACAATAATCACGTCCAAGATAGACCCGATTCTGCCACATAAAAGGAAATGCAGAAAGTCACAATCATATAAGAATAATTCAATAAACATTTTTTATCTTACCTTCTTCCATGTACATTGTTGTATTTTCTTCATCGACATCGTATGTCCAGAATGTTGCGAGATAGTATGCTTGCAGGGGTAAAATAATACGCATAAAATAGACTTCTGTGGTGTAAACAACGTATATGCATTTTATTTCAACATTGAACATTCACTAATGTGTATACAATATATGTATTTGTATGTATAATATATAATGATAGTAATAATATTATCATTTATGTATACAAGAACATCGTTTACGTTGCTGCTGTTAATGTATACACGTACATGTATGCATTTAACGATAATTAATCTAAGGTACAATTAATTACTCATATTTTATACCATTCTATAATCGTCTAATTGTGTGTCGATTAATACGGATCTTAATTAATTACCTTAATAATTAACCTCTTTCGTGGATAAAATCTCGTCTTGTATAATTGTATACACACACGCGTACAAATAACAACGCTTCTCTTTTCCATCTTATCATTATGTACGTGCGTGTATAAATATTCCCTGTATCTTATTTTCTCACGATCAGCTAAAAAATTACCTACTTCTATGTGTTTATTAATTAACTAATTAATTGGTAATATTCGTCTTCCTCGACATTACGGTTCTTTGTCTTGTATCACAATTACCTGGTATTATTGTATAGAACGATTATTATTCGAGCTTCGTAAATTGTTGTTCCTCTTCGTTTTAATATCGCTGTACGTTATCGCAAGGGAAGAAAAAACAATTCTACGTCATTGTATCGAGAACGAAGATGATGGGTTTTAAATATTTACTTCACGCGATAAAATCTTTCTAAAATGGCATTTAGGGGATTAATCTTGGAAAACGATATTAAAAGTTTATTTTCACATTGACGAGCAGAAGAAGAACTACAATTTTGCAACATCGAACGAGAAAAAGAAAGTCACGAAGCGATTTCAAGAAAGTTAAGTTTGGGAATTGAAATACAGCATTAGAAATTTAATTCTGATTCCTATTCTCTGACATTAGTTTCAAGTTAAAAATGTAACAAAATATTTACTCTAGATTTATACAATAATAAAACAATCATTTTTTGAAACTGAAATTAGGTAAAGTCAATTT